AATGTTTTCAATGAATAAGTGTTGTTGTTTACTAAATGTTTATTTTGTAACAGTGTCGTGACAGAAACTTGTTCTTCTACTAGTTAGCGATCGTAGAGCTGAGACCACTAAACAAACTACCTTCCATTTGACACAATTCGTTGGGCGTCGCACTATTGCACATGGCTATGCTGTTACTTTGTAAATATTTTCGAGTAGTACATTAATTTCATGGCTATAAAGGTGCCATGCAAACTGTAATGTAGAACGTCAACTTTGGTGGGGAAACGAATCCTGCATAGAACTACCATTCTTCTGTTTTCCTTCAGCATGGGCGACGTTCAACAGCTTTTGATTTTATAAGGTTGCTTCGTAAGAACTTTTCTTGTAATTTTTATTTGTAAATTTTTGCGAGGAATGTTTGAAGCTTCTACTATTACGTGTCAACTACTCAGAATTTTCAAAATAAAATTTTCTCACACTTGCGGACAATGAGGAAATTGGGGTATCTATCCGGCTTCCTTCATTAGGTATCGTTTTCTGCTCATACCAATTTATTATACACTCCAGTTTTTATTGAAGTGCTCTTTTAGAACATACCAAACTCTGCACCATAATTTATCTGCAGCATTCGAAGAAGCCGCACGACCGAAATTATTTATCAGCCAACCTATAATCATGCCTAAAATATTTCTCTCAGACTGTCTATTTTTACAACAAATGAGTAACCTTCAGCAAAAAACTAAGCAGTTTTCTGCCCAAGGCCACTAGCTAATGTTTACCCCTCTGGTATATTTACGGTGACTGTCAAGTTCAGGGTAGAAAAACGAATTTCTCCATTTTGGGCCGTCTCCTCGCACAAATAGTCCTTTTGCAATGCCGCTACATATCGCTCGAGGTACAATGGTCCGCGGGGACGGCCAAAATGACGAAATTCGTTCCCCTGCCTACTCTACTGTAATTTGAAATACGAAGTATGGATCAAAAGCCCAGCTGCTTAGCTCCTAAAGGGTTTCCAGTTTAATCATGCATCTCTTTCAGTGACTACTTTTTAAAAATGACGTAGGCGAGCTGACCAATAATTAGGATTCAGCCATTCTTTACCACTAGAACCGTTGTAACCGTTCTTACTGGTATTAGACCTTTGTTATTGTTACTACGTCGTCTACAACTGTTACTAATGTTACTGCTGTTACTGCTGTTAGTGCCGCCGGTGCTAAATAATCTCTTCTTTCACATATGATTATGATTTCCTGGTTGGTGCTTACGTTCATTATACCAGAGCATATCAGAAACCTAATAGAGAAATAGTGCCGAAAAGCAGGATTGCGTATGAAATAATATGGCTGAAATAAAATTCAACACTTTAGTGGTAAGAGCGGTCACTGAAGTAGGCATGGCCGACTATAGAACGATGAAGATCCATGTAGTTCGTGGCCAATGCATAGCAATTCTATTGCACTTTTACAGCTGTCGACCACTGAAGAGAGAAACTAGACAGTAAAAGTGCCGTAAAATGTAGTAAAAGTTTCAAGGTTTCCGGTTGTGTCTATCTTTCATTTCAAAAATCAATAGATTTCCATCTTATGCTTTACATTCCCCTGCATGCTTTGCTCATTATAGTTATCCCATAGACCGTACAATACCGCTCATATGCAGTCACCGGACAAATTATGAGCGATATCGAAACCGCCACAGGCAAGGAGGCAAAGCGACAGCAACTTAACCTTTGAATCAACTGGCTTGACGGCTGAAAGGCGGGGTTTTTTGACCTAGTTAAAGTCGCTCGCGCCCGCGACGCAGTCTGTGTCTCTCCTGCGCGCGTGCTCTCTGATCATTACTTAGCCTTAATTAGGTCAGGTCTCGAAGCCCGGCTTCCAGCCGCCAAGCCAGTTGAATCATAGGGTACATTGCCTGAAATTTGAACCGAAAGTTTCTGTCCCTCTATAGAAAAGAAATCGATCTTCTTCTGTGCTGATGAGTTTGCATATTTTTTGTTGAAAAGAGAAATTCATGGGATTCGCAATGGTACCTTTGTAGACTTACTAGCGAACAAATTGCAGAAGTAAAATCAAAAAATGGGATTACTTTAGCCTTAATACAATGCAAAACAGAGAGACAAATCTTTTGAAGACTAGTGAACCAGTAATCTCAAAGGTGCTAGTTGCAGGCGCGCTCGCTTCGGGACCCCCTCGGTTTCCCGCTATCTGAATTTTGAATGCATCTTACGATTCTTTATAGATTAGAATTAGATATCTAGTGACTAGTGATAGACTAGTGAAACAGTAATTAAAGGCGCTAGATTGCATTCGCGCGTTTTGGAACTGGCCGGAGGTTTCGCGCTGCGCTATTTGATTTTTTGTGAATTGGCGTTGCGATTTTTTATATATTAAATTCTTACCAAAATCTTTGATGTTTGAAGGTCCTCACGTTCTGCACAAACTTTGCTTCATCCAAAAGGTCATAATTCATGTCAGTTTCCATAGTTTTTTGCTACTTATCAAACTTCTGGTGAGCTTACTTATAACCAAAATTCATGCGATTTTATTTCCATCTCCATGTCTGCAAGTTGTCTGTTGGTGAAGAGGTCCCGGTAGTATAAACCTCAAAATTTCTGTTTGCAAAAACTACATTTTAGTTTGTTGAAGACACAATCAAATTACTCTGCAATTTACCTTCAACTTTTCAATTTAAACAGACAGAATTTTGGTACAGTTCAGTGTGTATTCAACGCATCATTGTTCTTGTAGAAGTTCAATAGTCTCTAGTCAAAACGTAACTGCACACTAATTTTTTAGAATCTTGTCGCTTCTGCTAAACAATTTCGTTTTCGAAAGAACATCTGGCATGTTTTTTGAACCAACCGCATTCGCTTCCATGGTATGAACAGGGCTCGTCACAGATGGCTTAGAAGCAAGCTGGATATCGTTTTTGGGACGAAAAGCAAAGGGGTTTCGTTTTTGTGACTGAAGAGAGACGCAAAAATGGCGACTTGGCTACGTTTTTTTTAGTCGACGTTTCGTTTTTTGGGGGATTTTGGAGAATTTTTCAGGTTTTTAGAGGAAATTTGGTTGAGTGTCAAAGGGGACTTCTAAAAATTTCCAAAAGTCAAGGAGGAGTTCGTTTTTTCCATTTTCATCTAGCCACCTCGTGCCGAGCCCTGGGTATGAAAGCTCAAAGCTTTGAAATGAATGCTCCTTTAGCAACGAATTCAAACAAATTAAGCGGAATCCTTCCCCTATCTGCAATAATGGAAAGGATCTCTCAACATCTATCTCTACCATTTTATCTAACGATAAGTTATTGTGCTTTGCAAACGGTCGCGGACACTTGGTGGAACTGCCAGTTTCAATTACATTGGAAGCGTTTGTACAGATTGCTATAGAAGTCGCAGGTCCAACCATACTTTTGTAGGAAATTCTACAGTCTGCATGTCAAATTGATCATTTTCGCATAACCTTTCACCTAAGTTCGACATTCTGCAGACGATGATCGCTTTCCAAACATCTTCGCCGCCTTGTGGTCATTCATCAAGCGGTCCGCCCATCTTGCGGAATTGCCTGTTTTTTCTCATTTCACTTGCATCTCACCTTGTCGGCTTAAAACTCGTTTATTGCATTGCACTTTGCTGTTTCTGAGTGTAATTATAACAAAAAATTCATTCAGCAAACTACAATTGTCGGCCATTGTTTATTTTTCCGACGAGACGTCTGCGTGTTTACCGTAATCCTGCAAAAATTGGTTTCTTGATGGAGCTTGTTTTTGGAAAAGAGCTCGTTGATTATAGTTCAAATATAAAGGTTGAAGTTGTCAAGAACTACGTTCCCTCCCTTTCATTTCCCTTTAGACTTTCAATTTTTGAGCCTTTTCGGAACTCCTCAGTAAAGAAAAGGGGCATGAAGGATTTTGCGAAAAAAATCGTTTTCTTGTGAAATATTGTAAAACTCATCCCATCCTCCTCGGATTTTCTAGATGTTTTTTAGAGCCCCTTAATTGCCAAAGTTTGATAGAATCGTAAATAAATCTGTGACCGTATTCATCAACGACTCCATTGGGTTCCGCTACCCAGTGGGTAAGGAAAAACAGTGCCACTGGGTTGAATCAATATTCATAAAAAGCACTGCTGGGTTCGCGAACCCACTTTCGTGAATATCGATCTTGTGGATTAAAGGCAGTGGTTCGGCAAAATCCAACAACTCGGGTTTTAACGCGGTAGGTTCCTTATCGCCCAACTATGAAAATAGTGCAATCCCGGTTGCACAGCATGCTTTCCCTGCCGAGAAAATCGCTCTCAGACTTACACGCGCAGGCCAATCTTACACGCATCTGGACGAGTTGGCAATTTCCTTCTCACCATTGGAGGCTGCCCGCAGCAACGCTATAACCATTGGGTCCTGCCACGATTTTTCGTCATCGGCCTTGCTCCACTCATCCAGTATCAAAGGGAAGGGCATTAAAAAACGCTCATTTTCGCCGTTCTCAAGCTTTCAAAAGTGGATTTTTGGGATCAGCGTGTTGAAAAACCCCAGGTAAGCGCAAATTTGACTAGATTGAGATTTGCCGAGCCACTGCCTTTAAGCCTACCCAATGGGTTCCGGAATCCACTGGGTTCGTTGATGAATACGGCCCCTGCTGTTGTTATAAATACAAAATAAGTGGGTTATGTAAGCATGAATTTGATGTTAGTTCCTCAATGTTCGTTCACAACACTTTCCTCAAGACTTTTCCTAGACTCTCTTGATATCTCTCCCCTCCCCCTCCCGCCCAAAAGAATTCTGCGCCTCGAGTTAGTAAACAAACTTCTTTTTAAGACCATATCGTTATCTCAAAGCCATTACTATCGTCATGATATGCACTCTTAACCAGTTTGTATATAAATGGATTCGTCAGCGATAGGAAAACTGGCTAACGCGCTTTACGACGAGATCATCGTCAAAATTCTTACATCTAGCCATCTCGCTTGTTTGGAGTGTTCTGAAGTGTTCTGCATTTCTAATATGGATTTTTGTCGCAGGTAACCCATGAAGGTCCACGTCGCCGATGGCCCATTCAACTCCGCGAAAGATGAGAAAGGTAGGTTAACCATATTATCATTAGCAAATCAGCTGATCTATTGATCTTTTCTGATGCAAAAGATTGTGTTTTAACCCAAATTCGAGATGTTGACCTTCATTGGAATGATATATTAGCTTACTATGCATGTGACCAATCTGTTGATTACGCAAAGCGAGGTTCTCTGTGATTGTCAAACTATGGAACGAATGTAGTTGGGCAAAAAGAGACGCTTTAGCATGAAAATATAATACCTATTTATAGTCACAATTTGAGAATTGCTGAGAAATGGTTCTGAACTCTTCGCTTATATTATTGAAAAAGCGTGGTTTTAAAAAATTTATTTGCTCGGATCTACCAGATTCGCTTAGTAATATTTTGCTTCATAATGAATACTAGGCACTTATGTGTCAATTATTAAATCGATGCATTTGTGCTCCTCAGAACCATCGTACATCCCCGCTTTCATTTCGGGAGTCATAAATTTAGGTTGTAGGTCAAGAGGAGCGATTTTTAATTTTGTTATTTGTCGATGGACATTAAGTAGCGCATTTTTAGTACTTTTTGATGTTCTAAGAGCAGTTCAAATTTCTAACAAGATATGTATGATCGTCCAACTGACTTGATCTTATCATCTTGAAATAGATTTAAAACGTGAGTGTTGGAGGTCAAAAACACGTGAAAATGCAACTAATGACGTATTCGTGTATATTCAATCAAGTTCTCACAAAAAGTCGCCAAACTTAGCAATTTTTAGTTTCAGATGGTTGGTAAGCTAGAGCACTATGCCTGGTATTTCTGAAAGACTCGCATAGCTCTAAATTGAGCTGCTAACTTGGTAACCTTTGCATAAATCGCGCTCCTTGACCGTCTCCCATAAATTTGAATGTCCCGTCAAGACTGCAGCGTTAAAAAAATCATTTCGACATTCAGCAGTGAAAATCTAGACTCTCAAAATTAAAAATTAATCAATCCCGGATGCGATTATTTTAGGTACTTGATGTAATATTGTACATATTTGTGTTTTTTTGCTTCGTTTTCTACGCATTCAATCAGCCTCTTACTCTGGCTTACCTACCCAATTTATGAGCTTACCTTCTTCGATAACCACAAGTGAACATCAATACGATACGCTATGAATTTACCAAATTTAGAAAAAGCAACATTGGCAACTTACTTGAAAAATGATCTAACTTGAGACTATCATAAGTCGAACCAAATGCTCTTACTTTTGATAAACCTGCACGACTTTTCTGATTTAATTTGAAAGCATCTTTTTGTTGTTCATAACAAATCCCTAAATTTAGCTCACAGCCCCCGCCTCACCGTTCGCGTGGTACTTACCGCTATTCTGGCCGTGCTTGGTGGTGGATTTCATTTTGGATTTCAAATTTCTATCATAAATCCGATGGCTGAGATTCTGCAAAGTTTTCTGTTGGAGAATTTCCACAGGTAAGTCTTGAAATTTTGGCATTTATCATTGGAAGTATCCTCAAATTGTGAAACAGTCCAAAAATTGCGCTTTTCTTTGAATAGCTTTGGTTTTAGTGTAAAAGAGGGATAAACCTGCCAACCCACAAGCTCTTACTGTTCGAATAATATTTATAATTTGTTCTCGGTTGAAAATTTATATTATTCAAATTTACAAATAGAGCAAAAGAAGATTTCTGCTGAAATCGATGCGATCAATTTTACACCTCCCTACTAATATCCACTTTTTCTAGGAGGTACTCATTCACACTCTCACAATCCGACTTATCCTTGATCTGGTCAACAATTGCTGGTTCACTCTTCATAGGAGCTGCTTTTGGAGCTTACATAATGTCAAAGCTTCTAGATCATAGAGGCCCCAAATTTGGCATTCTTTGCTCAGCGATGGTTGGTTCTCCCTAGGTGCCATATCTTCAAGGATATGACGAGTTCAAGGTTCTTTTCGTTTGTGCCCCAATGGCAGGCATCTCGCATCTTCTGGCATCACCGGAACTTTTTGTACTGTCTCGGCTGTTCTGTGGTATGGGAGTCGGAATGGGAACCACAGCACAGGGGGTATTTCTGACAGAAATTAGCCCAGGTATATCACTTCCTCCATGATCAAGCTCAAAAAAAAGCTGGAATTGTTTTCAGTTGCCTATCGCGGTGTAATCAGCTCCTTTGGTGGATTTTCAACAAATATTGGGTTTATATTTGCCAGTGCCCTTGGATTACCTACTGTACTTGGCACTAAAACCTCATGGCCTTATGCCTATTACCTGGAGGCGATACCATGTTTGGTTAGTGGAGCGATTTCCAAGACATAAACACGCTATAGTTTAACAAATTTATAATTTAAATTTTACAAATTTAGTTGCTTATCGTCGCCAATCTCTGTTGGTTCCGAGACAGTCCGGTTTATCTGCTTCGTAAAGGTGATGAAAAAGGTACAAACAAAGCTTTGGAAGCTTACTGTGGGTCCGATGCTGGTCCACGAGAAATGGAACGGGTAGCAAATGAGGTGAAGACCTACACCACGGGTGGAGAGATCAAATGGGACAGGTGGGTTGAGAATATTTTCCCAAAGGATTTTGAAAAATAGAAATTTTAGAGCCGCACGGCGTGCACTGATGCTTTCGCTAACGCTGAATGTCGTCGTATCATTCAGGTCCAATTTCAGCACCTTGATAAACTCTAGATAAGTAGCGAAAATCATGCTAGAAGCAACCAACAATGACTAGAAGATTTTACTTGGCCTTTAGAAGTGAACTTCTTCTAAAATCATAAAAAGGTTCAAATGGCCGCCAAAAAATCACTTCTTCTCGATTTTTTTGTGCGATAGTAATTTCCAAAAGTAAAATGCGTTTACTAATTGGCTCTGGACATTGGAACAATGCGTGACATTTTTTTGCTCTAGTAAAAGATGAGCTGACGGTTTCCGGTGCAGTTTAGACTCCATACCAGTTCAAAGCGCCGCTTCGCTTTGAACTGGCTGTGCTTGTGGAGTGAGAAGTGTTCAAAGGCTAGAACTTGTGAAGTTTTGTCTTCAAATCTTTTCATAGCCAAAAGTATAGCATAAAAACCTTAGGTATATACGTGTAGAGAGTAGTAGTAAGTTATTTTCTAGCTCTCTAACTCTTCAACAACTCAAATAGCTCCATGCCACATGCTACCTTAGCTTCACTACAATCTTCTTAACTCGGATTAAGTGCCACTAAATGCTTGAATCCACTCCAGGGCTTTTATATCCGTGTCATAGTACCTTCCTCTCCCTCTCTTCCCCACCCCTACCCTCGTCCCATCCCCCCCCCCCCCTCCCCGGCCCCTCCCAGCCCCCCGCACCTTACTGGTACAGAATACAAACCCCATGTAGCATAATGCCTTTCAAGCACGCAAAATTTTTAAGTAGAAAGCACTGAAGAGTGGTAAGTTAGCCCCTAGCTCTTTAGCTCATAAGAAACTCCAACAGTCCTTAACAGACTTGGACTCAAATAGCTGCACGCCACATGCTGTTAGCTTCATCAAAATCCTCTCAATGCTAGAACTTTTACGGAAGCGTGCCACTAACTTGCTTGACTCCACTCCAGGCTTTTTCTGTTCATGCCAAGTCCATTCCTCTCTCCTCCCTCCCCCTCCCCCTTCCTCCCCTCTCCCCAGCTCCCCGCACCCTACTGGTACAGAACAACGTAAATATCACTTTCATGTGTGCAATTTTCCTGCGTTTGAAGTTTTGAGCGGATTTTGCTTTTCTCTTTCCCTGCCCCCAGCCTCTTCCCCATTAGTTACCTACCTACGGAGAATAGAGAGGGAAGATTACGAACGAAATAATTAAACAGTTTCCAATAGAGTTTTCTAGAAGAAAAACTTATTATCTTCTAAAAATTATCTAAGTAGAAACTCTTTGAACATTCCTGCAATTATTGTCCTACTTTTCGGGTTCTCCTTCTGCTGACGCTGCCATCACAATGCGTAACCTCAAAGTTGCTTATCGAAAGTATGCCTACGCTTTTCGCCAAAATTCAGCTTTTTATACAGTACCACACAGAATTTGCTGGCTAAGGTGCAGGCTATTCTACTCTACCAAAAGCTCCACCTGCGGTAATTCCTCATGAGGAGAGACCGCATTTCCCTCTTCTTCCCTCTCAAATCGCACCTACTGCTCAAACATCCTTTACCAAGTTTTCGAATAAAGTTCGACTTCTACTATTGGGATTCTACGCTTAACCTCAAAGTCAATAAGTAAAATTCCATCCTACCCCGCCTCCTTTCCTCAGACTCTTTATGTAAGTGCTTACGATTTAACTTCCATTCACGAAACTTCATCTGCCATATTTCAATTTTCCCCCATTTTCCTTCCTTGAAAGCCTTTCTAGCCTGTCACACTCCCTTTAGTTACAATGCGGCCAGAATCCCACTATTTTGCTCACAATATGAAATGTTAAACAAATAATAAAAATACGGCTGTTGGTGTATCAAAATCGAGAACTTTCATGAGGGTAAATCCCATCTGGGATTTTTGCTGCACCACTTACAACTTTGTAAAGCAGTGCTTTTGTACAATTAAGTTATAGAAATTGGCAACTAAAATAAATTGATACCAAAGTTGACACATCCTAATGCGCTAATTGAAATGAAACGAGCTGTTACTTGGTGACAATAATGCTAATCGATAGTACTGTTTATGGAGTTGTGCACGAAAGGGCATTCCAGTCAACATCTCGGAAGGCAGACATCCTGGGTGCATTGGGTGCATTCGAGACATAGCGACAAACGCATGAGTCACATGGTCCCCCCTGCGCGTTATTATAGAGTATGATATTTGATCACTTGAGACCATAGTTGCGAAAGGGGGAGTGATGGATCTTACCCCCTTCACTTTGAGGCCAAACTCCCGATGACCCCCTTCACCTGGGCTGAGATTGGTATTGTACTCTGAGAATATGATGAAAATCGTTATGAAAAGCAGGCTAAGTACCTCAAACAACAAGGTACACTCATAAGTTTACTAAAGAAACGGTATTTATGTTTATTTATATTATTTATTCATCCTCGTAGCATTTTGGAGAGCAGAAAGTGAGGACACAAAATCAGTTAATTTTTGAAGAACATGAAATCCCTCATATCTCGCGGCACAGAAGACCTAGAAAAAAGTCGGCGGTCTACGTCGATTCTCCATGATCTCAGCTTTCGAATGGTATACAGCATGTTAGGGCTTCTTTGCTTCCCGGCTCTAAAAATCATTTTCTCCGGTAACCAATAAAAGCCAATACATTGGTGGAGCCGGATTGGAGCAAGCTAATAGTAAATATCTCCACCCCATTTTTGAAAACTGGTCCGTTTTTTCGCCCAGCAACCTATATACCACTCGAAAGCTCAGGAAAAGGGGATTCGACCTAGACCGTCGATTTCTTTCTAGCCCCCCTCTACCGAGAGTTACACCGCATTTTATCTGAAAACATGGTCATTTTCAACAGCAGATTTCTGCCAAATGAAGACCTAATCACTGCTGCTTATCTATCTGTGTTAAAGAGCAAGTCTTCATTAACAAACGTAGACCGTCGACTTTCTCGTAGCATTCATTTGGAGAGCAGAAAGTGAGGACACAAAATCAGTTAATTTTTGAAGCACATAAAATCCCTCATATCTCGCGGCACAGAAGACCTAGAAAAAAGTCGACGGTCTACGTCGATTCTCCATGATCTCAGCTTTCGAATGGTATACAGCATGTTAGGGCTTCTTTGCTTCCCGGCTCTAAAAATCATTTTCTCCGGTAACCGATAAAAGCCAATACATTGGTGGAGCCGGATTGGAGCAAGCTAATAGTAAATATCTCCACCCCATTTTTGAAAACTGGTCCGTTTTTTCGCCCAGCAACCTATATACCACTCGAAAGCTCAGGAAAAGGGGATTCGACCTAGACCGTCGATTTCTTTCTAGCCCCCCTCTACCGAGAGTTACACCGCATTTTATCTGAAAACATGGTCATTTTCAACAGCAGATTTCTGCCAAATGAAGACCTAATCACTGCTGCTTATCTATCTGTGTTAAAGAGCAAGTCTTCATTAACAAACGTAGACCGTCGACTTTCTCGTAGCATTCATTTGGAAAGCAGAAAGTGAGGACACAAAATCAGTTAATTTTTGAAGCACATAAAATCCCTCATATCTCGCGGCACAGAAGACCTAGAAAAAAGTCGACGGTCTACGTCGATTCTCCATGATCTCAGCTTTCGAATGGTATACAGCATGTTAGGGCTTCTTTGCTTCCCGGCTCTAAAAATCATTTGCTTCGGTGACCCATAAGAGCCAACACATTGTATAGGTCGTCCCGAAAGTTTTTGCGCACGATTTTCAAAAACTCATAACTTCTGATTTTTCCAACCGATTTGACTGCTTTCACTTTTATGTGAAAGGGTAAGTCATGCTCTTTATAATTACATCCCAGCTGCTTAGTAATGGTCATCTGTTGCATAGATAGAAGCTCAAAACAAAATCACTCAAAATTTGAATTTTTGTGTAGGGTCATAAAAAATCAGAAACTTGCAACAAAATCGGAGCAGTCGGTATTGTAGGTTCTTTTACCAGCTGTTTCTAACAGTGCAAAGTTTGCTCGGATTGAGCGTTTCCATGAAAAGTTATAATTTCTGAGCAAGCACTCAGACAATCGCTGGGGGCAGGCGGGCACCGGAAAAATAGATTGCCGATTTCTCGCACCCCGCTCGCGGATTTTTTGCAAAGCAATCAGGACTTTTCGGAAGAACGCTTGCTGAGTCAGCGGATTTTTGAGAGACCGCCTGCTGAATTTTTTTTTTCGCTCTTATCTTTTGCAGATATATTGCTGAATCTCTGAGGAATCGAGAACTCAGCAAGCGGTCTTCCGAAAAGTCCTGATTGCTTTCCAAAAAAATCCGCGAGCGGGGTGCGAGAGATCAGCAATCTATTTTTCCGGTGCCCGCCTGCCCCCGGCGATTGTCTGAGCAGTACAAAAGGCGAATTTGATTTATTTTGGCATTTTTCAGGGAAATCATAACTTTTCATGGAGACGCTCAATCGGCGCAAACTTTGCACTGTTAGAAAGAGCTGGTGAAAGAACCTACAGTACTGACTGCTCCAATTTTTGTTGCAAGTCTCCGATTTTTTATGACCCTACACAAAAAATTAAAATTTTTAACATTTTTCTTCTATCGCTCCTATCTATGCAACAGATGACCATTACTAAGCAGCTGAGATGTCATTATAAAGAGCATGACTTACCCTTTCACATAAAAGTGAAAGCAGTCAAATCGGTTGGATAAATCAGAATTATGAATTTTGAAATTCATGTGCAAAAACTTTCTGGACGACCTAATAAGAGCGAGGTGGAGCAAGTTGATAGTAAAAAATGTGCTGTGGATTGACATCGTTATCAGCACTAACGGGAACGCGAGCGAACGCGTCTATTTGAACGCGCTTATCGTTGTTATATGTTTATGTTTTTTTTTGGTAAAAAATGCGTTTTTGATTGACAGTTATGCCATCATTATTAGCACACACTCAAAAAACTATGGGAGATTGGTGAATTTCCACACCTTCACACAAAAACCCGCCCATTTCTGGAATCTATACTCTGTAAACCTAGTGCTGAAGAAGGTCACTTTCGTGAAAACGCTCTAGACTTACCTTACCTAATTTGTAAAGAATGGTTGGTTTCAATGAATCAAAAATTCTAAGACATTCAGAAGAATAGCATGTTATTAAAATATCCCTCAATGTTTTGCAAAGGTTGGCAGTTTGAAGAGGAAGCTGCAGGAAGAATACTTTACAAAATCGCAGATGACTCGCATGTGTTCCAGTTCAACAGCGAGGCAGAAGAAGAATCTTACGCCGACGAAAATGTTGTCGACATTGATACAGAGTTGGCAATTGAGCGATACTCTCTGATTTCCTGCATAAGGAATCCAAGCAAATTGTCTAGTTTCAATGAGGAAATGTCCAGGAAGTCCATTGCTAATCTTCAGGTTGCTGAAGAATTCAAGGCTGCTAAATTCACAAACATGGATATGAACAAAAGGATGGTGTTAGTACAAAGCATAGTTACTGCACTTAGATCCCGGCTGGAGTGCGAACCCAACTCTGTGCTTTATGCTTTTGAAAGTTATTCACCTTGTGACAATATGACCTATGATATTGAAAAAAAAAAACCAACGCGCAGCATAGTACCTCCTTTTTTCGGCTATTCCGCAGATGCTGTTAAAGAAGAAGTTGAGCAGCTTTCTAATCAGCTAACAGGACGTATGCCAGAGGAGGTGAAGCCAGAGTTCGACAAGGCCCAAAAAGTATGCACTATTTCCTTCCCGTGCTGCGAAAGCATATGAGATCTGGCTCTTTTCCCATTACTTACCGCAAAAATCTGATGGACCTACTAGCAAAGCTGGTTTCCATTCCGACTAGCACGGCAGAGGTGCAGAAAGAAATTTTCTAATTACTCTGTTATCAGAACACAACGCAGAAGTCTACAACGATAGAGCATCTAAGCAAATATTTAAGATTTGTCAACCTTCTACTAAACACATTGTTATCTGAAAACTTCATTTAAAGGATTGGTATAAGTGGTCCAGACAGGCTATTGCCGTATGACTTTTTGAAATATCCTAGAAGATGGTATGAAGAAACTGGTCACCTATCTGCTGACTTCCTGGTGCTACCAGAGGGCCAAGAAAAAAATCACAAAAGCGCGTAAAAGAAGAAGAGAGTTTCAAATCCATTTTCGACTCAGAACGCTTTTGCACGCAATTCTACTTCTACTCCGATGACCTTTTGGAGGAAGAAGAAGATTTTTCAGGCAGCGAAATTGTTGTCTCTGGCGTTAGCGATAGTGATATTGTTGATGATGATGTGCAGGAAATGAAATTGTTCCTAACTTGTACATCTTTTGGGATAAACATTATTGCTTGCGTTTTTTGTTGATGCAGTGAAACAGGAGCACAGATCTTCATAATCAATTTTTTTTAAATTTTTTAGATTCTTTTGAATTTTTTAAATTTTTTTCAATTTGTGCCTAAATAAGGTACAAATTAGAGCTCTTCATACCACGCTCTTTTACCTTTTCTCTCTTCCTCCCCCCCCCCCCGACTCACATACCCCCTTCACCCTGGAAGGTCGGGAACAGCCGAGACCCCCTTCACCTGGGGAGAGCCCGGCTCCCCCTATCGCACCTATGCTTGAGACCCAGAGAATGGTCACTCCGCCCATTTTGCAGCTTTGGGGGCTGCGGCGTTGATATACGCCGGGCGATAAGCGCGCCGCAGCCCTGCAAACTGCATTTCCACCCGTACCGCTTCCTCCAAAATAGGTGTTTTTGGGATTCTCGACTTCATATTCGAAATCAGGGCCTTCAGAAGGCCCGAAAGCAACAGAAACATGGAAGCCGAGAATTTAGGTGGACGGCCTTCAAAAAACCTAAAAATTTGTTTGATGGTTTTCCATGAAAGGTTTAATACAACCTTGTACGGATTGTGGAGCTTTCTGAATGGTGTGACCACATTTTTTAGCAACATCGAAAAAGGTTGCTGGTCCATACCTAGCATAACTTTTTAAGGAAGCATAATAAAGAAGAAGAGTTCATATTTAGAATCAACAGCTCTAGCAGTGTGAGAGTTTTCAAATCGTGTTGTTTCTTTTCCGAGCCAAAATATGACCCCCTTTCAAGGTCCTATATGCAACAGTAACGAAGAAAGATGAGCGATTCGCTCTATGCTGTAAATCTAGGTTGAAGCCAATCCTACTAAATGCTACTTAAAATTACTCCAAAGACCTCATGACAAGGAAGTTATCACATTCAGACAGTAGGCACATTTTCTGGGACACCTTATGTAAGGGGTTGCTTTATCAAATTTTGATGCGCAGGTACTGGGATCTTTCGCATAATATGGTTAATTTCGTTTAGAGCCAAAATTTTGGAAATGTTCTAGAAATTCATCTGTCTCTGTTCTTTCATCACCAGAATTTTGCCATTCGAATGTACTCCTTGCGACAAAAAATTCCTCAAGCCGATTACTTTTCACGACAAATGTTTGCAACATTCCTGCAACATATTAAATAAATGAAGTAATCTCCAAGTAAGTCGGCCAATAATCTGCGACCTCTGATGATAGGACAGGCACTAATGAACGATTGCACATCAACAAGTGGACCGAAATGTTAGCTTCGACCTACGGTCATAGAAAGACCATTGACGTTTATGTCTTGTGGTCTTGCTAATCAGCAGAAAAAAGTCATCGTGCAAAAGCAGCGAAAAAACTTCTCAGAACCGTCTAATTAGTGCGCGACCGTCTGAGAGTTCTCTTTCGGTTTTTCTTCTGCTGACCCTTGAAGTCTAGTCTCCTTGAAGCTTTTTTAGGGCAAAGGTCATGTAATAAAACGAAGAAAATCGTGACACGTATGACTTACATATGCAGTGAAAATCACGCGGACATGAATTAATAATCTAGTAAGTTTGAAAGTAGTATGAAACTCCTGCGATGGCGTCAACGTTACCACCTCAGCGTAAAATATGGCTAGGCGCAAATTTCTAAGTTTTAAACCCTATAACTGCCTACCAAAGTTGTTGAAAATTCAAAACACCATGTTTTACAATCTATGGGAATGGTCAGAACTTAATCGAGCTAATCCAACATGCTAACCCTTGATTCAACTAATTTGGCGGCTGGAAGGCGGGCCTTGTGACCTAATTAAGGCCGCTCGCGCCCACGACGCAGTCTGCGTCTCTCTCACGAGCGTGCTCCCTAATCATTATCTAGCTTTAATTTCACGAAGCCCCGCCTTCCAGCCGCCAAGCCAGTGTATCAAAGGGTATATATCACCGGACTCGCCTTAAAACGCTGATTTCAACTATATTTGCTGTCTGCCGAATATGTGTAAGGAGTTCTGAGCGTTCAAATATGTGAAATTCTTCGAGTCTCAACGGATATAATCTGTTGCAAGACACCCTAAAAACGCGTGATTACAGTGATCATGAGTATTTGAGTAGTCTAGTTACAAGTAAGAATTACAATTATAGAAAACTAAAAAATTGTTTTTGAGACGTTTTTGTGGAGCGCAAACTACTCAGCAAATCGCACATTCAAATACCCACTTCTAAATGTCGTTCGGCAGATAATGAACCATGACTGATATCAGCGTTTTGAAGCGAGTCCGATTGTTAGTTGTTTTTTTGGAATAGTGTTCAAGTTCTGAGCATTTCCTGCTAACAATAAGCTACATGTATATTTGGTTCCCTTTTAAGCACTAGAGGTGAAAGATTTAACAAGCCTGTTAAACTCTCCCTCCCCCCCCCCCTTCCCTTATACTTTAGGCAGTGAACACATTTGGACGTCAACTCACCTTTACAGACAGTTTTTATAAAATTGTCAGAAATGTTGGACGAGTCATGATGTATTAGGCGCCATAAGTCTCGCAAAAAATGTGGACCAAATGAAAAATGTTTTATTGCATTTGCGTGGGCACACTTTGGCTGGAAATACGCATAATACCTCCCAAATGGGGAAACTTGTTAATGAATTGTTGTTCAAACTCTAAGAAATCTTCATTTTGACAATAAATCATATCTCCAAGCCGCCGAGGAAATCTCCATGATCAAACTCATAAAACCGCGCCCTTATAGCGGTTTCTACAAGAAAATTGGCATCAGCCTCATGTAATTCTTGCTCTATCCAATGACTCAAAAACCACTTAATTTAGCGGAATCTTGGCGGTCTCCTTCTTTGGCACATTCCTCCTTCAGTCTATAGGATTCACAGATTATACGGCATCTCTAGCCAATTGCCTCTCAGGTTTGTCTGGCACACTGGGAGCTGTTGTAGGAACTTTTGCCTTAGACCGAGTAAGTCGTTCGGAGTATTTCTCAGCCTTTCCTAAAAATAAAGTAATAGATGTGTTTAAAATCATTTTCAGCTAGGACGTCGTCTTTTAGTTCTTGGTTCGTTATTGTTATTAGCGACAGTAAATACGTCAATGATGCTGTTAGTTTACTATTTTAACTATACAAAGGAGACCTGGATAGGTTGGGGATTCCTTGCGTTGTTCATTGTTTTCTTGTTTTTGTTTAGGTAAGCGAACTTCAAAAATGTTCCAAATAACCTCGCAACGTAATTTTTAGCGCTGGAATCGGCCCGACTGCTTGGTTTCTTGGTGCCGAACTCTCGCCAGCTGGATGCCGTGCAAAGATGCAGTCGATGAGTGTTGCAGCTCAGTAAGCAGAAAATCTAAAATTAGCAATATTGCAGGAAAATGATCGATGTAACAAATAAGCACTTCAAAGATGTTTTATTGCAAAAAGCCGATGTTTTCATTCGATTGGTGATAAATTAAATGAGTGTTTTTGAATATCGCTTGCAGATACATTTCGTGTTTTCTCTCTCCAATCATCTACTATCCGCTAAACGCTTCGATTGGTGCATCGTCCTTTTTGGTTTTCATCCTTCCGTTGACCTTATCTGCCATCTATTTCCACAGGTGAGACCACTATCATACAACTGCAAACCTATTAGATACCTCCTTTATCCCTAGAAACCTACCTGAAACGAAAGGACGCACTACTGAGGAGATCGTTGCTATACTCAATCAAACTGAAGTCAAGAAGTTGAAACAAGACGTCAGCGATGCATAGTGTACTTATCGCATCTGTTTTTTTTTTGCATTAGTGAGTAAACATTAAAGACTGTACTGTTCTAACATATTCACGATAGCACGACCCACCGGTAGGCCATGCTTGTTCCTCCATTTCGGACAATACGACCCAGTGGTGGGTCATGTTGTCCGAAATGAAACGAAATAAGATTCCTGAAGCTCTAGCTTTGTCAGTTTACGATTTAATTCTGGGGCATCTGACCATGATTGAAGACACAGGCTAAGCTCCAGCCAGAATGTCCGAGTTCGGGATACTGTAGTGTAATGTTACGGTTGGTACACTGTGGAAAGATATAAGGCACAGACTTTAGCTCAAATTCTTCGTAGAATGATACGTTTCTGGAAGATCAAGTGTACATGCACGATTAATACGGGGTGGGAAAAGACTGACGTTAGCCCACCAAAAATATCGATTTTATTGATTTTATTGATTTTTTGCACTATTCATTCAGGTAGCTCGAATCTTACATGTATAGGTTTTGTAGCATGTTGATTACAAAAAGGGTAGTCCCAAGTTCTAATAAGACCTTTCTGCATGAGTTTCTTGATTTTGACGAAAATTCCACCGTACTGCTACCGTAGCCCAACTGTAGGACAATATTGAACAAAGTGAACCCTATAATCGATCAGCATGTGAATAACTTCAAAACACAATTTTTTGCGAGTCCAAGGTGTTGGTCTTGTACGGGATGAGTGCGGTAACCTTATCGTATAATGCCGAAAAAAATGAAATCCTTCTATATAAAGCTGAATGTCTGTTTGTCTGTCTGTCTGTCTGTCTGTCTGTCTGTCTGTCTGTATGTATGTATGTATGTATGTATGTATGTATGTATGTATGTATGTATGTATGTACGTATGTTCCGAATAGAAAATTCCATTTCTGAACCGATCGGGACCAAACCTAGCACACATACACTTCGGGCCCCGGCGGGTGTCATAGGCTACTTTTCGTCATCGATCGATATCGATTTTATCGATTTTTTGCAAAATTTGAGCTACGGGGCTGGGAGTTGGCACAGGGGGGTAATCGAGCATGCTGACTGCCAAGACAGTGGTAGTGAATTGGCTAGACGTGGGCACATTGAAAAGTTGTACAGGTATAGGGATGAAAGCTTTATCAGTGTTTTGACAGGGCCGAGCGGAGCCGGGCAAGCCAGCTAGTTTTTGATAATCAGCGCCTTCGCCTACCTCTCTGGGAATTTTCTCGGATACATGTTTTGAATTTTTTCAAAAGGACTACCATTTCGGACAATACGACCCACGGGTGGGTCATAAGTTTGACAAAGCAAAGAAGCTCTGGTCGTCCGAAACGGCAGTGATCGAAAAGTGGGACTTGTCGTAAAAGTGTAGAAAGCCGCTATGAAATTGATAGATAGTTTGCGCAAGTACAACGTACCTCTCAGACTTTCAAGAGCGATATTTTGAAGAATTCGTGAAGCTGCTTTGGGCTAAAACAAATGTATTGGAGGTAAAAAGTGTGAGAAGTATTAGTAACTAATCAACACTCAACGTATTTCGATTTTTCTTCTTTATTCTAATAGCTGATACCCGGCTTCTTCGCTCGTTCACTATCATTTCACCTTGATAGGACTCACCATGCCCAGCCATTTCTATACAAAGCGTTTCCGTCTCCGTTCCACTTCCACATACCAGATCCCTGTTTCCGGTTACTGAGCTAATCTTCTCTGTACAAAGCCCCTACCGTAAATCAGAGTTGGTAAATAATTTCTGGATTAAGTTGATAAAGTGATGGACATTTTCACAAACGGTTATTCGATACGTTATAAATATACTTTATTGCCCTTTGTGCCAACTTCCAGCCCATACAAGGTTTAAAATCGATAGATTTATATAGATCGACAACGATTAGTAGCTTGCGGCACCCACACTGCCTCAAAAAGTATGAATGTTGGGCTGATTCATGATTCATGCATCCGAGTATGTCAAATCTGTAGTTATATCTTTCCTAAATCTAACAAGGGAACCGTGTCGAGTCGAAGTGGCCTTTCCAGATGAGACCCATACTGCTTTGAAGAGCATTAATCGGTATTCCAAATCTGCTTTCCAAATCTGCCAAGCGCCTTTGGACGCCGAGTTATGCTCGTTTTTCAGGTCAAAAAACTGAACGCAAAACTGAAGCAGAATCGCACAGATTTGCTCAAATGGTGCAGTGTCAAGTATCAGAGCTGTTTTTGCAATGGATACATTTTATTTATTATAATATGCTAATACTTAACATTAACATTGCTTTATCTGAGCGCTAGAAAGATTGTAACAATCAATTTTACCCAAATTCTGCATTCATTTTTCGTTCCGAAGAACGATCATAACTCGGCGTCCAGAGGCGCTTGGCAGATTTGGAAGGCAGATTTGGAACCACCGCTTAATACTCTTCAAAGCAGTATGGGTCTCATCTGGAAAGGCCACTTCGACTCGACACGGTTCCCTTGTAAGTTAGGTGATGGAGTATCGGATAGAGCAAAGCAAACTTTACAAGGTGGTTTTCAGACATGCACAGCCTCAACACAAGCTTCGTGAAGCCAAAAAGCAAGAAAATTCATATGCTCAAAAATCGAGAAAAATCACAACTCCATATAATAAAAACCTCTTGCAGATCTTTTATTCTCTCGGCATATGCCGAGAGACTGTACTTACTTGGGGTGCCTTCATTCCGCGTCGGCAGCCACTGCTAGCAGCCCGTAGCAGCCGCTGGCAGCCCGTTTTCCTGGCGCCAGCTCGTATTGAACTCTAACTGAAATAGGGAATTTTCGATTTCAACATTTCAACTTGTGGTTTACCACAACTCTCATGATCGACGACTTAAATGTGTTTTGAAAATACGCAGAGGACTTGTTTTTACTTGTAAATAATTAAAATAATTTTTAAAAGTTCAAAAATTCAAATTAGCCTTGTACAAAAAAATTTTCGTGGCGGCAGTCATCACGCCCCCTCTTTCTGAAATTTTGGGGTGAGGGGCCCGGAAAAATTTGGGAAACATCCCAAAAAAATTTTCGGAGTGCGTGGCTGACGCCACACACCTTCATCAGAAAAAATTTTTGTCGCGCCCCCGCCCCCGCCCCTCCCCCCGAGCCGAAATTCTGGGTACGCCACTGGTGTCTAAGTATTTAATGCCTAAAAGGAAAGAAAATATTAAGAGCCCATTGAAAACGCTTACCTGAAGAGTTGTTCAGTCCAAGAATCCAGGATGGTAACGCCAGAAGTGAACTGTGTGTGAAATGACACACATGCCATACAAAATGATTCGACTGTAACTTACCTTCGGAACAAAATCATAAACTGACCATTCCAGTCGCACAATAGCTGGAAAGCTCAGAATTTGCTAAAATTTGGTCCACAGGGGTCATGTGACAAGCTGATTATCAAGGTATCTACACGTTACGCTTAGTAAGGCTTTTTCATCCGTTCTAAATTACGTGTACGATAATTGAATATCTCAGGTGCTTGTATCCTGCACTATGTGTCTAACTGACATTATTAACGAAACTTGTTATCGCTTATCCTCGATTACGCCTCCTTCCAATCTGACTCCCCGATACGACTAGTATTACCCATCCTCCACATCGTCTCGTCGTGCGGACATTTCGCGCTCCAATTCACGTCATCGTGCCGCCGCGAATTTAGCGTTTTCAAATTCGCTTGTTAGCGAATATTATTCTTTTTCTTTTTGTTCTCATAAAAGTGAATTGACCTTTCATAATGTAAGAACAACTCAAGACGTGCAGTCAAGAACGATTTTTGTTTTTGTACACTCCCTTGTTTATCTTGTTTTTATCCATGTGGTAAGAGAATGCGTACTAACTTGCCTTGTTATTCTTACTGTTGCTGCTACCATTGCAAGATAACTTGTACTTCTTCTGCTTGCTTTGGAATTTACGTTTACAGCCTAGATGAGTCGCAGAAGAAAACAGAGTGATACAGATGCAGCGCCGTTACTGATGGAGGATATGGATCTTGATGAAAATGTGCCTTCTAAATCTTCGGACGATGACAAAGAAGCAGATGTAACTTCGATCATATGTTTTTTTCGGCCTGCTTATCTTGGCCTCTCTTTTTCAGTTACCAAAGAAGAAGGTTGCACGACGAAACGCGAGGAAGAAACAGGTACCTGAGCTCGACGTGGAAGAAACTGAAAAAAAGAGCGTGGAAGAAAAGATTGAGTACTTGCTTAGCGATTATTCTGCATTACTGGAAAAGGCGTGCAAGAACGAGAAGGGACAGGTACGACCTTCATCGTCTCTGTTTTTCGTAACTTTTTAGTGGAAAAATAATTGTAAAAAGAGAAATTGACAGTGCTTTCTGTGTAATTTGTATACAGAGTGTTGAGTGATATTCCATGCTGTCTTCCCTTTGTTGTGCAACTTCTGTCAATAATTTCATTTGTAGAAGACGCTTATCAAACGACTCTGGTCTGACTATGAAGAAGCTGTGCAGCAGTGCGACGTGAATGCTTTGCGACATGCTCTGTGGGAGCCATCGTTCACAGCGTCTACGGAAGGTGCGTCGTTCTCCCTTTTGTAAAGGTTTTCTTCATCCTTATGCACTTGTTGACTCTCATTATCGCGTTTAGGAATTCGATTTTGTGCCTATGCCTTACGTAAAATTGGTATACGCAAGGCTTTCTTGCTTATGAAGAAGATGATAGTTGCAGGTGCTACGAAGTGAGGATCATTTTTTTTTTGGAGGCATCTTTACTTTGGTTTCTTTTCCGTTTATGAAATTTTGCTGCACTGAGTTCGTAGCTGTGTTTTCAATATGAAAATGCAAGTACCTTGCAGAATTTAGCTTTGAGAAATGCAAGGCGCCTGGAAGACATTCCATGCAAAACGCGAAGAAGTGAAATTCCTTCCTCTAATTTCTACGCAATGTTGCTTATGACGGCAACATGTATCATGTATCAGTCATGCCCATTTCCTTCTCCCTCCTCTGTCCATTTTTCCCACCGGGAACCTTACCAGGGGAGAGTTTTTGTGGGTGTAGAATTTGGGCGTGTTGTCTCCGCACCACACCTTTGAAGCATGCTAAAAGGGTTGATATTAGCCATTCGCTGTTCAAGTGAGCGAAAGTTTTCCTTTGTGTTCCCACCACCCTTTTCTGCAGCAACTCGCCTGACCGCACGAGCCACACATAAACATACTTCCCCAAGTAAAAAACAGTTTTTTGGAATTCGAAAAATTTGTAAACCCAAAGATTTTGCCTCAGAACTGTCGTTAAGCTCCTCCATATCCTTCACTGCGAAATCAAGTCCTTTTGTGTGCTTGTTTTTTTTTTCTGGGTCAAATTTGTAATTGCAGCACTACATGTGGACATCTGGGGCAAGTCATCTACGTTGCTTGGCGCATGGCTGTAAAAGAGGAAGACGAAGAAACAAAAAAGCAAATTGAAGTCGAGATGATTACTGGAACCCTTCACGCTGCTGTGCTTCTACCAGTAAATCTCTCAGCGAAATTCATGCATGTGAGTTACTTATATAACTGTCTGCTACATCTGCTTTACTTTGAGAATCTAGGTTCTATCTGCTTTTTCTGGAACGAATGCCGAAAAAGCCAGAGTAGATGGAATGCTCGTCAGATGTTTTGATTCGGTGCTGTGGATTGGGATTGATGTACCGTTTTTGTTTTTTGCATAATACTTTTTCCACAGAAATTCTTGTAGTCTTGCAACGACATGGTGCGTTACTCTGCCTCTACTGTTTTGTTAGGTTTCTATCCTTTGATAGATGAGGATGACTTTGTAAGTTTTTATTTGCTGTTTGGAAATTTCGGACAAATTTCCTTGTTTAGAAAAAAGACGAATGCTTGTACAAGCAGCACTCTTCCATGATGAACATGTTGAAGGACGAATGCACTCCAATCAGAACAATGGCCGCGAAAAGGGTTTCTTCTTTTTCCTTACATCTCACCATCAAAGGTTTGATTTTGCCATTTAGGTTCTGAAGATACTGAGCACTTTCTGGAACTTTATTCCTCGCGACTTTATCAAGCAGTATATGACTTTTGTAAGTGTTGTTAATTCATAAAATCCTTATCGGCTAACCTATCTTTATAATCATACAGATTGTCGATGTACTATCGCGCGACTCTGTAGTTGCTGTGCGCTTGGCCGTTTACGAGGTTTGCATCCCATATACAGTTCTGTGCAAGTATTTTTGTGCATATCCTTCTTTTGAGTCATTATTGGCTTTACTTATTATTAGCTTAATATTAATAGTGAACAGCTTTTATTCGCGCTTGAAGACATTTGCAGTCTCAATTTAGAGAATAATTATGAATCTTTTCAGGGTATGCGATACCTAATCACCGTTCCTGCTTGCTTAAATGCAGCCGAACATGCTTTAAAGTGTATTTCCCTTAATGGCATCAACGATAAGAATGAGAGAGTACGAATGGCTGCATTTGAGATGTTAAAATTGCTCAAAGGACATCGCTACATACGGGTGAGTATGAATCATGCATCTCGGACTGGAACTTCTATGATCTGTTCCATCTTTGCAACTGTCAGACTGTAATTTCTTTTGCTTATCGTCTGGCATTTTTGTAAAGTATCAATGTCATTTCGCCTCTAATCCCAGATTGACTGCTTTAGTTCTTCGATGTGGTACCTATGGAGGAAGTACTGGCTCGCCTGCAAATCGAAACATCTGAAAGTGTTCGTCGTCAGATTGTTCCGCTTATCTTTAAGGTATGATTAGAAAGTATAGATCCTTATATAAAGCTAGCTTGCCCAAAATGTGTTCATTTTTGCTTCCAGTCATTCTTCCCAGATCCGGAGCGCGTTGACAGGAATGAGCGAATGAAACGCATAGCTTTCCTCATCAAACACGGTCGAATTTGTGCGCTATCGTTCCACCGTCTTCTATTCCCACTTGGGCTCGTAACTATCAAAGAAGCAGGTATGTTTCTTTTTTTAGTGTTTCTTTCCTTTTTTATGTTTCTCATCTCATATGCATGCTTAACTGTATGAAAGAGCGCCGAGGACTCATACACTAATTTGCAGTCGAACACATCCAGTTTATGACTATTCTTGTCTATCGCTCATTCTCGAAGGGCATCGCTGCGGATACAACTATGGATTCTTCTACATCGTTGTTGTTGGATGACACAGTAGGAACGCTCACTGGGCCAAGTCAAGAAATGAGCATGCCAGGTTAGCTTTTAAACTTGATACCGTCCTATGTATTTAGGGTTTCATTAAATAATATGGAGCGCCACATGAATTTTAAACTTGATACCGTCCTATGTATTTAGGGTTTCATTAAATAATATGGAGCGCCACATGAATATATTGATAATAATTGATAACAATTTATGATTTGGAACTGCTCAAAATTACAGTAGCAAAATTGTTGAGAAAACATCATTTTTGAATGGAAAGGTGTTTAGTTAGTGAGCGAGATGCCCAAGATGTAGACGTGCTCATATCATGGTAAAACATATTTACTCACTTTTCACTATGCCACAACCGTTTTCAGTTGCGCTTTCAACCGATCTGAAATTATATGGAATCATATGCTTTTTAGAAAGCCGTTTTAAGCCAAAATAGAGTTATATTAACCTTCAGATGAGAACAGTCCGGTCTGGAAACGTAACAAAGTGTTTCTGGAGTGTGTGGTCGTGATGTGGATGAGCATGCGGAAGGTGGGCTCAAACTCACTTTCAGATTTCAAGTAGTAAAATATTTTCAGGCTCTTATGGAAAGCAGATACGCAGCAGAAAAGCAAAAATTGGATACACTGGAGACTAAAGTGTTCAAAAAGATGTTCCAGTGTTTTAGGGTAGGTATGCGATGTTGCGCAACTTCAGCTTATAAGTGGTAAACAATCTGCTTCTAGACCACATCCCTTATTGGAACAACAATGCTCATCGGCAGTATGCTGCCACCATCATCTATGGATGGTATTACACAGTCAGTGTTATCGTTGCTGAATGAGAGGGTGGTTGATGAGTCAGTCATGGAACCTTATCTTGAAGCTACTGCTCAATGGAAAATTGAGTATTTGTTCGAAATCATAAACTCCGGTAAGCTGTTACCCAATCATATCTATCGGTCCACATGTAGATATAAGCTGCAGGTTTGTCCATCCTACAAACACACATTAGCGAACCCGAACATTCGCCTCCTTCGAAAAAGAAGAAATCTCCTGAAGTGAGTCTCGTCATCATATGCAGCAGTAGTAAAAGACATTTAATCATCACTCTAGCTGCCTCCAGTGGATCGACTTCGCAAAGCTTTGCGATATCTGCGATACTTGCTACGGAGCTACACTACTAATCAAATGATTACTTGCAGTTACTTATATCAGCTGGAGCAGTTTTACAAGGCGAGTCAGTTTCGAAAGTTCTACTGCAATCATCACTCTGATAGAACAGTTCAAGAAAGGAGCAAAAAAAGTGCTTTCGTATTTTCTGGAGATTCTTTTTTTTGCATAATCATGAGCATTTTGGGGGAGGGAGTGGGAACTGGTGAAGATGTGTTGTTAACCACGTTGATGACAAACCTAAAGCAGCCGGTATGTTGGCACTTTGGGCGGCCATGTTTGACTGACCTAAAACTCTGTGTGAGTGAGATCGGTCGGTAAAACTGTCTAACCGCATTTTTTTTCAGTAGATACCAGTGGTCCTAAGATTTTCTTCAAGAAGGCAACCAAGTGCTTTTTTAAGAGTCGTTTTTATTTAGATTTTTATTAGAAGATCTTTAGGAAAGGGTAGCTAGCAGCATAATTCAAGTTTACTAAAAAATTCTGAACTACGAACAAGTCTGTTTCCCAATTCTGGGATTTATTTGGCCTCTTTTGAAAACCATGCGATCCAGTCTTATTTTCTATCAATTACCTCGATTTCAATGAATATTCTATGTGACATAAAAAAACACATCGGTTAGATTTTTCGCTTAGAGGATCATCTTTTCATATATTCAATCGCTTTTTGTTAGCAGTCAGCTTGTCTGTTTATAGAAACTGTCTATGATTCGACACGTCGTTGACCTCAGGCTTGGCAGAGAAGTCAGTGATGTTGGCATACCTGATAATCTTATCGTAGAAGCCTTTGAGATGAAGCAGACGCTTACGGTCGTACTAATTAATTGCAAGGTAAGTATATACCTTTGTAACCTAAACTCTAACGGAAAATCTAGGATCGTGGCGAAGATGACAAAGATCACTTCTCAAGATTTATAGTCGACATGTGTGATGAGCTGAAATGGTTTGAGTCAGATGTGTTATCCAACTTGTCAGCCCTCTATTCAGAAGATGTTATCTCGTTTTTGATTCGGCTTAGTCAGGTATGAAGTTGTTATTGACCAAGTGTATGTTCTGTCATTCTTCAATTTAGACAGTATTGCGATGCATTGGACTTACAATGGCATCATGGGATTTTACGGAAATTTCGGAAAGCCTTGCCGCTTCCGATTCACACGCAGATGAACTTGTTCCTGAAGACAAGAACTACCCGAATATTTGTAGCAGGTACCTTTGAAGACTTAATGTCATCCGAAGCATAAAAGCCGCGCATTTAGAGTGGTGCTAGCTTTTTGTAGCAGCAGTACTCCATCAGCATTGTTACCAACAGTGCTCACTGCAGCCAAGCTTTTGTTGGAAGATGGAGTAAGTTTAAATAGAAATCATACTCCTAGTAAAACTTTAGCTATAATTCAATATTTGTTTCAGTGCGCTACGTTCTCAAATCTTTTATCTGTTCTTGACTATGTTCCTAAATGGATAATATCATGTACCAGTAACGATGAAAATTTGGATGAGAAAGGTATATTGAACACTGCGTTCGTTTTCTGCGAAAGTCAGTCGTTTATAGCAATCGGAGACGCATACCTTACTCTGTGGCGTGCGTTCCTGGAAAGGACGGAGTATACCGAAGTATTGCTCGATAAGTCTATCAACATCTGTGCAGTTCATCTCCTCAATTATCTTACTCAGCTAAATGAAGATGTTAGTGTTTTTCACAAAATCGAGAAAAACCAGTCTACAAGGAATGACATTTTTGCTCCAGACTCATGAAGTACAAGATCCGCGACTGCACGATTTTGAAGTGACACCTGCTATATCATTACTTCTTCATCGAGTTATATTTAAGAATAAGGTTTTAATCACGTGAGTTCAGTGCATTCCTACTAGGAAGAATTTTTCCCGAATATCATTTTATCTTAGGAAGTTTATGGAGAGAGTCGGAGGTCTTTCTTGTAGCGATCTCTTGTACACGAATGATTTGGATGGTGATACATGTCTGTTGCGGTTGGGAAGCTGTGCGCAACTTGCGCTTCTTTGTGACTTAACTTCGCAGGGAGTTCGACGAGTTGGCAACAGCACCTCAAGTGAGTTTAGACTTCGTAGAAATTCGAGCAGCAGTATAGACGCTTTGAGACTAACTTTTCCCTCTTTGTAGCTGTCTACCGCACCAGCAGGAAAGTCATGGATCTCCTAGCTATACTGCATGATCGCGTAGAAAATGTAGCAAAGACCAATCCGCCTAAGGATAATATGGTGTTATCTCAAATACGGGAAATGTTTGAATAGTTGTAACATCTATTCGCGATTTCTGCTAATTGATGATCTCTGTATGCCTTACACCTCACTCGGCAGTATCACTGATAAGATTTGCGCATAAATATTACTGCCTAAACATGTCTGCAGTTTACTTAAACCTCGTGTTTTGCTTGATTTTTCGAGTTGATGTATTTAGATTTTGCATCTACTTTGAATACCTTTACCTCATTCATTGGATAGCCGAGCCTAATAGCCAATAATTGTACTCATCGGTCCAAAGTTTGTAATCCTTTTGTATAGTGCCTGAATCATTTGATTCTGCTAGTTTTCTATAGCCATAAATCCCGTTGATAATTTGTCGCTTTCCGAGTTTACCAGATTGGGCATGCTCAAGACTTTGTGCTCTTGCAGAGCATATCTAGGAATTTTCAACAGCAAAAAGGATTATACAAAACATCGTGGGATGAAAAAGACGACGAAAGCAATAATTATGCGTCCCTGTTTTGGTACCTTTCACCGACTCGCTCAAGAACTACATGACATATTTTTTCTTTTTCTCGAACCCTCTAATATGTGCCATTTCATCGATCTGTATATAGTGTCTTTAAAGATACATAAAGGTGCATAGCATGCTTCCAGAACAAGTTTGTTGTACAGTTCAGACATGTGATCAGAAAGTAGCAGATGTCCTTTGCGACTAAAACTGGTCAGCTCTGCCGTCAAAAGATAGCGAGATCGTAGTTCAATAGATTATCACATGTTCAGTTTATTATCACGGATCTCCCTCATAGAGGGATCACAGCCGATTAGTCGCTAGGTTACGTGAGGCCCCTGGGTGGCGGATAAGGAAATGATCGCCAAAAAGAAGTAACCCGCGCCTGCAAAAACAGGTGCTTCTTGTGCTCGCGAAATTGGGGTAATATGGGTTGCCAGCAGGAAGGCACTTCCTTTTCGGAAATATCGGTCTTAAATAGCTTTACGGATCACTTTTTCGTTATGAATTCTGCCTGCACGCAGCTCATAAGGCACTCCATGTTCTGTGAGCGACTTGTAGAGCTCTCCCTCTTGAACATACTACATATATGTCTGTAAGCGGTTTGTGAATGATTTCTCTCTCACAAATATCTTATCTGTAAACGGCTCGTGCATTAGTTTTTGATAGACACCGGTCTGTAAGCGGCTCGCAGTATACCTCTCATGTATAGGCCGTATGCGCCTTGTGGGTTAGTTTTTTTCATGGATATCGGCACATTCTTCTTATGGGTATGGGTCTGCAGGCATCCGTAGAGCGTTTTTTCGGTGTAATGAACTACTTACTTTTTGCCCCGTTACTTCCGGATAACAATTTTTTACATACATAATTGTACAGAAACTCTGCTCAGATGGGCCTCCATGAAAGAACAATGTTTATTTTTTGCCAAATCCCTAAAAGTAATAGGACTGTGTTTTTGGAAGAAATTGTCGTTTTGCTTCGACTGCCTTGAAAGTGACTTTCAATAAAAATTGGTGAAAAAATTTTGCCCAAGGGATATTCTAAAAGGTTTTTTTGCCGTTGAAAGTACTTGAAGGTTGAGGCTAAGCGAAACAAGTTGCGACTTAGTAGTGATTTCATCAGAGCAACTGAAAAAAATTGAATGCGTGTAGCACTTCTTTTCCTTCTGGAAGGGATTTATTTGAGACTCTTGAAAAGAAAACTTTGGGGAGTGAGTTTGAAAAAATATTTTTTTTCCGTCATCGAAAGTTTGCCGGATTGTAGCAGAACACTGAAGAAACATTGAATAGTTTATGGCTTCATTGCTTGGAAAATTACTCCTCTTCGATGCAGTTTTTTTCAGAAATAGTTGGGTAGCCAGCACGGAGGAGATTTCCTTAGTGAAATTGGAAAGTGCTCTGGATACATGGCTTCTTCAGGATCCTCTTTAACTTGAGCTAGTTCGCTTTCAATTCGTGTAGCCCGGCTAGAATTCGTGGAAAAATCTTGTAAAAATATCAATCTTATCGCTCTAAAGTTCCAAAAGAAAAAAGAAGGATTCCAACAAAAAAGCTATACTCGTAAGAATCTCGTAGCTATGTGGGTTCTGCTATTTTGAATAATCTTCTGTGAAGTATGGGAAATCTGACTCAAATGGTTTGAAAATTCGAATATAAAATCTAAGATTTCGGATATTATTCGATAGTCGAATATTCAGAATCTTTCATTTTCGAATATTATTCGTTAGTCGAATATTCGAAAATTTTGATTTTCGATTATTAATCGATAATCGAATATTCGAAAAAAATTTCGAATTTCACCCAAGTATACCGATCATGCAATTTGGAGGCAGAAAAATGCCTCTAACTTTCCTCAGTAAACTGTTGGGCGAATGCGGAATATTGTTTGGAAATCAGCGCTCAAAGATTTTCCGACTGATATAAGCCTCATTAGGAAAGTCCATTTCGGGTTAAAACCTTCCCTGTCAACTGTCCATTTCTCGTGAACTCATTTCGCAAAAAAGACCTCTCCCATCCCCGCCCTCACTCCTCCAATAGGACTCTATTTGCCACACCTCGACGTTTTACTCTAGTTGGGGTTTTGGTACCATGGGTTCAACTGATGCTGTTAACGAGTATCATGTTATCCCTGGCATCAGAATCACCTTGGTTACGATCCGCTCCCTCACTTTTCAAGCCGAAATCGAAGGAGTTTGGGTGCTCGAAAAATTGAAAAGAATTTTTATTTCTATTTAGAGAAGACTTGCCGGACCTTCCACTTACTCACACATATACACTCCACATAAGACAATCATATGTACCGTTGCTGTATTCGTATCTGCTAGAAACCAAGAAAACCAACATTCTCAAACTCTCAAAAAGCGATGCTGTGCTGTTCCCACCTAAGTTAGTGTCTACTACAATTCTTTAGAAGCATAATAGCGAATTTCCAGTTTTCTACGGGCTTACTTCCCGAAGATAATTTCAATACAAAAGACCCTGACAAGAAAAGCTAAATTTGATGTTTCTCAAGAACTCACGTTTCTAACAGGGGAAGGATACTTGGATGCCGTAGCCATTCATAATGATTTGTATACCAAAAAATGCGCTTTTGAATGCTAGTTCGTAGACTGTCTTTCAAATCTGCGAAACGATAATCTGAATGGAGTTATGATTTTTTTCATTAAAAAAATTTGCGTTCCTGCGGAGGGTCAAAATCATCAATAAAATAATTTTCTCTCCTTTCCAAATGCTGAGTATGATCCAGATAGTCTGAATAAATATTACTACGTCTAAAATTTTCTTCAGTAGCATCAAACGGTAGGCTAGATCAAATCTGGTGATTTAAACTATCCAAAAGTAGGCCAAATTTTCAAGGAAAAAAGTTCATAACTTTCTTCAAAAAATCGCTTCGCAGATTTCGAGCACAGATTCAGAATCTGCATTCGAAGGCGCACTTTTTGGTATAGAAATCATTAGGAATGGCCGCGGCATCCAACTATCCTTCCTTTGTAAGAAATGAATCTGCGTATGTGGTATGCATCTTATGCAGCTTTCTTTGTTCTATCAAACGGTATCTATCCTAACTAGCGTCAAGAAATGTATGACTTACTGCACGAGGAAGTCAAATTTCAAATTTTTTCGAGACTACGCAATATTTTGAAAGGAATAAAGGCCTGCTAGTTTCAAAAAGAGAAAACCGTAGGAGAACTGCCTAGCCTCGATCATTGAAAGTTGTTCAGAAGTTCTTGACCGATATGCAGCAAGCTATTTCTCACAGCTTCTGTGAAAAACACGCAATTGTAAAGTGCAACTCTAGGCTTTTATTGGACTTATGTACGAGATTTTAAATTATATATTACCTTGATTCAACTGGCCTAGCGACTGGAAGGCGGGGCTCTATGACCCAATTAAGGCCGCTCGCGCCCGCGACGCAGGCTGCGACTCTCCTGCGCGCGTGCTCTCTGAGCAATACCTAGCCCTAATTTGGTCACGAAGCCCCGCCTTCCAGCTGCCAAGCCAATTGAATCAAAGGTTACGTTAGATTTGACACTTCTTCTTGGCTGATGTATCTTTAAAATAGTTGAACGCATGTACATAACCATGCACAAATGAAGAACAACTTTATAATTATGTATTAATTCCGCAAATGACTGAGAAAACAACAGTTAAAGGCAATCAGCCCCATTTATAAATACATGGAAATAGGTTGCTGAGAATCAAAGCGTTGATAATTAATGCTAGCCAACAATCTGAGTATGATTTAATCAGTATTTGTAAGCTCTGATGACGATATCTTTGGGCGGATTCATAAAGCTTTGGAAATGTTTTTCTCCATATTTTTCTATGCCATCCGCTGAGATCACCGGAGAAAGAAATTCGACCTGTAATTGATCTCGAGCATTACGAATAAGGAAATCTAGTACGAAAAATAGCAAGAAACGTTTGGCATGAAAAACAACAGATAGATTTGGTGCAAACACAAGCCTAAACAGCTTCCCCTGCAAATACAAGGGGGTGCCAAGACGTACAAAGAAGGGATAAATCGCTAAATTTTGCAGGATTGTCTATGATTGCGGAGTCGTATTGTCGGATAATTTGTCTTGATTTGATGTTTAAGACCTTAACTTCTGATTTGCTTTGAGAAAGATTTTCAGGGACGTACCTAATATCACCATCTTTCTAATTGCAAATCCTCTGGGATATGGCTTTGTAAAAAAAAGTTAGACAGTAAATTAAAAGGAGTAGCTGGGATCCTCCAATATCTGCATTACCTTTTTGAATCCCGCTTCCTTCAAAACCTGCTCGTAGGTTTCGTTAAAGAAAAAGGTCACCTTTGAACTTCCAACAACCTCTAAAATTACATGAAATCTGTTTGTTATTGAATATGGAAAGGTGCAAGGGAACACAACATAAAGAAGATGACATGCATACCTCCATTACTGAAAAACTCGACAGAGAGCCGACGACCGTCATATAAGTTGGAATCTGACTCCAAATTGATGGCAGCACCTAGGATCGCGTGGTGAGGTGAACTTACACGAGGTTAGAGCTGAATGTTACCAAATTTTTGCCCTTCTTCCCTCTTAGGATTAAAATCTTTCACGCCATTGGGTACTATGGCCACAAGTATGCCGGTTTCTTTAAGACTTTCGAATATATTTCGAATTGCCTGAAATTCGTCCTTTGACTTTCGAATCATTTAACACATTACTAGGGGTAGGGGGACGAAATCCGCCATTTTGAGCTCGCTTTCGCTGCCAGCTGGTCCTTTTGTTACATTGTTGCATGTCGTTGCAGGAACAGTAGTCCGCGGAGGCGGTTCAAACTGGCGGAGTTCGTTCCTTTACCCCATTACTAGTTCACCTTGAACAACTCCTCCTTGTCTTTCATAAACTGCAACACAAAGAAAGACACAGCTACGTCAAACTCATGGGACAAGTCAAGATCCAACACGGACATTTGCAGAAATTTATGTCTATCATCTAAAATTGCTTACAAGCGGCTGCTTCTTTCTGCGTTTACATACCTTTGTAAGTGTTTTTCGCTATTTCGATCATTTCTTTGGAACTGTCCAATCCAACAACTTCCAGAGCGCCGTTCTCGAGAATATCATGGCCAATGCTGCCTGCAATTCTCTTCTCGGAACCCATTCGCTTATTTTTGGAACTAGCGAATATTAAGTACTAAAGTCCTCCTATTATTGACGCCTAATATTATTACTAGAATTTATTACAAAATTTATTTTCATGACTAGTTTTATATTGAATTGTAGCAGTGGCAGTCCGAGAAACTCTTTCTCGAGGGGGGGGGGGGGAGGGAATGATCGGGCGACAGAATTTTACGAAATAACAGGGGTGGCGCCAGCCACCATCCTCTGAAAAGCTCAACGATGTCAAATTTTCTGTGGGATTATAACACAACAACTTTGGAAGAAAAGGGGGTGAGCCACTCAAAAATTTTTACAGACCTGCTTTGAGATTTCGAAAATTCTGAAGGTTGCTAGTTTGCAAGTAAGGAATAACTGGCACTATTCTGAAACTTTTTTGGCTACTATTGCGACCTATTTGGAGGGAGGAGTGGAGAACTTTCACGTGCATACCTAATCCACGAATGGATCGCGACATTTTTGAAAGTGGAACGAGATTATGCATATAACATGTTCTTAATTGCTAGCAATTCTCAAGATTCTTTTGACTTGAAATAATTCAAATTAGCTTCATATTCAACCTTTCGTGGTAGCCCGCCCTTTCTTCAGCATTACAGGTCCGAAACTTTCCAAAATAAAGCATTCCAAAATGTATGCTTAGGAGTAAGTGACTAGCGTGACCCCTTTCTTCAAAAGGTTTTTTCTGTTTCTCTTTGCCTTGAGAAGTCATCGGGACCATCACCGCCAATGTACAGCTGCTCAACATCTAAAAGCCTTCATGTCCAGGCTGAACAACAGTGTTCTGTTACAACGAATAAAAATGAAATGGAGCAATAAGAGCGTCTTTATGATGCTGGGAAATAGTTTTTGTGACCACAGAGAGCTTCCTAAAACAAGCATAGAGATCTGGTTTGGATTACCTTTGATTCAATTCATCTACTTTCGAAAGCTTACAAATCGCTCTATTATATCGAGCTTTTAGCGTTCCTGACAAAGTTGCTGTAGGTATTATCTGGCCAATTTCAAGATGTTAGATTGTCTCACATATGTGTAATATGTAATATTAGGTCATTGCAAAAGTAATGTCGCTTTTTCAAGTGAGCGCCATATTTGGTGGAATAAAGATATCCAAGATATCTTAGTAGCATTCAATGCAGGAATTCATCCTGTTTCCAGTGATTATAAAAAATCCTGCAGCACACTCACTGAGCTCTCGAAAAATTGCCAAAATCTGCGACCCACGCTTTTAAGATGGCCAAGTTTCACAAGTTTTCCAAACTTTCAATTCAACCCTCTAGAGAAGCGCGAGAAACGATTCGCTAGAGCAAACCTTAGAGGATGAGGTACAACTTTTTTTCTTCTTAATATCCCCTCCCCCCTCCCACAATTTTTCATAAGATTTTTATCAAAACCATCGGATCTTGACAGGCCTACGTCAGCCACAATCACATCAAAAGTCAATAGTTTTCCGGAAATTGAAACTTCCAAGATACTGCTGTGATCACCAATTTTACATAGCAAATGAGAGTTTACGGACTCAAAATAGCAAATTTCGAATTTTTCGGGTACAGGGTACAGCCTGGCGCATTCAAAACATGAATTATGATGATTTATTCCCCGAAGTTTCCACGAATCGGAAGCAAAAATCACACATTAGAAAGAAGAGAAAAAATCGAATAGCACACCAGCTGCTCTCCTTTTGATGTTCGACGTTTTGGCTAACCAAGTATCGAAAATGGTAGTATCATTTAGAATCCCATTTGAAAAAATAAGACGAGTTATGAGAAAGAAAGAAAACTTGTTTTGCATCCTGTAGGGTTTGCTCTGTAAACATGTTACTTGGATTCCTTTAGGGGGTTAGTATAAAAGTTTAAAAAAAAATTGTGAGCATTGACCATCTCAAAAGCATGGCTCGCAGGTTTTGGTAATTTTCCGAGAGCTCGCTGACTCTGCTGCAACGTTTCTATAATCATTAGAAAGAGAATGACTGCTGCATCGAATGCTACCAAGAATTCTTTGAAATCGTTGTTCCCCGAGGTGTGGCCTACATTTGAAAAAAAAAACGACAACGACATTAGTTTCGAACGACTCAATAGATTGCAGTCGAGTTTCGCAGTCTTCCCAACTCATGACTTTATCCAGCACGTATGCCGAATATGGACTTCATGCGGAATCGCTATTGGGTCTGATAAAACCAAAGTTTCAAGAATAACGTACCTGTCCCACAACCAACATCAAGCACTTTCTTTTGGTTTATGAGAGACCAGTCCTCCAAAGCTCGTGCTATTGTTGGCGCGACGATATGCGTTTGTCCGATCCACTCAGTTTTTGCGTCCGAATAGGCGATAGAAGGAAAAGTAGACATAGTTGTGACGAATTTATAGATGTGAGAGTAGATAACGAGTATTGAACATATGTGCCTTGGATGGACACGAGAAGTAGTCAGTCAGGTCATGCGTTTGCCCGTCAATTGGACGATATCAATTGGGAGTCAGAGGTCACTTTTTTCCTAACATTACAGTCTATGTATGGCTCAAGAAACGACCCTTTGACCGCCAGATTAGCAGATTTAGAAGGAAGTTCTTCACCAGAATTATGAAGTGCATTTACAGAGGATACTCTACTTATGAAGTTTTAAAACAAATCGCTTTGCATAAGCTGGCGCCGTAACTCCTATTTCCAAGTTTTGGCCATAAACACGCAAAAATTTGGAGAGCAAACTCAAAAGTTTTTGGAGGGCGACTAAAGCCACACCCAAATTTAAAAATGCTTTCACGTTTTCGCCCCCCCCCCCCTGGTTGAACATAGCGCAAAACGTTATGGTCAGTTCTACTATCTCTCGCAATCATTGGCACCTCCACAGGTTTATACAATACCGCTCTTTTGTGGAAAAAAGACGCAAATCGAAGTAGACTCGCGCGAAGTCGCGTAAGTCTCGCGGCGGTCGCCTGAGTTACGTGATGGTCGCCGGATTCATATGACACCGTCGCGTGGCCATATCCTTCAGAGTGGACAAATTCTGAATTCAAGGACACCATTCGATTCAGCTTGGCGCGAAGCATCTTCCAACTCATTGAAAATAAGGGTACGGTAGGTATATGTCAGAAAGTCAATTTCCAAGATACGCCTGAAGCTCTGCATAGAAGGCTTACTCTAGCTCATTACAGGAGCAATATTTGTTTATTGCAGTGATGGTAAACTGTAGGGTTATGGTAACGGCACGATGATAACCAACCTCCACATATACAGGGTGTCCCAAAAAATGTGCCTACTGTTTGGTTGTTATGAACTCTCTTGTAATGAAATCTTTCGAGAAGCTTTAGGTACTATTTTGTAGAGCTAGCTTCAACTCAGATTTACAGCATAAAACGAATCACCCATATTTCTTTGTTATTTTAGGATTATGGTAGAAACTTCAAAAAGGGTTTTGAGCCATGAAAGGCAACATCTTGCCACAGAAAGGAAATAAAACAGCCTGGAAACTTTCACACCCGGCTAATTAGAGTTGCTGATTCTAAATATGAAGTTCGCAAGTAATAATAATGCTCCATTGATTTTTAAATATTTCTTAAAAGTGGGGTTACACCGTTTGAAAAGCTTAGCGACCTCGTACGTAGTTGAGTATCGAACTCACAAGAGAACCGTGTCGAGTCGAAGTGGCCTTTTCAGATTAGACCCATACTGCTTTGAAGAGTATTAACCGATGATTCCAAATCTGTCTTCCAAATCTGCCAAGCGCTCTAGACGCTGAGTTATGACGTTCTTTAGAACGAAAAATGAACGCAGAATTTAGGTAAAATTAATTGTTACAATCTTTCTAGCGCTCAGATAAAGCAATGTTAAGTATTAAGATATTAAATAAAATGTATCCATTGCATAAACAGCTCTGATACTTGACACTGGACCATTTGAGCAAATTTGGGCGATTTTGCTTCAGTTTTGCGTTCAATTTTTTGACCGGAAAAACGAGCATAACTCGGCGTCCAGAGGCGCTTGGCAGATTTGGAAAGCAGATTTGGAATCACCGATTAATGGCCTTCAAAGCAGTATGGGTCTCATCTGGAAAGGCCATTTCGACTCGACGCGGTTCCCTTGTCAGCATCAATAAAAATCCTATTACACAAGTTTCACTTTTTTGAACATTTTTGAGACAGCTTTTTTCACAGTGACATCATATGCTTGAAGTTCCTACCGTAATCCTACAGTAATGAGGAATGACCGGTGATTTGCTTTATATTATAAATCTAGATTGATGCCAGCACCGCAATACGGTACCTAAGCCTCGAATTCTTCATTACAATAGAGTTGTTAACAATCAAACAGTAGGCACATTTTTTGGGACACTCTGTATATGTTCGGAAACTTGCTCAGAGGAGCCATCAAATGAGCAAACTATAATATTAGACAACGGAACGGATCCATTCGTTGGGCCAATTCGGTACCGTCCGGGCTCAAATAAGTCAGTTCAAAGTGACTCATTCGGCAATGAAGGCGAGAACGATACAGTTGTGAAATCCGGCCAAAACTGCGGGATCTGTGGGATTTGTGGGACTAACGGGAATTAGTTATAAGCAGGGTCAAGCGTGGGGTGCGGCACGCCACACCTGGGGGGTCGTATTGAGGAGTCAAAAGGGGAGGGGGTCGTAGTTGGGTAATCTGATAATAGTGATAACATGACATTCGTATCATATCCATGATTAGCATGTCAATTAACCCCTGTAGACAAAGTTTGAGCGATTTCTGAAGGTTCAAAATACTAGGCTACCTAAGTGAAATGGTCAAATTCCAACATGGTTAACTTTGTTTCAAAGGTGAATTAGTTAACCGTTTTTGCACTCAAGACAAAGCACTACTCCTTCTTTGTCCATTTCAAGAATCCTACTTCAGAAGACCTCCAAACTGTGGAATTGGAAGCCAACTAAAATCTCGTTTTTTCCATTTTTCGCTTTTGATCGCTGTGCTTTCACCAAATATTATTTGAAGCTAAGAAGACGAATCAGGCTCAAAATAGTCCTATGGAATCTACAAGGTTTAGGCTATCGATTCATATGAATAGTGTCCGCTAAAAATGTTTTTTTGATATAGTTAATGGCCTGCGCCCCCCACCCCCCCCCCCCTCAAAACCTGCGGCTGCCGCAGGTTTTGAGGGGGGGGGGGGGGTGCCGCAGGCCATTAACTATATCAAAAAAACAATTTTAGCGGACAATATTTATATGGATCGATAGCCTAGATCTCCTAGTTTTTACGGGAGTGATTTGAGTCTGATTCGTTTTCTTAGCTCTGAGTAATATTTGGTGAAAGCACAGCCATTAAAAGCGAAAAATGGGAAAAACGAGATTTTGGTTGGCTTCTAATTCCACAGTTTGGAGGTCTTCTGAAGCGGGATTCCTGAGGTGGACAAAGAAGGAATAGTGCTTTGTCTTGAGTGCAAAAACGGAGAGCTAATTCACCTTTGAAACAATGTTAAACATGTTGAAAAATGACCATTTCACTTAGGTAGTCTAGTATGTTGAATCTTCAGAATCCGCTCACACTTTATCTACAGGGGTTATTCGACATGCTAATTATGGATATGTTGCCCATTATGTTTGACAGGGTCTTCAAGTAATGCTATCTTAAGCGTATAGTTTAGGGGGAGGGTATTATCAAGACAGCAATCAGGGGGGAGGGGTCGTAACCAGCGATCGTGTGCCACACCCCTTGCTTGACCCTGGTTATAAGTTCTTTTAAAACAAATTTATTAGGAATCTGCAAGAAGATTTGGCTTCAGCTTGATGAGACGAATCTTTTAGTATAAATTATGCCTGTTTCCATGGTGCATTGTATTGTATTGGCATGTGTTATGAGATTACCAACATGTATTGTTCCTCACATCAACAATTTTTGAAAATAACAAAGTAGTATCATATGTCCCCCTTATCACCATTGTACGAGCATAATGTATACTGAAGGATTCGTCTCATCAAGCTGAAGCCAAATATAGCTAAATCCCTCAAATTCCGCAGTTTTGGCCGGATTCCACCGCTAAAACTGTAGGTGAAAGTCTGCCAGATTTAACGAATTTTTCCAAGTTTTGCTCAGATGGATTACTCAGCATCCTACGTACATTAACATATGAGAAATGCAGTACCCACACTGATAATTCGACAGAAAACGCAAAAACTGATTTTTCGCGTTTTTTTCGTTTTTTTTCTATATTTTAATGCTCAGCGTAAGGCGACTTTTTCGATATATTACGCTATCTTGCTATTCCGTTTTCCCAGCACCCACAAAGACTCACGTCTCTCAGCGAACTAATCTCTCATGAATCGCTGATAAAACCGTCTGAACTTGCGTGGTTCACTCGCTGTCAACAATTACAACTGAGTTAAGACGACGAAAAATTTGCTTTGAGTAGTTTAGATCTGAAACTCATGTTCACCACTGTGGAATTTCTAGGGCACCGAAAAAAGCACTTTTCTAAGCTCGTCATAGTATAAAGATAACTAATTGCAAGTAAACCTTTATAAATGGCAAAAGCCCTGACAGTGACACAATGCACATGTGGTTATCTGTCTCAGAATTCAACTACAGTAAGCCAAGCCGAATGAACTTGCATTCAGCCAACTTTAAAACCCACTTGAGGAACCGAAAGACAGAAGTCCGCAAATTTTAGAATTTCTTCATTTTCTGATTAACGCCACGTCATTTCTACGTAAACTTTGTAGTGAGTCACGTATTTCACGTATCGTCGAGTCATTTGCGTCTGCGTCTGCGTACTGCACACTATACGCGCTACCTGACGACTTGTAAGGTTAGTGCCTGCTCATTTTCAGTAAATTGTCCTTGTTTCGTTGTTCTTTTTGATTTGGTTGACTATTTAATCTTCAGTAGTATATATACTTACTATTTGTTACGCCAGAAAAGGTCTTACTCAGGAGTTACTAATAAGGGGTCGTCGGTTATCGCGCATAGTGTGCAAGTCACACATTGAGCTACAAATGACTCGAGAATATATAAGGTGTTATAGGAAAGTAGAAGAAGCTCTTTCTTTAATGTTTCGCTCTAAAAGTCTAAACAAGATAAAAAATAGTCCATATAGAAAAGCACAAAAAACAATTGAATTTATAACCATAATCTCATATAACATGACATATAAAAAATAGTAAACTTACTAAAGAGCAACAAAGGACAGCGGAACAGTAAAATTTTGTTTACCCTATTACATGAAGGATATGTCACTGCGATAACAAAATACGTAGGATTTATGCCTATAGAAAATTCACCGGGTACACTGACTTGTATAAAAAGTCTGGAATGATTTCTGAGATACTCGAATATGGAAAATGCGATGCGTAAGAAGCAAAATAAACAACAACAATAACAAAACAACAATCAAACCCTAAAACAGCAGAGAGAAATTGCATAAATCATTGATTATTTTCTTCCGTTGATGTAGAAGTATTCAATGTTTTTTGCTCTTCAGTAACGTCATCCTTTTTCTCCAACTCTTCCTTGTAGTAGCTGAAATTATATTTTCGGAAGGGGAGCTATTAGGTTGTCAAGAAAATAACGTCGTTTTTTATTTGCTTGCTTTAACAAAACAACCAGACTCAACCCAATAAAGGGTAATGGGTATTGTTCGATAGAGCAAAGCAAGCTCTACAAGATGGCGTTCATAATATTGCGCCAAGATCGATCCACGGAACGTTTGAACTCAAAATCTGAAGATTTCCAAATCCCCAAAAAGTTGAAAAAAATCAGATCTTCGTCCAAATAATTTCTACGGGCCTCCCACTCGCACACGTCAATACTTTCGACATCTAATATCCGTATGTGCAGCTGCTATACTTTTTCCTTGACTGAAAACTGAGAAAACGAAAATTTTCGTGTTTTTCTAAAAGCAATGCTGAGCCGTTCTTGCATATGTGATTCTGTACTACTAGCCTAGGTAAGCATAACTATAGATTTTCAGCCTATTCCGAGCGGTAATTCTCGAGAAATGTCGCTTTTAGCACTGAAACTGAAAAGAAGAAAGCTGATTTCGATATTTCTCGAAAACTACTGCTCGGAATGGGCTGAAAATCTATAGATATACTTACCTAAGCTTGTAGTATAGAATCATATATGCAAGAACGGCTCTGCATTGCTTTTGAAAAACACGAAAATTTTCGTTTTCTCAGTCTCCAGTCAAGGAAAAAGTACAGCAGCTGCACATACGGATATTAGATATCGAAAGTATTGACGTGTGCGAGTGGGAGGTCCGTAGAAATTATTTGGACGAAGATCTGATTTTTTTCAATTTTTTGGGCATTTGGAAATCTTCAGATTTTGAGTTCAAACTTTCCGTGGATCGATCTTGGCGCAATATTATGAACGCCATCTTGTAGAGCTTGCTTTGCTCTATCGAACAGTGCCCATTACCCTTTATTGGGTTGAGTCTGGTTGCTTTGTTAAAGCAAACAAATAAAAAACGACATTATTTTCTTGACAACCTAATAAATTTTTCACAAGAAATTACCAAAATAGCAAAGTAGGCGGTAGTATGAGCACTGCCATTAGTACGAAGGATAGCTGTGGCATGAAAGAGATCGACCAGGGGAAGAGGAGATGGAAAATGATGGCGGCTGCCAGCTTGCAAACACCTTCGAGTATAGCGACTACTGCGAAAGCGGATCCTAGAATATTTTCATCAGAGGCGAGCTAATTTTTCAAATACACAAAAAAATCAGAAAATCAATTACAAATTACTGTAACTGTGAGATGAAGAAGGTCTAGCATCGTTGACAAAATAAAAGATTCAAAAAAATAGTTACCTTTGAATTAGTTAAATTAATTAAACTAGTTAAATTAGTTGAATTAGCTACTAGTTAGTTTAAAAACTAGTTAGAGTTTGAACAGGTCTAACTAATTAAAAACAATTTTGAACGGAAAGATCTTTGAAAAGTGATTTTAGTTCATAATCCTGTAGAGCATTTACACTAAAAAACCAGGTTACTTCAAATATGAGCAATCAAACGTTTAGTTTGTTACCAGTTACTAATTATAAAGAAACTGTTGTAAATCGATAACATAAAAATCAAACATTATTAATGCAAAGAATAATTAATTCAAAAAAAGGCGAATGCCTCTTCACATTTCCCACAATTCGTAAAACTCCGACCATATCTTGAGGCACCATTTTTCTTGCAGACCCATAAAATAATTTAAAATGGTAAACAATGACCAACCTCTTTCTTCAGCTTGAACGTTGCTGGAAATTAGTGAGCGTAGGCCTGTAGCTGGAAATCGCGCGAACATCTCGAAAGGAACAGCTGTAACAATGCTGACAGAGTTGAGCTCATATAAACCTTCGATTGTAGGAAGAGAACAATTACCTGCGAAAACGCTAAGACCATTCCAAGCAATTGCTAACCAAGCTCGACCCAGACCCCGGGCAATCAAACCGATTAGTACTAGAGTGGCATCACGGACGCCATGGGATTTGCATAGTGGATAGATAAATAACGCCTACAATATTTTAAAAGTCTCAATTTGAAGAAGGAACACCAGAGGAACGCAAGCTATACAGCAGAGAAAATTGCAGTAGTGATTTGAATGAACAAAACTGTACATCTCTTTTGTAGCTTGCTGACAATAATAATATAAATCTAGGCAAGAAGTATATTATTGAACGTTCCTGAGTAGATGCAACTTTCCCAAGGAGCTTCTTGATTTCTATCCCTTCCCTTCCTTTTCCCAACCTATTCCCTTCCTTCGATTAATAAACCTGCAGCTGATTATCCAATATCAAAATCACACTAACCATAGCTGTTGAAGTAAACTGTGTAAGTGCTCGTAAGTAGCCGTAATACTCAGCATCCCAGTAAAAACGCTGTTTAAGATAGAAAAAGAGAATATGGGAAGATCCTGGAATGAAGACCAGCAAATCGATGCAAATTAGTATTATAAAAGTACTCACCAACAAGGGCAAAGTAAGAAGCTCCAAAAGCTATATAGCAGACAAGAAGTCGGAAATCGCAACTTTTTCCTCGTGACACTAACAAATCAGAGCACACCTGAAGATAGATTTCTTTTGTAAAGAGTATAGAGGGAGCATAGCCAAACAGCTCACTTTAAGATCTGCCGTATCTTTCCTAGTGCTAGTACTATCGTAGCTCTTCATTTGTGCAATATAGAAGAAACAAATCAAGTGTACAATGATAAAAAATAGGAATGTGTTGATGTAACTGATTCTCCGCAACTGCGATGATAATAAAAATCCCACAATCCCTAAAAATGATGGTTGATTTAGTGAGAGATGAAGAGGAATTACGGGAGACCTCCTACGCCTAAAGCTCCCTCTAGGCGAGCAATAGATTTGCTTCTCTCATTGTGCGTTATTCCTGGTTTAGTGGTAATATAAGCAAAAGATGTCGACAGAATTGCCATATATCCTCCAAAACATCCAAAAACAAGCTCTGACAGAGGAAAGAGATATGGTGTAGACTGAAATGAGATGATTTCACCGTGAAAATGGGTAAGCTAAAGTAAGCTTACTTTGAAATAAACGGCTTGTAGCAGTAGAGTAATATCTGCAAGCAGTAGGCCGACAAATGGAATCAGCATAGAAAGTTTCCGTGATTTTTTATCACTCACATGTCCAATAAGGCGAGAGGTCAGAACTCCAGCCAAGCAGATGCAAATGGAGCTAAAAATTTTGAATCAACGGCCAAGAGACGAGATAGCAAACAGTCACAAGGCAATTTCTCCTCAATTTTAAGAGTCCTAAATTAGGATAGATCTTGGAATTATTGAGACAGTCTTACGAAAAGTGCAAGACCGTGCAAGCTTTTCTATCTCTTGTTGGACCGCTCGATAAAAAATTTTCTAAGCTAGGCTTACTGATTTTAGAAATTCTTTTCTTTAAAAAAGTACCACAACTGTTCTTGCTTGTTTACTAGAATAGAAAAGAAATGTTAATGTTCAAAATATTCTATGCGGTGAGAAATCTTATGAAGGACAGGTTAGCCATGCCCACTGAGATTTTTGCGATGGTATGACCTAAAAATTTTGAAGGAGGCGTATCAGCATCCTCTAATGAAAAGTTTCACAATGCTGATTTGAAATTTCGAGGAACTCAGAAAAACACTTTTATTATTCACAAGTACACGCAAATTACTTGTACGTTTAATTCCCATGTAAGCTTTAGGTCATTCAAAAAATCGTGACGATGGCTCGACCGCGCGCGAAACGCACGCACCTCCCAGCAACCGCATTTTCTAGGCTTTCATTTCGACTCAAAAAGTTTTTCTGCTTAGTATGACAGTATTTAGATATTGGAAGAGACTGAGATGAGAGTTGATGTGATGCCGTTTTGTATGAGTGTATTCTGCGCCTGTGTGCGCAAAGACCGCAGTCAAATCCGTCGTCACGTTTTTACAAACGACCTATACCTTCAAGACTTTTGCAACGGGGGAAGGCCGGTTGGGATTCTCAAACTGTAAATTAAGTGTGGCTTTTGAACCAGATTGAGAAGACGGCCAATGATTGATAGAAAAGGAGTTCAGGAGTTTGAAATGAGTTATTAGAAAAGAAGCAAATATACAACTCACGCAATCAGAACTATTCTATTTGATTCTGTTTGAATGCGCTGATTTTTAGAAGCAGCAGATACAGCACTCACACAATCATATATGCCAGTTTCATTAGAAAGTAGCAGACAGACCTGAACATTTTGTTAATGGGCCTAAAATGATTACTCTTTCAACGTACTTTTTCATAGATCATAGATTGTACCACTGGCATAATCATCGATCCAGTGATGCTATACAGACAGACAGGAACGTAGATGTAATTTCGTAAATCCATAGTTTGAAAGGAATGCAGAATAGGTGAATAGAGATAGGGCTAAGAACAGGACTAGGGCCAGCTATTTTCAGCGACAGGCTATCATCTAGACATGCGCACAAGCTGAAATTTCTGGATAATATTATATTTCAAGCCCTTTACACATTGGGTAATGTTTAAGAAAGTCATAGGTGAGTATGCCAAGAACTAAATTTGCGTAAGATGTTCATAGAGTGCGAACCCGACACTAGAGGATGATTTTCGTGGATTAACTGGAGGAATAAAAACCGCAGAAAATCCTTCGGATGATATCTAACGTCAAAACAAGATGACATATACGAGCACTATCAAAAATCAGATAAGGAATGTCAGAGCGAGATCCGAAGCCAAAGGAAAAAAGACATGCTGTTATCAAACTCAAAATATCGGCAGGTTCGATCATGAAAAAAAAAACAGGAGCAAATCTGAGAATATGCCAAATGAGTAAGAATTTCGAGTAGAGAGGAAGAATGTTGGGAATTGAAATTAGAAAAATTACGCAAGAAACTGCAAATTCCTCAAAAGAAATCCATAATGAGAGAAGAAAGAGAAGCCAACGCTCGATGCGATAACGTCAATTACTGACAAAACCAAATCGAGAAAAAATCTTTTATGAGCATGCATACTCATGTAAGAATCGAGAACTTTCAACCAGCTACAAATGTAATTTTATGCATTTTCGTACATCTAATTTCTCTTCAGTTTTATAACTTGGCCTAGATAGCCTGACATAGGTATGCTGCTGTTTGCTGATTCAAAAATAGCTCAAGTGTGTCGTAACACTGCATGGCCGACAGAATTTACAATAACATTTATCTGAGATGCACAAAATAAATGCAGATACCCGTTATGAAAATGCAATAAGTGAATCAACATTGTTGAGAACTTATTCAATAAGCTGCAACGACTCCACGTCTTCCAAAATCACATAGTAATCCTCGCTCAGACTAGTTGAGTTCTGAAATGTGAGTTTTGGAGAAAGTTTGAAGAAAATACGAAACGTACCATGAGCCCATTGAGGCCATGTGTAATGATGAGATCCACCAAGCGTTGTAAGTATGCAACCTTTTTCCATTGGTCCAACCGACTTTCCTGCAAAGGAAAATGGTTTGGCAGCTCCTACAATTTATGTTGAGAATTTCAGAAAGATGAACTTAAGACAGAGTAAATTATAAATCTAGTGCCACTAATGAGATTATATTCGCAATAAGATTCTGACAAGGAGTTATGGGTCACAAAAAACTTTGCTGGAAAGATAAAACTGCATACACGATTTGGTGGGTACCAAGTGATTAGGGGGTAGACGAGTTGTGGAATAAGGTTTATTCGCACCGGCGTAGATTATTCGAGAAGAGGAGTGTGAGGTGTCCCGGTGTGGACCGGGGAGCAACCTCTAATACATTCCGAGGCTCCTTATATAGGAAGGAAGGCGGAGCTGAACCGAGTAAAAGGTACAATGTACACGAGTTGGTGCTTGAAAGGAGGTGCCGCCGATTGGCTACACTCCTGGCGCACGGGTACCACTCACTCTTGAGTGATTAGATACTCAAGAGTGAGTAGCTCACAATTTAGCCTACGGGTATTCCGTAGGCTATCTAGAATATAGAGTTCATCAATGGTTGATGATACAGAAATCATCAACACACGATCTTGATTTCCAATTAGTGTGCAATTCCCACCTTGAATATTTGATGCACAACGTCCTTTTGAAGTTGAAGGACGGCATCGATACTGTCCGCCTAGAATAATAGAACAATTTGTGAAATTGTCTAGTTAATTTCTAATTTAATCTTCTCATTTTTAGAAAAAATGTTGCCAAGCGTGATCATTCATTACTTACCTTGTTCATCTGGTTTTCAAAATCCATGATCGCACGAGTGACTGCATCTGCAATACTGACCGTCAAGTCGAGAACGTTACGATGCAGCGATGTCAGAATTGCAGCACGCTGCAAGTTTGCTCGATCTCTCATCAAACCTATCTCAAACATTCTGGAATGTACAAATATTTGCATTCTCTCAAGAAAACTCAATTAAGGCAACTAACGCATCGGATAAGCAATCAATGGCTGCATGTAGCTGAAGGCAGACACGGAATACACGAGTATACATATTGACAACGTGTAGAGGTATGAGTTTCTCCATCTTTGATGGTGGAGTATAGGAGAACGTCAGCAGATCGAGGACGATAGGCTCAAACAGTCCATTTGTAAGGAAATAATCACCATAAAATGATTAGCAATTCAATACCTGCTCTTTTGCAGGAAGTGGATCTTTGGGAGCGCCTACAAGGCCAAAAGTCCGCAGCTCTTCGAAGACAAGTGTATCACATGTGATCAGCCTAAATCGAAACAGATGCTGTAAAATATTGCACCACCACAAAGTACAACTAGAACAAACTTGAAGTTTGAGACAAATGGGAACTTTATCGCCAATCCTTTAATGAAGGTATCTGATAGTCGTCGCATTTGCTGCCTAAATTATTGTAAATTGGTGCTATTTCAAATCATAAACATCGTATAGGTCAGTGAAACGATATTTCTGAAAGCAGTAGATGATGCTGTCAGGAAAAACAGAAAAATGTAAGCAAAAAGCCAAGAAAACTTCCAAAAAATTTGCAAACAAACTTGGAAACTTCTTCAATGGGTTTGTAGAGAATCGATTCTTTTGATCTAATCAAGCCGTCAAGATCTCTGCACTTCAGAAGTAATGCCATGGTGTCTCTAGAAATCGCATAGACGTTTTTCATTGAAAATAGTGCGAGAAAAATTACCTGACAGAATTATCAAACGGAATGGCGGTGCGGAGCTGCTTCAATACCAGTGCTGACTTTGTCTTCTCTATCTCTTTCACCTATGATAATACAAATAGCATCGAGACACAAAGCAAGGAGTTAATACCTTTCTTTGTAGACCGACAACGTCAAGCTTTCCCCAATCTAACGATAACGGATCTACAACAGAATAAAGTGAATCTCTGAATGTTAGGTATTCACCCAAGCATGAGCAATCCTACCTCTGATTCTTGTCTTTTCCATCATATAGATATAATTTCCACACTTTGCTATCGATGGCAGAAGTCGCATCAAAAATGATGGACACAGATCCTCTATGAGAACATAGTCTTTTGAATCAAGCCTGTAAATTATAAATGAAAACTGGATGAGGTAAAATGGCGATTAACAACCGTAATCGTGACGAATTGACTATCTTCTGCACGTATGACGAATTCAGTGCTTCAGTAGGCCAAATCATGAACTGAAAAATGGATTACATGCATATACACAACTGGAACACCATACTGGTAACTGATATTGGATACCTCTAATTCACAGTCGTCCACCAGCCCTTGCTCAACCCACGTGCCTACCCTGTTGGCAAATATTTTCCAAGCAACCTAAATAGGCTTTTGCAAAGAAAAGAAAGAGCAAAGCAAGACATGGAGATACATCGAAAATTTCGGTGAGATCACGAATATCCTTGGCGATGATAGCTCCTTCTCGTGCACGATGCAACATGGTCAGTACTTGTCCACCGATGACGGCTTCCTGAACAACGATTTTGATGCATATGAATAATAACAAGATGGACCCACCTTCTTCATTGTCTTGACAATCTCAGCATACACTTTTATAGACGTTTTAACCGTCGAAACATTGCGACTGAGTGTATTCAATCCATAGTCAGCTAACTGGAATATCCTTGTCAACTTGTGCTCAAACTTCTATAATCGCTTACATCGTACTCATCCCCTTCTATTAAAGGTCGAAGCAGTTCGTTCAACCGCTTCACTACTTCATAAGCAACAGCACGCACAGTGAGCGAGAACGAGCGATTATGCTTCAGTTCTAAGTAGAAAAGTGGTAGAAAGAAGGAAGATACAATGAAAACTAACCATAACCGTAGGTGCGAATGTGCCAGACATCGATGAAAACAGGTTTGAATCTCTCCACAGCTGATCTGTATATTCGGGTAACTCATCAGATATTCAAGTATGGATGGTACAATAAGAAATTTAGACAAAAAAACACTTCAGGAACCAAAACTTAGGCACCCGTTATACTTCGCCGAGAAAAACCAAAAGCGCCCAAAAAAGCCCAAAAGAGCTCAAGAAAAAACACAAAAAAGCCCAAAGAAGCCTGAAAGAGCTGGAACGCAGAAACGAACTCTCGTTAATGCTGACGTTAATTTGATGTTTTAACGACAGAAAAGAACCAAAAAGACTCGGTTGCGAAAACACACATGCCTTAGCGCCAGAAAACATGAGAGCGGAAGGGGGCGTTCCGACTCTTTCTCGCGCTTTTGGCTTTTTGGGCGCTTTTGAGCTTTTCTCGGCGAAGTATGACGGGTCCCTTACCTCACCTCATGAAAGGATCAAGTGACGGATTTACTTTCACAGCGATGGGAGCATCAGAATCGGTACCGTAACCAAAACGTATGTTTTCCGTTTCATAGCCCTAAATATCCGCCTCTTTTAAAAGAAACACATGTAAGCAGAAGTGCACTATACTGACCGCTAGGAAGAGCCGTACTTCATCATTCATAAAATGCTCTTGCTCTTCTGGTGTTACATTCACAAGTGCAGTGAACTAAATAGGTGCCAATTCTGACACAAAAGATGGACGCGACGAAAAAACTTGCTTACCTCGGTTTTCATGGGACGATACCAAGGACATGGCGGATAGTTTCCCAGAAATGCAAATCGTTTCGAAACTGAATGTTAGTGCGAATAGATGCTACTGAGGATGGAAAAATAAGAGGCTTACTAATTTCATGTCGAGCTTTTTCCCAAGCTGTCATTAGAAAGTAACCAAACCTGCCAATAGCTTTCAGAAACTGTCAGGTCCTGGCAAGGATAAACCTATGGTTTTAAAAGTTACATTTTTCCCTAAATTTTTTCGGAATTCAAAAGTTTCAAAGAACTTTTGAACATAAACTGGAAACCAATTTTTATAATACTACATCATAAAGTTTCTGAACACGTTGGTCTTGCCGACTAATTCCAATAGCATCCAATAAAAGTATCATCAAGCCCGATATCTTCTATAGTATCACCATCAACAGGAAGTTAAGAGAATACGCACAAATACTTTATTGACTACTTAAACGAACACAATAAATATTATGGCTGCGAAAGATTTTGTCATTTCACTGTTGGTTATCGTTTCACCCGATGGTCAACTCCAACTGCTTCCGTAATATTAGATAAACCATCGCGTTTCAATAACTCAGCTAGTTCTCGTTTTATCTGGAAGGTATTCGACTAATTTTTAAGAAGCCATGAAAAATGAAAAATACCATGCAGAATAAGCTAAAGCATCGTCAGCTCACCTTTCCTATGACTGGGAATCCTTGCATAGCTAAAGCAGAGTAAAACTGCACTACTGATGCACCAGCACGAATTTTTTCATAGGCATCCTGTCCGCTCGCAATACCACCGCAACCAACTATGGGTACTTGACCTTTGGTATATCTGAACATTATCCATGTAGCGAAGGCACTGAAGACATAGTCAGTTTCTTACTTATACATTTCTCGTACACATTCAGTACTCATCTCGCGTAACGGGGCTCCACTAAGACCCCCGCTTTCGGCACGTTTGTCGCTAACGAGACTGCCTGGTCGCGATATCGTTGTATTTGACACTATCAATCCATCAATACCATATTTTGGATTTAGAACCACCTAAAATTCACCCATCGAACACGATGACAGGTAAGTAGCCATTTCTTACCTTTGCTATGTCCTTCTTCTCAGAATCGATCAGATCTGGAGCAATTTTGAGTAACATCTTAGGTGGAGACTCCAGTTTCATATGATCAAGCACATATTTGGTGTGAAGCAGCAACTAAAAGCTTTGATATGCAGATGCACATGAAAAAAGTAATTACCTGTTCCAAATCAGCTCTTCTTTGCATAGATCGCAGACCGGGCGTATTGGGAGATGAAATATTGATAACGAGGTAATCACAATACGGAGCAAAGTGGTTGATTCCTATTTCATAGTCCACCCTGGCGCTGATATAGTGATTTAGAGAGCATTTAACTATATATGGAACACAAACGAACAAAGAAGTACAAATTCTGTAGATGAAATGAAAGCCACCTCGCATTATCTGTAGAGACCTTGTTTCTGCCCAAATTGACGCCAAATGCAGCAAATCCATCCTTCCAGTTCGCTCGAGCAGCTTTCACACGTTTATGGACTTTAGTAGCACCATCGCTATTGAATCCATAACGATTTATAAGGGCCTAAAGCACCATAAATGAGAAGGGACATACCAAAGATAGACTATACAGACCTGATCTTCAAGTAGTCGAAAAACTCTCGGCCTCGGGTTCCCCGGTTGTGGTATAGGTGTTACAGTTCCTATCTCTACAAGCCCAAAGCCTGACACTTTAGCCAGAGGGCGAATTGCTTCACCATTCTTGTCAAAGCCAGCAGCCAATCCTATGGGATTTTTCAGATGCCTTCCGAGAAACTGTAAATGTTATCATCATCAAATCCCAAAGATACTGAGCAAGCGAATTTTAAAATCATCTGGTTTTGCCTGATATAGGCCAATAATTGTTGAAACAAAGATCTGTGGGAAGAAAGAAGTTTTGGCCATTGCTGTACAATCTCTGCGGACCCTACACGACTGGAGCACGCAAAAAATCATCAATCAAACCATTATGGAGAGTACAGCTGATAGCTGCTGTCAATTAAGAAACGCATATTGATAGAGAAAGTGTCGCCAAGATAAGCCGCGCCCTTCCTGCTATCTTCTGAGCGACATGATGTTTAAAAATGTCAATTTTAAGAAATAAGAATATAAAAAGGTCAAAAACTATTCACAACGAGTACTACACTACACTTCAGCTAATGAAAGCGAACCTCACATTCCAGTTCAGGATATTCTTTTCGATTTGGCCCAAATCGTGGTATGAGACCCCAAGAAGCTACTCGAATCGCCAGATTGTGAGCTTTTTCTTCATCAGTATATTTGTGAATGACAGGCATCACCTAAAGATAATATTTCTGTGGTCACATCACAGATAAAAAGGTGATTGTACCGCTTTATTGTAGAAATTTTCCGATCCCCAAAGTAGTTCTAAAGCTCCATACCCTAGCACTCCTCCAGTGAGAACGATGATAGTAGACTTGGTCATTTGACCTGGTCGTAAGCGGGAGTACATGTTTGAATGCGACTCTGAAAAGGGAATCACTGAAAACAGTTTAGCTTGACGGCAATGTGGGGAGATAGCAGATTGGCCCAGAGGTCGTTCGCACCATGTTCCGAGAATCATAACCTCTTGCATTCTCAGATTTGCATACTTTGATATTACCTAGAAGCAGGTCATTTCAGGTTATAGCAACTTTAGCATTTGAAGGCAGTGTCCGGGCAAAACTCGATTTTGAGATTTTGTGCTTATTGGGCCTATTCGCTACGCTGAATCCGAAAATGCACATTGTAGAGCGCGAGAATGGCGAAAAACGGCTCCAACACAGGAGGGAAATGAGCAGGTGGGCGGGGTCCTCCCCACTGCGAATTCACGTTCCCGGCTTCCGGAGCGACCTTCTCGCTTCCGGTTTCAAGTCAGTCATTCGCACTTGGCCGGTAGCGATGTTAGGACGGCTAGCGGAATCGAGCAAATCGCTCCGGGAGCTGGGAGCGTGAAATCGCACTGGGGAAAGCCCCGCCCACTTGCTAATTTCCCTCCTGTATTAGAGCCCTTTTTCGCCGTTTTCGCGCTTTCCAAGGTGAATTTTCGGATTCAGCATGGCGAACAGGCCCGTATAAGCACAAAATCTCAAAATCGAGTTTTTGCCCGGACACTGCCTTTAAGCGGCTATCAATACTCGCGGAGTTAGAGGCGGTGAGTATTCACTCTAATTTCCTGTAAGGTTGTCAGAGCTCTGTATTTGCGATAAATTCGGAACAGTACACGAGTTCCACGACCTCCTCGTTTTAATTTAGCCAAAGTCTGCGTTGATTGAACATCCTTGTGAAGAGATACAGATTTTGCGCAAGCAGGACAAAATAAAATTATTTTGTGGCATTAGTCTTGAAAATCAAGAACTTTTCATAGAAAATTAGTCAGCAGAAATTTTGCTCCTAGAAAGAGCAGTTCGTTTAACATAATCCCAGCTGCTAAGAATCCTGGTGCAAGTTTGGTTTTTTGGCGATGTTAGGCAGAGTGATCAGAATTTGTGTTGATTTTTCTGCTTGTATCCCTACGAATAAGCATGATGAAAAAACTTTTAGGTGCCCTTATGAAGCGCAATTCACTCTTTTGAAGAAATTATCCAAATCAGAGAAGAAAGCAAGGAGATATGAATCCTTGAGATCGGTGCAAATAAGCTTTTGGGCCAATTTGACAAATGAGATGAACGCAGCATCAGAACGGCTAAAAGACAAGACAAAGCTATATATCAGTGCAAAAAAGCTTCAATTTATGAGATTTGAGCTGGTGAATGAGAAAAAGAAGCTGAGGAGAAGCAAAGGACTCTAATGCGTATGTATACATTTACAACGCGTTGTCACGAGATACACAAAAGAACGCACCTATTGAGCGCGCATTGTTTGTTATCGTGAAGGTTTGAGATTGTTTTACCAAAGGCGATTGATTTATATAAGCGAAATAAAACTAATCAACTATAGCTGACCAGGTCTGTTTTACTTTGAAGCCTGCTTCTGAGAGGAACTGCTTCTTAATTCTTAATCAATACAGATTGGAACTAAACCACCACGTTCTTGCTATCAATTACTAACCTTGTCTCACTTTCTGTCTCAATAAATGATAAGTAGACAACTTACAAAATAATGAATCGACTGTTTTGCATTGAATTTTTTTGAGGCTTAAGGTCCGGGCATACTTCACGCGGTTTCAGTCGCGACGCGATTTGGCACTTCGCCAGAAGTCTTCAGATCCAACACTAGCATGCTGCATATGCACAGTGTGTATAACTTAAGTGGATTGATAATATGTCCTACCTTCTGTATATTATTATAAAACGTGCTTACAGTGAATAATGGACAGTTGAAATACTGCCAAGTCGCGTCGCGACTGAAATCACGTAAAGTATGTCCGGCCCTAAAGTTCGCGGAGGCCTACAAGACTTCTGTTGATATTAGGGTGATCGGCAAAAAATGGGGCACTTAGAAGTGATTAGACTTTCCAATTTTGAAAGATTTTAGAATATGTTATTCTCTCTCTGATAATACCTATTTAAGGTCATTTACATAATTGATAATTTTTATACTTGCTGAAATACAAAGTTAGTCACTTCGATAAATTACGAAGTTTGAGCAGTATCTGCGCAGTGAGACCACCCAAAGTACCACTGATGGAGTGGGTGGTGGGACAGTCACTAAACCCACGACGGCTTGATGGCCTCAACTTTCAAGTTCAGGAGATATGGCCATTAGCAGCTTCGAGAACAAAGATACGCTTTATTTAATTCTTTGCAGGTGAACGCATGTTTTGTAGGTACGATTGATAGAGCTTTTTGCGCTCTGTCCATCCTTGTGCAGCTTGCCTCAGATTTTATCTATTTTCAGAAAATATAGGGCAAGACATGATTTTTTGGTTTTTTATTGCGCCAAAAATAGCTATTTTTCAGGTTTTTTCGCTTTTTTTCTGAAACCGAAAAGAAATCTTAGGCATTTAACATATCGTTTAAAAGAGCATGAAAAGCTCTTTTGAACGGTATGTCATTTGCTTTACGACTTTACGGTACAGCAGTGCAAGATTGAGAGTTGTTCAAAAAACCCTGCCGGAATTATTCACGAGGCCACGCGTACGGTTATGAGAAAGGAGCGGTAACGCGTTGCCAGAATAATAGGCGAAGGTCGGTTATGTAAGCAACGTTTGAGTTGCAGCCTGCTAGTTGTTGGTGAGAACAAAAAACCTCAAAATGTGATAAAAATCAAGCTGCCCCATTTTTAACCGTTCACCCTGATACGAATATATTTATGTCTTTCAACAGAAGTTCTTGATGATCTGATAACAAATCAAAGGACATCTTTTTGCAAAGCAGATAGCGAAGTGATTGGCACGCGATGTCTGCACGAGAAAAGATATGATTAGAAAATGTTGCCAATGCCTTCAATGCTATATCATGACGCTCCGTTCTACATATTTACTTTGAGAATTATCCCAGAGTTTAGGTCCCCCTTTTATTTTTTCGAAATTCGAAACCTGTGCACCATTTCATTCTATTATCTAAAAATAAGAAGACTCGAGAACGAAGTGCTTAATGGGGTCTCAAAAGCTCCAACCTGTTCATCCTCTTTTTTGAGTACCAAATTTCAAAGAGTGGTGAAGTAGAAGTTCAATAGTTAGTCACCTGCACAAAGCGTTTTCGAGTCTCCTAGTGATTAAAACGTCCAGATATTTTACTTGATGGATTGGCAGGAAGCCTGTACAATATTTGCGCAGCGTTCTCGAAACGCTAGTCTCTGAATGAATGACTTACTGACTCTCCCAAAAAGACATTCATTCCAGAACTAAAAAATTGGAGTATGAAATTGGAATTGCACACATGTCTAAAGTTTATTGTGTAGTCAGATAAATATTCAAATTGTGCTTCATCCTATCTAAGAGCCAGGCATACTTCACGCGATTTCAGTCGCGACGCGATTTGGCAGCATTCCAATTGTCCATAACCCACTGTAAGCACATTTCAGATGTGCAGAAAATAGGGCGTTTTATCAAACCGTGTAAGTGATACACACTATGCATGCACAGTTTGCAGGTATCGGATCTGAAGACTTCCGGCGAATTGCCAAATCGCGTCGCAATCGAAATCGCGTGAAGTATGCCCGGTCCTCAAGGCCTCGGACAGAGTTCACGCGATTTGGTCGTCGCGATTCATTTGCTAAAAACAAGTGTTACGAGTTCATTGCATGTCGATCTTCTTGTAATTCGGTTGTGATAGTTTTCCAACACGACTAAGGCTTTGGCCATACTTTGCCCGTGTTACCGGTGTTGAAAGTGTTGCCAGTGTTGAAAGTGTTGAAAGTGTTGCCGGTGTTGAATGTGGGAATCATCAGTCTTGCAGTTTCATTCTTCCTCAAACGATCTCACCGACTGGTGAGTTCGTCTGGAATAGAAATGGGAAATGGTAAATGAGAAATGAGACTGAAATGAATTAGGAAATACTTTCGCAAAAGCTCCTCGAACAAATTTTTTAGAAAGTGAAGGACTTGTTTAAAAGAAGCAATCTCCAACATTTGAGAACGCTGCGAGACCTCCCATAGGTCTTTTGCTCACTAATCGCAGAAGCGCCGGATTCGACACCCAACACGCATTCTAATTAGACCTTACATCTCAAGTGTTGGAGATTGCCTATTCAGAACAAGTCCTTCACTTTCCAAAAAGTTCGTTCGAGGAGCTTTTGCGAAAGCATTTCCTATTTCATTTCAGTCTCATTTCTCATTTCCCATTTCCATTCCAGACGTATTCACCAGCCGTGAGATCGTTCGAGGAAGAATGAAACTGCGAGACTAATGATTCCCACATTCAACACTTTCAACAACGGCGACAACTTCAACACTTTCAACACTGGCAATACTATCAACACTTTCAACACTGGCAACACTTTCAACACAGGTAACACGGGCAAAGTATGGCTAAAGTCTAATAGTGACTAACTATCATAACCGAAATGCAAGAAGATCGACATGCAATGAACTCGTAACACTTGTCTTTAGCGATTGAATCGCGACGATCAAATCGCGTGAACTCTGCCCGAGGCCTAAGACTATTTGGTACCTGGGCACAAGAAAGAATAAGTTCAAGATAACTTAGACATTGCGTGAAAGGCGTATTCGAGCCTACTAGCTCGGAAGATGGTATAAACTACAAGATAGAACCCTACAAGAAGTTTCGGCGACGCGCAACACTTCGGAAATAAAGAAGACATAAGTCCTGAGAAATCGATACTTCTATCAATCAACTACGGAATAGCGACCACAGTAAAAAAACGAAAAACTATGCCTCCTTTTCGACCGGAAAAGCACGTGAGAATTTTCAGATTTCAATTTTGCGCCGCAGGTGCGTCTCAAAAGCGCGCGTTTCCTCATTGGAGCGCGTTCTGGGAGGACCAAAAATCAAGGGTTGTTTGTGGTCATTCTTCTTTCTTTTCTTTTCGTGGGCCAAGGTACCTTCCTGGGTGCTGGATGGACCAATCTAATGTCGTTTTGGAATCAATCCATCAAGCCTTTGACCGTGGCGGTGTTCGTTGCTTGAGAATGTCATACATTCTGTGACAAAGAGACTCGAAACCGCTTTGCTAACATTGTCAAACAAGCTTGATCGTGTATCTAACAAATTTATACTTGTGATCATTTTAATCTAATGTTATTTGCTAATCGGGAACAGAAAAGGACAAGTTGAAGCTTGTTTAGACAATGTGTGCAAAACGGTTGGGTCTTCACAATATGAGTGCCCCCACCATTTATGTCTTCAGTAAAGCATCTCTAGATTGGGATCGCATACTCGGTTAGCAGTGACATTTTTAAAAGAGATGTATCAACATTTGCAAATGTTTCTTTCCCCTTCCTTGTTTCCTCGCGTAGTAGTTTTCCTGCTGCTGGCTATACACTTGCAGATAAGAAGTGAAGATCCTTTCAGCGTGTCAGCTTCAAAAAAGTTCTCATGCAAGCGGATCTCCTAGCCAAACGTCATTTTCCAAATTGACGTCAGTGGCAACGCCTACGAGATTTCTTTTGCAGTGTGTTCTTCCTAAACATGCGCGTGAGCAGAACAGGAGATGTTTTTGTCCTTGTATGATTCACCGTCCTCAAATAAAATGTATTTTAGTGGCGCAAAGTCTTGAGCGATTCAGTTTTGCTCTTTTGCGTTCAGTGGAATCCCTGCAGTAGGCTCTTTCTTTTTCCACTAGCTATCATCATAACTTATAATAACGGGCTAAGGGTGTTTACGTGTTTTTGTGTGTGTGTGTGTGTGTGAGAGTGTGTCTGTTACGAAATTCACAGAGCAGTTTCCAGCCAACCTTTTAAGCCCAAATTTTGCATAGCGCATGCTACCTTCATGAAAGCCCAGTATGCAAAAGCACGAGTAGATTCGTTGAGTGGGTCCCTCGAAAATTGCGCGCCAAACAGATCCACTTGGCTTTTATCCCGCAAAATTGGGTCCGTATCACCACTTTTTGCAAAGTGGTGGATGCGTTTGGTAAGCAAATGTGCAAGCGATGGAATTTAGCCCGAAAAGTGGTCAAAAGTTTACTACATAACGAAAACGGCGCCAAAAAGAATTGGCTGCGTAAATGGTCAATTTGCTAAAGTTCTACTCAAGCATTTGAGAAAATTTTCGTACGGAAATGTAGAGCATGGTCACTATTGCCTTTATGGTGAACTACCAAGCCATGACAAATTCAGAAACCTATTCAAATTTGCGTCTGTCTTTCTGCGAAAAGTTTCATCCACACGAAATCACCGATCTCACGTGAAAAAGCTTCCTAAATGAAAAGTTGTTTACATTTTATTCGTGGTAGTCGGCATAGCGCGGTGAGTTTCATTGCCACGATTTTACGAGAATGAGTAAGGCACATAGATAGTAGAGCCAGTGCGAACCTCTGCGAAGCAGAGGTGGCGCACTGGTTACTTATAATAACGGGCTAAGGGTGTTTACGTGTTTTTGTGTGTGTGTGTGTGAGTGTGTCTGTTACGAAATTCTTAGAGCGTGTTCCAGTCAACCTCATGAGCTCAAATTTTGCATAGCGCATGCTCCCTTCATGAAAGTCTAACATGCAAAAGCAGGAATAGATTCGTTGAGTGGATCCCTCAAAAATTGCTCGCCAAACGGATCCACCTGGCTTCTATCCCGCAAAATTGGGTCCGTATCATCACTTTTTGCAAAGTGGTGGATGCGTTTGACAAGCAAATGTGCAAGCGATAGAATTTAGCCCGAAAAGTGGTCAAAAGTTTACTACATAATGAAAACGGCGCCAAAAAGAATTGGCTGCGTAAATGGTCAATTTGCTAAGGTTCTACTCAAGCAATTGACAAAATTTTCGTACGGAATTGTAGAGCACGGTCACTATTGCCTTTATGCGAATTACCAAGCCATGACAAATCTAGAACCTATTCAAATTCGCGTTTGCCTTATTGCGAAAAGTTTCATCCACACGAAATCACCGATCTCACGTGAAAAAGCTTTCTAAATGAGAAATTGTTTACATTTTATTCGTGGTAGTGGGCATGGCGCGGTGAGTTCCAGTGCCACGATTTTACGAGAATGAGTAAGGCACATAGAATAGTAAAGCCAGTGCGAGCCTCTGCGAAGCAGAGGTGACGCTCATTGAATAAGCGCCATGAGAAACTATGTTCACTCGGTATTCTTCATGCACTTCATCCACTTGACTATTGGTCACTTCGATATGACCAACAGCGAAGTGGAGAAGTGTTTTAACGATAAGATCAACTATAAGACTCTACTACTGCATTCGCAAAATGACGATGGCGCGACCGCGCGCGATACGCAAACACTTCCAACAACCGCATTTTCTTGGTTTCTACCTCTACTCGATTTCTATCTCTACTCGAATGGTTTTTCTGCGAACATATGTTAGTATACAGACACTGGAAGTGACTGAGTTGAACATTGAGATGATGCCTTCTTGTATGGGTGTTTTATGCTCCTATGTGCGCAAAGACCGCAGTCAAACCCGTCCTCACGATTTTAAAGGCAGCGTCCAAGCAAATCTGGACATATGGGGCTCTCGCGTGGATCGTAATTTTGGGGCCCAAACTGAGCCACTGACCAAGCGGTCATGGAACGGCCATAAGGACCCGCCATACTTGATCCGCTTAAACCACTTGATCCGCTTAATCCGCTTCGTCACTGGTCGATTCAGTGGTTGTCCGCTTGATCCGCTTGATCTATTTCATCCACTTCACTATTGGTCAGTTCACTGAAGTGACCAATGATGAAGTGGATTAAACGGAACAAGTATGACGGGTACCATAGGTTCCGGCAACGGTTGTCGGTGTTGTCGGGGTGTCGAGGTTGACGGTCGTTGTAGGACCTCATGATAGCCTCCACTTTTCGCGCACTCTCTAAACTGTCTCTGATCTCGACAACCCCGACAACACCGATATATCACTGACAACACCGACAACCGTTGCCGGCAACCTACCTATGGCCGTTCCCTCAGGTATGCTCTAACGGCTGAAATATTCGCCTCGAGACTGGACCCCCGGGATCGTATTTCGCATAGATCCATGGGGCAACCCATGGGTCCCCGCGCGAAATTGATGGGTTGCGCCATGAATCCACGCGAAATACCATCCTGAGGTCCAGTTTCGAAAGGAATATCTCAGCCGTTAGAGCATTACCTGAGCCGGTTGGGCAGTGGCTTAGTTAGAGCCCCAAAATTACTATCCACCTTAGATCTCCGTGTGTCCAGATTTGCCTGGACGCTGCCTTTGAGAGTGATCTGTATGTTGCGTCATATTACGAAGGGGTCTAGGCCGTGGGCATATTTCACGCGAATTCAATCGCCATGCAATCTGGCAATCCAGATGTCTTCAAATCCAATATTGGCCCAAGTGCGCAGCATGTCTAACTTTCTTAAGTTGATACAATGCCTTATCTTTCGTACATTCAGAGACCCCTTACGATGAGTTATGCACGAGTGCGGCAGGACCTCCCACTTTTGACGACATCTAGTCCCTTAGGCACCCGCCATACTTGATCCGCTTAATCCGCTTCATCATCGGTCAATTCAGTGAACTGACCAATAGTGAAGTGGATCAAGCGGACAACCGCTTCGCTATTGCTCAATTCACTGGATCGACCAAAGACGAAGCGGATCAAGTGGATTAAGCGGATCAAGTAGGCGGGTGCCTTACCCCTCTTGATTGATCCACTCGATCCGCTTCGTGAAAAACGCGCGCTCAATAGTTTGTCATTTGGCGCCGCCTAGGTAGAAAAGTATTCCGTATAGCTGCGCAACGTCGCTGTACGCGACGCCAAATGACAAACTAGTGAGCGCGGATCAAGCTCAAGAGGATCAAGTATGGCGCGTCCTATGTTAGAGCTCCCCTCCCGCGACAATTATTACAAATCTGTTGTCTTCATTATGTATTGATGCATGTGTTGATATCCGTTGGGACCATCTTTCGACGGCGACATGTAGGATAGGCGCCAGACTTATTCAGTCCAATCGGTTCATGCGGCACTCCTTCGCTATTGGTCAAATGGCTGAAATGACCAATAGCGAACGGGTGAACTAGGACGAACCGGACCCATAGGTCTGGCGTCTGCCTACCCCGGCTGCTTTTGAAAATTAGCAGCAAGCGTATCGTTGAAACAAGTTACGCAGGTGGTCCTGGATACTGTAGTGCAAAACGGCCGTCTCCCCTGTAGTTGGTCTGACTCCATAGCGTGTGGGATGGATGCAAAAAACAAAGTCAGATCTTGAAATTTTATCCTAAGTTTCCCCAGAAGCTCTATATTTTACGCACAGTCACATTTTGAAGAAGTTACTGAGTTCGCTCTAATTCCGCCTATCGCGCCCTAATCCAAAATACCCGCGCGCCTCTTGAGAGTTGCGCGATTGGCTTTCTTCATGTCAACTCCTTTCCGTCGCTGAGTCATTGGCGCGTCCTTGACGTCATTCTCCCTCCTTTGAACCACCCAACTTCCATCTTTTCTTCTTTCTCTGCGTTTTGCCCTTCTCTATACTTTTGCATAGAATCGTAATTGCTCTGAGATGATTATTCTGCAGTTTTGAATGGAAATTCCTTGTTTGAGACTTTTTTCATCACAGTGTGACGCCAGCGTCCACATCATGCTATCGGGGAAGTAATATTGAAAGTAGTTTGTCTTCTTTGTCTGAATTGAATACCCGGTCGGAAATGCATTGATGAATGGCCTGCTATCAAATGCCAATCAGTCTTTTGAGCGTCTGCACATCTTGTGGTCAATTATTTGAAGTACTATTCCTTTCTCTTGGTTCACTGTTCAGTTTTCACTCACTATTCGGGTGCAGTTAGCAGGAGTTATCACCTATTATAACGCTGTCAGGCTTATCTCACTGATTAGCTGCACCTCAGATAAGCGATCAGCGACCAAAGATTGATTTTCTCTCCTTGGCACGTGTGGTTTATGGCCATGCTTAGTGTATCACAAACAAAAATCTTAATTATTGGGTCTAACAATAATATTTCGAAGAAGGAGGGTGACTAATTCATTAGGCCTAAATTGCTCGTCTCATAAGGCCATAAATTGCTCGTCCATATTTGCACAACATCTACCAAAATAGACACTTTATTCTCATAAGCTTTATTGTTCAAAAGTTTTGGAGCATGTCCGCATAGATGTGAGTGGTACCTTACTTCTTTTGTAGAAACGCTGTAACTCCGAAAATCATACTCCGAGCCAGCTTATGTGATACAGTCAGCCCAGAAATATATCTCAATTCTTGTCTCGTACCATACTTTTTCAATCAGCGTGCTTCTTCACTACGGTACTGGGCAAGAAATCAACTGTTTGGCACACATGAAAATGTGACCTGCTGGGACGCCAAGTTTGGGTTCCCATTCAGTATACATAAAAAGTTAAAGTACCTACACTTGCTCGAACATTGTTTTTGATTTTGTTTTTCGAAAATTCGCACTTATCTGGCTTGGCACCAAAATTTTTTCTTGCGCTATAGCGGATTCCGAAAAGCAATTTGTAAGATTATCTCTACAAACTGGTATAGTTCCGCGCTCGCTTTACATATTCGTACACATAGTATCAAAAAACTTCTTTTCAAAATTTGAGACTCCTGCAAGTTCCTACAAGCGTAATAGATCGAAGAGCTAGGTCCTATAATTTCATCGTTTCAGTACCCGACGATTTATATGACTTCTTTGTATGTTCCTTCTTTACTGCTTCATTGTTCCACCATTTGAAAATGTTATTGCCGTCATTAAGAGGTCTCGGATCTTCAGCAAATACTGCTTGAAGGAAAGGTAATTCTTTTTTACTCAAAGTAATAAGTTTTTTTATTTACATCTTCACCATTTAACCAATTATCTTCCTGTCATGTGAATGACGTCAAGAGTTTGCGCATCCAACCTATCAATCATCAGTTTTTTTGCCAACTCAGACATTATTTACTTTCCATTCAATCATCCTTCTTCCAACCATCCATCCTCTTCCTCTGTTTATTTTTCAAAAACGTCAATGGCTCCGACGGCTCACATGTATTGTCTAACAATTGTTTTTGCCCACTGGAATTTCTCACGTCCGTTCTGCATCGATGACTATAATGTCATTTTATCCCTTCTTTTCTCGAGGAATATCGATAGTCCCGGCGGCTTCGAGCTGTACCCGTTGTTTTCGTCGTCATTGTGTACGTATAACTCGTTTGTCGCTTTGCTGATGAATCAAATGATGGGTTGAAATGAACGCTCAAATGACTAGCTGCTCCCATGTGTTTATCGATGTGTGTGCACTAGTGCTCTTCGACTTTATGCTTTAAGCCTTTATTTCTCAAAAACGTCAGTGGCTCCGAAATGCGGAATTCAGAGGGGTTGAATTTCTATCTTGAAGTGTTTTTACAAGGGAGGGATACTCAATACTTGCCGTTGTTATCCGAGACGTGGTATACATGACACTATGCTTGATTTTGGAGCAGTGCATATATCTTCATTTTGGAATGCCTGAACAGATCTTCAGTTGAAGCCATTTGGCTTTTTTCTTGATAGCTTTGACACTCAGATGGACACAGTAATGCTAAGCAACGACCAAGCCTTTTTTTGTGGGAGGAGGAAAGTTAACGTTTGGTGAAAATTCAGTCAAAAAGTGCCGAACAGGTTTGTTATGTGAATCTTTATTTGAATTATGTATGTAGAAATGGGATATTTCAGTTATTGAAAATATTTTTATTATTCCAATTCCGAATTCCATTGTATCTATTCAGAAAAAAATGCTTTCCTTTTGCCGAGGAAATTTTTTGGCTAAAAATAGGGCACACTGTCGATACTAACTTATTTTGGATGGAGCTATATTTTGAGACAACTTTTCACTCGGAATATTTTTTCATCAGTCTCTATTTTCTCAAATTCCGAATTCCTAGCAATAACCCATATTGAATGGTTACGATGTTTTAGCGATGCTTTTATTTTTTGTTTTATTCTTCAGATTCAGTTGCACCTTTGTCAGGAAATTTTTTTTCGTCCCCCCCCCCCCAAACGGAAGTCCTCGGTTCCCTACTGGTATGGTGCATTATAGCCTAAGCAGATGATAATTTGTGATGACTATCAGAAACAACAATTATTGCAGCGTTCTTTCAGACAACTTGTCGACCCCTTCGTGCGCTGCGACCGCGACAACTCTCTTGCAGTCGAACGGTCACAGAATGGACGAATACGTGTTACACTCACTTCATCTTCAGATATCATGCCGACATCTCTGTGACTGTTCGAATGCCATGGTAGTCGATGCATACTTTGAAGAAACCCATAAATGGAATTTACATGAAAAGAAAAATTGCTGGAACTGAATGCGAACACTCCCGGATATAAATTATTTCGTAGATGGGCAGAAATATTCATGCGTGCCATTGTCTGTGCGTTTTTAGCAGTGGGACAGCATATGACTTAGCAAGCCGGTCTTTTGAAACTCATCAACGCAGGTAGAAAAAAGGTTGCGTGGGAAGTATCAAGGAAGCGGGGCTATGCATTGAATTTCTTGCAAGATTGTGTACAGTGAAGACTGGAAGATTTTTTCGTATGGACCAGTCATTATGTGCGCGTCGCTTCCCTGATAGAAGCATTTTTAGTCTGTGGAGAATAATGTATCTATGTATTAAATGTAATCTTTTTAAGCATACTCTAGCCTTAGTGTATGAGTAATGGGCAAAGTTTGGACGAATTTTAGGGGGATCTGTGAGAGGGTTTTACAATCTTTTTCGTCTAGTTCCTAATCGTTAGTTCATCATTCTCATAATTAGTCACGTGCCCCACATGACAGCACTTAAATTTGTTGATAATTTTCGTAATGAGATATAGATTATGCTCACTGAAACCTGATTTTGGCTGTAGTAAATCTGATCTGTTCGTCACGTTTCAAAATTTCGTCCGACAGGCTTTTGGTAATCCACAGCGCGACTGTCCAGTTAGTGATCCTCGGTGCCTTCCACGAGGCGGATACCATTCATTTTTCAAAAGAAAAAATCTGCAATAATAATACAAATTACATATAGGCGATTCATAACACGCAAAGACTGCGGACGTGTCGGCGTCTCTCTGATCGAGCACTCTTTTGTTTCTCTTATCTACCATCTGCAGTCTCTCCATGCACGAACTATCTTGACCGCACGCAAGTGCGCCCAGTCGTTGCGTATCATCAATTGTGTATATATCCCGATGGAATCTCTAGAAATGCTGATAGATACGCAATCACGTTATATATCACTCAGTGTTCGAATTTTTAAGTTAAAAAGTGAATCTTCACTTCCCTCCTTGACGTAAATTCCAGAAGCCACAACGTCAGTCTACCGCCGTTCCATCTAACTCGGTTTTTGCTTGGAACTCCCAAGAGGAACTGCACTAGACCACCCTGCAATAAATTTTCACGCGAGAGCTTTTTTAACCTCGAATCAGGCGGATCGTTATAGGCACGTGTGGGACTTTACAGCATGTGCATTGTGATGAGTTGCAGCTCTGAGCGTTCTCTGTCGCCAGCATTGATTCGCATTTCCTATTTTTGGGTGGCATCGAGGTTTTGAATTGCGTTTTGCGTCTATTGTCTATGCCTCGTATATCTCGTGTTTACGCATTCTAGTTTGAATCACTTTGGAAAGTTCTTTCGCGCTATTTGCTTTGCTAGGTCATCCTGATATCTTCGTTTTGTTAAGAACTATGGACTCAACTGTGTTTAGCATGCATTTTCAATTTAGGTAAGCATGACCACGCCAGACGATGAATTGGGACCGGAGAAACTCGACATTCAACTTACTGAAATGAAGGTTAGTAATTGAGTACCCATGTTCGACAGTTTCTGGAAAGAAGGTTTTTTTTTTCAGAAGGCCGAGGCTAACGGCCACATTGAGGATGATGAGCCAGAACAGCCTATCCAGTTGAAGTAGGTTGTAGATCTTTTAAATCGTTTGAAGTGTGAGTTCATGTCTTTCAGAGTTTATGGTCGAAGATGGATAATCCTGACCGTTGTGGCGATGTTGAATAATACCAACACTATGTCATGGATTGCCTTCGCTCCCGTTGCAAATTACGTCAACATTTTTTATGGGGAAAACAGTGCTGCGTGGTAGGTTTTCGCGCATAAATTTTCTCTGGAATCCTTCTTCATTTTCTTCCCCAACGGATCATTGTTTCTGAATGAGTTATTTTTCACTTTTTCATCCACACTATAGTTTAGTCTTTTGCAGGTTTTCGATGGTTTATATGATGTGCACCATACCTGTGGGTTTCTTTGCCATGTGGGCTGGACGAAAGTTCGGTCTAAGAAGTGCAATATTAATAGCAGGTTAGATAGCGAGTTCTTGTGTTGCTTTGGTTGATCTACATTCAGTGTTGAAATGAGATTAGAATCTTTTGAAGTAGATATAATATCGATAAACTTATTCATTATGTAGGTATCTTGCAAAGAAGCGAATGATGTCTTCTCCACTGACATGCGATATGAATAATTTATTTCTTTTTTCTTTCGTTGGTGGTACAGACCATCATTATTTCATCGAATAATAAAATTTTTGTAATAACCAATCAACAAAGTCTTCAATTTCCCTCACTTTCTAGGATGGACAAATGGTATCGGAGGACTGATACGTCTATTGAGCTCGTTTCTACCACTACAATACCGCTTTACCGTCGGTATCACAGGACAAGCCATTGCAGCTATCGCTTATCCGTTTATTATGTTCCTTCCTACTAAGGTATTCAATTCGCTGCTAGTCTAAATTATCTTTCTGTCTACTGCAATATCTAGGTTGCTGCGTCTTGGTTCCCTGACAATCAGCGTGGGTTGGCAACAACTATAGGTGTGATGTCAAACCCTCTTGGAGTACTTCTTGCCAATATTATAAGCCCTCAGATGGTGAAAGCGCCTCAGCACGTTGTTTACTTAAATATCTTCACATTTGTGCCTTCTGCTGTCGCCATGATTCTCGCTACGGTAAAGAATCTCTTTCTTTTTGGCTACAAAAATCGGGATTCCTACGTATTTGTTGCAGCTGTTTGTTAGAAGGAGTGAGCCGAAAATTCCTCCGACGTACAGTGCAAGCAAGCCGCAGATGGACTTCATTCCTGGTAATGAGAACTTTGTGGTATATGTCAGAACTTCTTTTATTTCCTTTATATTACAGGTCTCAAATCATGCATGACCTCAAAACAATATCTCATTCTCTTCTTCGTTATGGGCGGTGGAATCGGCATGTTCAATTGTTTATACACCATTATGCAGGTTAGGGCTCAAATTTGGTAATTTTTTATAGCTTTTTATAACAGTTATTCAATACATAGGAACTGTTGTGTCCGTCTGGCTATTCCAACTCTTTCGTTGGCATCTGCGCTGCTTTGATGATCATCGGTGGTATCGTCGGTGCTGCAGGAAGCGGTTTGTTCAACATTTCTCTATTATATGCACGTGTTTTCAATCTTTGTTCTCCAGGTATCTTCGTTGATCGCACGAAGATGTACGAGGAAACCATGAAGGTCGCAATGGGGTTAGCAGTTGTATTTGGTCTCATTTTCATGCAGGTTAAAATTTGCCATCAGCTTATGCTATGCCTCTTCTGTATTATGAAAGGTTTCTTGATTTTTTCTTTATAGCTCACGCTGCACCCGAATTTTGCACCATTCCTCGCAGCTACATGTGTTCTGTTCGGAATATTCGGCTTGGCTACTTACCCTGTTGGTTTGGAACTGTCCGCAGAATGTACGTTCCCGGTATCGGAGGCTACTTCTACCGGACTCATCGTTTTATCAGGCCAGGTACGCAAACCATCTTGCGCTAAATAAGTCGCGAGACCTTGCATTTCTTACGATGGGTTTTCTGAGAATTATTCGAGAACTGTCTTTGGCTTTTTCCTGTTTTCTTTGTTTTGGTTATCTTCTAATTTCTGGCCGTAGTCTTGGATCAAAATAGCGACAATTCTTCTAGGTCCAAAGCGTTTTGTACGTTCTCATCATGAAGCAGTTCAGTCGGCCACTACAACCTGATCGGATGGACATTCAGGTAAAATGACGACTACCTTGACTAGGCTCTTTTATGTTTTTTGAAACAGTTGCATCGAGAAAGCTAGATATCGTATTTCAAATTCTTTAGGTTTGTTCATTGGACGAGAATGATACCATGAATCAGCCAAAGGACAATACGCAGGCTGTAATGGTCAGTTTTTGCCTCAGTTATTTCTGTACTTTGCTCGTGTTTTTCTTGGCAGTAAATTACTTGTAAATCCGCATGCAGTGTACTTTCAAAAAAAAAAAAAAAAAGGATGAGATAATCCACCTGTACGATTGTGTCTAGGTTTTCTCTTTACTGGCTGCTCTTCTCGTTCTGGTGTTGGTGATTCTGTTCAAGCCCGTCTATCGCCGAATAGAAGCGGAAAAAGAGAACCGGGCACGGCTCGATAAAGACAAGGAAGCACGATTGAACGATCAAAAGGTTACACTACCACGAGAAAATGCTATCCAGCCTCTGACTGAACCGCAGCAGCTCTGAAATTTCAAAGGGTTATAATGTGAATCAAGCTGTTATTTTCGGAGACTCAACTTATCGTTCTCATTTGGACCTACAAGTGTATTATTTTTTGTCGAAGTTCAAACTACTGAGCTTTGTTGACGGAATTCCCATAAATCGTTTAATGGATTGGTCTCTATCTTTCAAAAGTGTTTGGCTGGCAATATGTTGTTGTATGAAATCATAATTGTTGAGCTTAGTTCTTTCCATTTTTTTCATTGCGCTTTTCACTGGAATGCTTCATCAAAACTTGTCGAAGGATGGCAAAAAGTTGAGCATCCAAAGCAACCAATCCGAAGCGCAATCATCCCTAATAATCCCTAATAATCGGATAACTTCTCGTGTTTGTATTCATGTGTTTCTTTCATGTTATTGTTGTATCTCTCACTGATAAGACCGCAGCTTATATGTTGTTCTAATGTGCTTAGTCATATGTATACTTTCAAGCAGTATACTTTAAGCAATAAAGTTGTTTTGAAATTGTTATTTCATCGGGAATTTAGAGGCATTGAACTAATCGCCAAGGCGCGTACGCTATTCCTCATCCCCCGTAATCTCTCAGATTGTGGACGCGCAGCATTGTCAGATGATTAGTCTGGTTAATCCCTATCGAGCGGCGAAAACCGGCAATACATCGCACTTCCGTTCTCACAACGTTCGCTTTTCTGATTTCTGACTGGTGAAAATGATGAAATGAGCTTTGTCATTGAGTTTGAGACTACAAAAATCGAAAAAGCAGCGTGCAGGTATACTTGACAAGTGAATTGTGCATCATCATAATCTGCTCCGGATATACTTGACGCAGTCTCAGTTTCCACGCGACCTGGCAATTTGTCAGATTAGTTCAAGTCGTGAGACGGCCTATTGAGCCCACGGTGCGTCACAGTAATTTAAGATGCAGACGTGCTGTTTTTTGAAGGGTTCCAGCACTGGCAGACTACAAATTCGAAATGTGAATAACTTTTGTGGAGTGGTAAATTCCCTATCTTCTGTACAATTCGAATGCGCTCATGATGAGTTAGGGACAACTGGGGTGTTGTCAAATCGCTTGAATTATATCCACGGCCTTATCATTTCCTTAGGCCTCGGGCAGAGTTGGCGATTTCATCGTCGCGATTTATCGCGACAAGACAACTGTAACAATATCATTTCATGCTGATCTTCTTGCATTTCGGTTGTTAGTCACGATTAGTCGTGTTGGAAAACTATCACAACGAAATGCAAGAAGATTGGCATGCAATGATATCGTTACAATTGTTTTGTCGCGATTGATCGCAACGATCAAATCGCGTGACCTCTGCCCGAGGCTTTAGGAGGAAAAAGTTCGAGTCTGTAAACCCAAGAATATGCGGCATTCCGGAAAGGATGATGTTTTAACTTTAGCGATAAATGTAGTGCTAGAGTTTCATAAAATTGAGCCAAAATATCTGCCAGGCTGATGCCGACAACGGCCACTGGTCAGGTGTCACATCAAGCAAGCGTTCTACCGCGCACGCCGTGCTCAAGTTTCATGCCCCACATAAACTCTCCGGAGCTAAAGTGGCACGGCGGGGACAGGAGGTGGAGGGTGGCGACAATACATGACTCAGTATTATAAGTTACACTGCGAAGGAGTACTGAGGGGAGCTGATTTTTGTACTGCCTGACGACGCGCGGCATCATTCCGCGAAAATTGCAGGGAATCCGCGCGGGACTCTTCCAAATTCGGCGACCTAACATTACTCTGACATTCGGTCCGTGCGGCGCGCGCGTGCTCCCCGTGCGGCGCCTTGTAGTGCGAGGGGGCCGAACGCTCCGTGCGCGCCGCGATGCGCGCCGCACGGACCGAATGTCAGAGTAGGTCGCCGAAAGAGGGCGGTCCCCGCGGTCATTTGCGACAAATACGCACCCTTGTACATACGCGGACATGCGTTCCTTGCAGGGAATCCGCGCGGGACTCTTCCAAATTCGGCGACCTAATGTCCTCCACCCCGCCGCTTGTGATTCCTGAACCGCACCCACCGGCAGCATCCACATCAGGTTTTGCGCTGCATGACCATACTTTCTGCGCAAATTTTGTAAACACTGCAGGGACCCTAAACTGACCGGTAATTTCTGCTATATCGTCTCTTTCATAGAAAACGAGGTTTATCGCAAGAAAGGAATCAAATGTTACAGTCTGTCCCAATGGGACGAGGTCGAAGCATTGACGTAATATCGGGATTCCGTAGGTAGGTGTCAGCCTTATTCGTTTTAACTGGTTCGTTCGGTTCACTCATTCGCTGTTGGTCAAATTACTGAACTGACCAGTAGCGAATGGGGTAAACTGGATGAATTGAACCGGATTTTGGCGTGACGCAGACCCTTCGAGACACAGACTCCCTCCGTGCCAATTTTGACCTTATTGGGACTATTGGACCAATAATTAAAGGTGCCAAATTGCATCTGCGCGCTTCGACCGCCACGCGGGTTACCCGCTATTTGCAGATTTTTGAATTGCGCCTACGTTTCTTTATTTTGACTTGGGCCAGCCTGTAAATGAGAGGGTGTACGTCAAGCGTTGAGATAAATATTCACAAGTGCAGACTAAACCGGTTTTCCTTACTTGATATTGTTTTGTACATCCAGCGACAGATATCATGCATTTTAACTCAGTTGAAGTTCCTCACATATACAAGCAGTGCGCAGTTTTTGTCAAGCTAATCAGTTCCAAGAGGCACACATCACTTTGCAGTTTTATAGCTGTCAACCTTGTTTGGCTCTACTCTACCGGATTTCGAGACTCAATAATTTGATATTTGGGCATATGTGAAATTGCTTTGAAGGAGCCTAGTAGTCGGATGCCAAAAGTGCGCTTCAAGTTCCTTTTTAGAGCCATGTGTCTCAGTGGGCGTTTGTTGGAATTATTGTCCAAAATTTGTATTTGAAGAGAAAAACGATGAACTTGGCTGTGATGACTCATATGTGAGTACATAGACCACTTAGGTATTAATACCTCGCCTACCTTTTTGTCGCAACATCGTAAACAATTCGTCACGGGAAGAACTTCCCCTTGACGGTCTAATTGACTTTTATCGATTTTCTAGAGCAATGAGACGCGTTGCTCTGAACATGTAAGGTAAAAGCGCTTGCTAATCAGTGAGTATTTTCGGAGAAAAGTGCAAGGACACGTGTTATGCGAATATTATGAGTGCTGAAGCAATGTCGTTTTTTTTTTGATCTATGGTCTGCTACCGGTCACGTTTCGCAATGATGATTCAAACCCGGATTCACATGCTCAGTGCGCGCTTTCCGTTGAACAAGCTTAGCTGAAGCTAATCTTAGATAAAACTGAAGGCAGTTTTATCTAATCAGCTAATTCTTGACTCTTAATTTTTCTTGAGCAGTTCCTAACAAATTTCTTTTATCTAAAAAAGTTGACGTTATTGACCAAGCAATGTCGTGCTCTATAGCAAACACAACGCTCGCGCAGCGGTCGCTGCCACCAGCGTGCACAGAACAGATTTGGCAGTCGTTGCAATTTTCAACTGCAGTATTCTGGCGCCATGTACAGGGTATTCGTGGCGGGACTTTTGCGTGTCAGCCAGTTCGGAGACTTTGTCTTCAGTCGTTTTCGAACGGATCAAACTTGCTGATGAGGGCTTTTGTGCTTTATAGGTCACAAAAGGAGCAAGTACAAGGATTGTGAAAGTTGGGTCTGGTATACGCACACTAAGACACTAACCTAGAGCGATGACAAAGTAAAGTTGAACGATATTCCAGGATTTGAGAAGATTACTCGTTTTCCGAGTCTTGCTTTTTTACCTAGGTAGGAGCAAAGACGTTTCGGACATGCTATCACTGATCAGACTTCCTAAAGCACGAAGTCACCTCTTTATGACGAGCGTCAATAGCATACAAGATGGTTCAAAATTGTACTTGTAATCAGGTGAGATGATTACAGAACTAAATGAGAACTCGAGAGACTGTTCTATAAGAGCATATGTAACAGCCCAACCATAGCATCCTTTCTCAACAAACAATTTTGTTGGCTTGTCAACCAAACTAGTAGTGGCTTGAGGCATTGTTGAGGATATAGCGATAGGTTTAACATCATGGATCGCTGTGTAATTGATTATTAGCTCGCTTTGGCTCTACGCTACTATCAATTGCTCTGAAATATTATACAAATAAGTTTGCCAGTGATTCTGGACTGGTATTCTGCAGAACTCTTTTACAGCATAGGCCATAAATCTCTATTGATGTAGCATACTGTTCTCGCTTATACATTGTGGTTCTCGTTAGACATAAAGAGAAGTTCGTTCACATCGCATCCCAATATCAGTACTTGATGGATAATTTTATCGTCAAAACTCTTACTCCCCTTGCTGATGTTACCGGAAACCAGCAAACTTTTTAATGAAAGAGCTTACATCTACTGCAAGTGACAAGATTCGATAAGTTTTGATAAATTCTTGCACAGCTAAATCAACAAGAGATGCCCATTGTATTGTACATCCCTCGGAATTGTTCCCCTGGATACTATCAACGTAGTAACTGCCCTTCCTTCGTTCTAACATGTAAAGTTCGGATAAGCGCTCAAATTTGCTAGAGTCAACGTGTTAAAACGATTGAAAGGCAGCCACGAATAGTACCTATGGAACAGTTTTGAGGGATGCACCAGTTGTCTGCAACTCACTTCAGATTTTATGAAGTCAAACACAACGCTAAATAAAACAACTCACCAGCACCTGCTAGTATCTATAGTATTGACCATTTGTTTTGACCTCATTGGATGTAAACCCTCACACAACGACTTGAAAAAAGAGAAAGTGACTTCACTAAGAACATGCAGATATTTGACCACTAGCCAAACATCAAAGCAAAGCATCAAGATTCAGTGGCGGCTTCGGTCTATATGCCGCTACAACTTTACTTCCTGATCACAACTTTTTGCGAGCACGTCTGGGCCGAGTGATTTGGGCTGATGTCACACAGGGATGATATGTCTCCCCCTGCGCGACTCTTAGTAAACTACTTCGGCGGAACCTCCTACGCCGGGTAGGAATAGCTGCTGGCGGATGGCGCCGTGCAAAACTTCATTCTCGAAGGACTGAGACACTAAAGGTCCCGACACGAATACCCTGTAAATGGCGGCCCTATACTGTAGTTGAAAGTTGCAACGACTGCCAAATCTGTTCTGTCCAGCGTGCTGCCACCTCCAGGATTTGCCCAGGGGCTACTTGAAGAATGCATGTTAAATTGTTCCATCAGCTCACAGATTTAAAGTCTCCATTCTCAAATTCCATCTGGCTAGAAGCCACCAATCGGGTTATTTCTTTTTTAATATATTTCTTTTTTAATATTCGATCGTCGTGGATAGTTTTTTTTATCGCGATCTCTTCCTAAACAGCTTTAGTTTTCACATTATTCTAATGTAAATAGATTGGACAGTACAAATCAATGGCAAGTTACGGCTCATTAGCGCTCAAGCACGATTCATTTGAAGCTTTGAATGCGGTCAGTGAACTTCCAAAGGAGATGATTGCAAAACTCAAATTTTATTCTTCTGAGAAGTAGGTTTTTTTTTTCAAATACATGCTCTTTCTCGTTGTTGACTCGGTTTTGATCTTTTTGTTCCATCGTTTTGTTTTAGAATGTTCGCATCAATTGAGAAAATGATACAAGAAGCAAGAATAGCTAGAGGAGACATTGAGAAGCAGTACACGTTATATTATCGCTGCGCTCAACTGTCCGATCTGATTAGAAAACGTAGCGACTTCGAAAAGTTCAAGGCAGATGTGAGTTCCAGTAGCCTTTTTTGTAGAATGCCCTGCTCGCGTCTTCTCCTTCATTCAGGTTTATGGATTTTGCGTGAAACTTTTTTGTTTGGATGATTCTGTTCAGATTATTTTTTTTGGAAGGCGAACTTTTTTCCTATGATTCTAAATGATTTTCGCTTTTTATCTTTCTTTCCATACTTATTACTTTTGTATTGTGTATGCATCCTGCCTATCTGTCTAAACACAAACTTTTGCAATGTTTTTTTCTTCACAAATTTTCTTATTTTGTAGCATGGTCCTATATTTGGCCTCCGATTCAAAGAATCTCTTGATGAAGCCGATAATCTGAAGGCCATTCTCAACAAGAAGTACGAAGAAAAGATGCTCAGATCTTCCCAAGCTGCCGCCGCCGCAGAGATTCGAGCTCCAAAAGCGGTAGCGGATGAGAATGTTCCCGATCAAGGTAATAGCCAGTGGAACTCTTATTGTAGAGGAAATGCATCTAGTTTCTAGTAACTCGCCTTGCCTCGAGTGTCTTGATAAGTCCGAAGGAGTTGGTGCGTATGGTAGAACAAGCGCAACCGAAGAAGACTGCCGTAATTGTCGATTATCGAAAGGACAAGTCGGAACTGATCAACTACAAAAACGATCACGTTATCACCGTCGTCAAAGTCCCGTTCGATCTCATCACCCACGGGTTGGTTCAATTTCCTCCAGTCTTAGACATACCATCTTACTCCAGGCTTTTCTTGTCGTTTGTTTTGTTCGTTTATGCATGCCTGTCCAGGTTGATCTTTGCGTCACTGCGAAATCAGCTCGAAGTCGGACAGCGTCCACTCCTACACCGTATCGGCTCTTGCGACCTTGTCGTGTTGATGGGAGATACGAGTATTGAGCTGAGGAACGGTCATCCGGTCCATGGCTCACCGGCACATCTGTTGTCTTTGGCTTTGTATGAGGTTGAGCTTGTTCTGCTTGCATTACCATCTCTTACAGTTTTCTTCAGTACAACCATGACAATCATCCGAAGGCTCGACCGCTGTTCATGGATGGCGGTTTTGACAACTGGCGTGATCAGTATCCTATGTACACCAAGATTGACGGAACTTTGAAGAGGCTTGAACCTAGAGATCAGCTTGATCATATGGTCAGCAACTACAAGAAAGGTAGATCAATCGCAAAAGAATTCCCACTTTTCACTCAATAATGCTGTAGCTTGCTTGATGCTGGATTATCCGGATTTATCTCCTCAAAAGCCACGTCCGCAAGAACCTCCACGTCTTCCTCCTCATGCTAATGGTGCACCTAAAGTCAACGGTTTTGCCGAAACTCCAAATCATTTGATCAAGCCGGAGCCCAAGGGAAAGCCTGAAGTTGTGAATGGTGCGGTTTGCTGCGTGCTCGATCATGCATTTCATTTGTTTTTGTTACAGTTCATAAGACTACTGTTTTTTTTTTTGTTCATAACGTTCTCGCATCCGCGATTTAACGCATTTATCACATTCAGGAGCGAAACCGAAACAAGTTGAGACAACCTTTTCTGCAAGTAACTCCGCCATCTCTACAGCATCCATAAGAAAGGGTGAAGTTTCACCAGTACCTCGTCCGAATGATGTGCCACGACCAGGTAACCATCATTGACTTTCATCTCAAATTCCACTTGCATTTTTCAAAAACGTTTATTTTGAAGAAGTAGAAGAACGAATCACTGCGACTATAGTCGCTCCTGCTGCGGCGCAACCACCGCCACCACCCCAGAAACCTGCGGGCAAGTGGTTACGTGCCTTATCATTTTTTGTCTTGAGTGCTCTGTTATGTCCAAGTCCCGGATTACTCTGTATGGACCCTCTGTATGCTATCTCTAATTATCTTTTAGGCATCTCTGCGAATGCTGCTCCGTTACCGAATATACCTCCAAGACCATCTCATATGCGTTCTCCGCCACCTGAGCATGGTGATGGTCCACCCGTTGCATCTGGTTCGAAAGCAATTTTACTCGGCCTTAGTCGTTTAATTCATTTTCAGGATTCCATCCTTCTGTAACTGTTGGACCAACTCCTCCTCCTCGTCTTCCGATGGTGGATCGCTCAAATAAACCTCAAGTCACGGTTAGTAGATGTTTATATATCGATTGAATAATGACGTATCTTCATTTAAATTTTTGTGCTAAAAAAATTTTCTGTAGCAATGGTTAATGTTCAGGAAGAATTCACTGCCCACATCATCAAGCCAGATTCTGCTCAAACGCGTCATGCAGCGAAAACGTGAGTAGTGTTTCCACACCATTTGTTATCATTTTTATCTTCATATTATTATTGATAAGCTAACGGCTGAAAACAGTGGTCTGCTTCTCATTCGTTAGGATAGGCAGTTCATGTATGCGTGCTTTTACAACTTCTCCCGGCTGACCAACTTTCTTAATTCTATAAGAACTATGTCGTTTAGGTTGGTTACATGTTTCTTATTGTTGAAACGTTTTAGTAATGCTCTACAACCTCGTCTTCCGCTTCCTGATCGTAGCACTAAACCTGTGTTGATGAGGTAGGTTAAAAGATGTTTTGTACTGCTGTTGTCGCTGTTCATTTCACCATTTTTTGTGAAAATCATCTTGTTCTTGAATTCTCTAATTCGCCCAACTTCTTCAAAGACGATTAGTCGTCGATTGGCATTTGTTGAAATAGATCTTTCCACAAATGCATGATATCTGATACATGATCTTACGGTTTGCCACACTGAATGTACGCGTTAAACCTTGTACTTGCCTGAAGTGAAAGGTTCAGCGACAACTGCGAATTGAGATTGTGGACCTAAAAGCTTCTTTTGGCTTCATGAACTTACCGTTTCATTTCAGTATCGACCAGGGACAGCAGTTGTTAGATATTTATAATAGTATGTTTGTCTCCACGTCTACCGAGGGTAGCTCAAGCCGGCGTGGGAACCCGGTAAGATTAACTCCGTTCGTTCTAGATAGCGATATCTAGGTCCAGTTGTGATCATCATATTTGAAAAATTGCAGCGTCCCGGTTGTACTGGTCTATATAACATGGGTAACACTTGTTTCATGAATGCAACTTTACAGGTGAATTTTGGTTTTAATTTGTTTTCTATTGTCGTTTCGTTGCGCTTCTCTGTCCTGATTTCAAAGTTTCATACTTTTCAGGCTTTGTTTCATACTCCATATATGCTTACCATCTTTTCAAAAGAAAATTTCATGTCACGTGTCAATCCGTGGGTCTTTTCGGTTACGCTTACATGTGTTTATGGCATAGTATGGCTTTATAGGCATAATAAAATGGGTACCAGTGGTGTTATTTCGGCAGTGTTCAGTGCTATGATGGATGTGATCTGGAGCGGGCAATACACTGCCATAAAACCGCAACGCTTTCTTGTAAGCTTTTCGTTCGTTGTGAGGTCACTGATGTAAATTTTCAATGCTCCATTCCAGCAGTTGTTTGCAAGTGAGGTAAATGGCTGCCTTGCTGATGGCCACCAGCATGATGCATCCGAGTTCCAGCTATTTCTTTTAGACGCTCTCCATGAGGACACCAATCAGGTACGATGTCAAAGGGTGTGGCTCTTTGTTTGGAAAAAAAGTTTTAGGTGACCAAAAGGGTGTCGTTTGAACAGAACTACAAGGGTGGTTCTCATATATTAAACGACGCTAAAGATTACGAGAAGAAGAGTCGGTTATTTTCCTGCTCACCCGTGAACAAAATATTTAATGTAAGTTTCCTACTTAGAATGACTGGGTCTCTAGAATTTCATCTTTTTTCCAGCTACAAACCGTCTCTGAATTGTCATGCTCTGCATGCGGTGAACAGTCGGCGACATTTGAGGAAGCTAGTTTCATCTCAGTCGAGTTACCCGTTCATGCAACGCGCACTAGTTTGCAGCAGTGCCTCAGTAGTCATTTCTCACAAACGGTAGTCTATTATTTTTCACACAGCATTTTTCTCTTCAATAAGTGGTGGGAATATCGCTTTTCGTTCGAAAAGCTCAGTTTTGGGAAGGGAAATCATCACATCCCCACAATTCTGTTCAGTCTTGACTCTTTTTTCAACACTAAACGGTCCGGCGAAGCAGTACACAAATATTCTCCTGTAGTTTTTGCTACAGCCAAGAGAGACTTGATTTTAATTTTCAGTCGTCTCTCGAAGTCGACCTAGTTGTAAAAAAAATATAGCTAAGGCCACACTTCAACAAAAATAGATGAAAATATACTTTTGCATTTCACTCTATTTGTTATGTTAGGTGAATAAGTAGCAAAAATTAGTTGTAGCTTTTTTGAATGGGTAATCTCTTCTCTTCGATACATGAGGTGTTTATGGATCTTAGTGCAGTTATTTTAGTTGAACACATCGAAATATTTGCTATTCACATAAATTCTACCCAAGGTGTAAAATGTCAGAATGTTACGCAATTGCAGATCTTGGACGGCGACTGTAGGTGGAATTGCCCAAGGTGTCGTGCACCTAAGCGAGCGTCAAGGATGACAAAACTGTGGTCTTTGCCTCCAGTTGTTGTAAGTTATTACTGGGCTCGTCATTGACAACAGTGTACCATGTTTAGGTAGTCCATCTAAAACGATTTTCCATGGAAAATGGCGATTATGCAAAGAACACGATGCCCGTAGATTTTGATCCTAGCCGACTCGATCTTTCCGAATATTTACATGAAAATTCCCCAGAAATAGCAGAACCTTATCGATTATATGCTGTAACGGTAAGTGTTCGAACCACTTCGCCCATCTTCACTGCCCGCTAAACCAGGTTGTTTACAGAATCATTATGGTCGACTGAATAGCGGTCACTATACAGCGTTAGTTTGTCATTCAACGACGGGAGACTGGTTAAAATTTGATGATGAGAGTGTTTCGTCTTCATCCGCTAATGGAATTAATGTAGGCAGTTTTTGTTTTCGCATTCTTTTTTCTACAGAAGCTTTTTCCAGACATCCGAGGCGTATATGTTATACTACAAACGAGCGTGATCACTGGTGACTGTGATAAATGTATAAAAGATATAATAGGAAATTTATTTAAATAAATATTCGCTGATGATCTAAATTTTGGTTCAGCTTGCAGGTCACAGAATTCTCGAGACTATTAGGGATCGTTCAGACCGCGCACAAAGGCGCATGAAGGCGCACGAAGGCGGACGAAGGCGCATGAAGGCGCGTGTGAGTGAGTGTGCGTGTCGATATACGAGACGAGACGAGACGCGCCTCCATGCGCCTTTGTGCGCTTATGCGCGGTCTGAACGATCCCTTAGGCTATCAGGGTTGAAACTGCAACATTTGGGATTAGGTGGATTTTGTCAGCGCATAAGTTGTGATTGTCGTCCGTCTTTTGACAGCCAGTGTAGGGGTACAGGCGTTATGCAGCAAAGGTACGCCGCATTCCCCTGCGGTAAATCCTGAGGAACATTTGTGTTGCGCTGCCTTTAACTGCAGCCGCAGGAGCAGCGCTGCTTTTGACAGCGGATTGAGCATTTTCCCTACTACTCCGCCGCCCTGAGTTGTTTAAACTGTGTAACTGAAGCATAGAAACCAAGAATTGAGAGAGTAGATAAATTCCAGGGATCAGTTCTGGATGAGTCAAAGGCTAATCAAATAAAGAGTGTTCGAAAGAAGAGGAACATGAGAATTACCAGAGAGGACAGAAATTTACCGTCAATGACTTTTTGACAGATATTGATTTCCTCTTACTTTCTCTTGGGTTCTGCTTTACAGATACTTCTTCCTCATATTCCTTCTATTTCTGATTCATTCTCAAAATCCGTTTATCTTCCACATTTTGATCTCTTTATTTATGAACACTATGGAGAATGGTTTAACCGCTCGGTAAGGCTAGCTCCTCTGCGGCTGCAATTAGGAGCGACGCGACGCAAATTGTCTTAGGATATACCACAGGCGAATGCGGCGTAGGTTTACTAGGTTAGGTTTAGTAGGTTACTAGGTTTAGTAGGTTTACTTTATAACGCCACGCCGCCGCCAGCGTAGGGTAGTTCTACTAGTACTAGTTCTACTAGTACCATAAGCGCAGCGCTATGTATACAACCTCAAGTTTAGAATACCACAGTAAGCTCGCCCTTGCATCAGACCATGGTCACACATACCTAGGAAAGAATGTTATGGAGGGGTATGATGGCTTGTTGCCGGAAAGATTATGTAGCCCAAAATCTTACAGATCAGTCCGCTCAAAGGCATCGTCCACCCAGATTTTCGATTCCACGTTTTTGTCGTTTCAGGGTCTTCTTATGTCCCTGATTCCGCATATGAAGTTGAGAATGCTCGAAAACCCCGACAATCCCCGTTTCGGAGAACCCACAGGCCGTCATTTTAGAATGGTGATTGTATGGGCGCGCACAAATGGGCGGGCATGGATGGGGGAGGGCGGGCTTGGATGGGGGTCCTCGTGCATCTGCGCCATTCCGAAGCGATTTTCTCTCTTCCGAAGCGGCATTTTGCGCCGTAACTTGGGCATTGGGTTGATAGGCGGCTCTGCTATTATATGCTGCCAAAAGGTCAACACCCTCAACTTAGGGTGGACGGTGCCTTTAAGTGTCATTGGGAACTAGCTGGCATACCCGGTCTTGCCCGTTCATGAACCGCGGAGCAAGAGGGAGGAGAAGAGGGAGCGCATAAGATATGTGTTCTGCTTCAAAACATACGCCTTTTCATCTTTCATCCCGTTTCCATCTGCTGCATTCCTGCCCTTCCCCCCCCCCTTCCTTCTCCGATCCTGCAGCCTATATCCACTTGCAGGGTGCATTGTAATCGCAAATGCCTACCTCAAAGCAGCATCATCTGGAAGTACCGCATCCTTCTGACCTCAAAATGAGAATGAGCTTCTCTGCTGTTGTCTACACCAAAATGTGCAAGCGGTATGATAGCGGTTGATAAGGCTTCAATTTCATTGCTAGGTGCCAAAAATCAATAAATCGATAGAAAAGTTCAACAAATCGCCTCAAAGAGTAGCCTAAAATCATCTACATTGTCAAAAACATGTACGTGCAAAATTTCAGCTCAGTTGGTTCATTTCGCAAGAGAGTCTCTAGAAAACATACGGTCCAGAGTTGCACAAACTTTGACTTTTATAGGTATACTAGCTGGCATACCCGGCTCCGCCCGGCTGTGTCAATACACTGTGATGCCATGCCGGTTTTGGTCTGGTTAGGATTGGGGCAGACTGTATTCAAAATCAGCATGCTCACTTACCCCCTCCCCCTGTACAAACTCCCAGTCCCGTAGTTCAGAGTTCGCAAAAAAATCAAAAAAATCGATATTGATCGACAACGAAAAGATCCTACGACATCTGTCCCGCCCCGAAGTGTATGTGCGCAATCGCAGTAACTGTGAAAGAATAGACAGACAGTAAAGAGTAAGAATTATTCTATCTTTAACAACTTGCTTTCTAACAAAATGTAAGCGACCCCAAAAACTGAAACGACTTTGGAAACTGTACAGAGCAAGTTGTATTGTAGTTTGACATGCAAAGGAGAGATGAGTAGCATAATGACTCTGACCATAATAAGCTTCATTTTTTGCTGCTTTGCTGCTAAGCAGCTACTCGCTTTGCTCACCACACAGCTTGAAGCTGAGTTCGGATACAATAGGACTTCTAATTCTGAAGATAGATAATATTGGGTCTTCACGATAGTTGGCCTAGATAGAGCTATCGCGAGGGCTCGGCGTGGTTGTCTTGAGGGTTTGTTTATATCCTTCATTGAAGAACACTCCTCTAGGCGATCGGCACGTCCACGTCTCCTCGGCTTGGCTCATCGATTGACCTGACCGCACTCTTCGTAACACCTACATCGAAACTGATTTGAGCCAAGCGGAGCCACCTTATATAGCGGCCCAAGAAGAGGAGGCGCCCGTCGGCCCAACACGAATTAATGAAAACATAGTTAAACCATCAAAACATCAATTAAACGCATAAAATCGACTAGAAAGGACCCCTCCTTGCTGCATTTGCACGCCGATAAGATTAACGACAAAAGCGAAAATGTCAAGAGTATCTTGATTTACATCAAGATGGTATTAGAGTACGTTCTTCTGTGGAAGCGCTGTACTTGGGTTCACTGTCTTGAGAAACGGTGCTACATCTTCTTTTGAACCACTGAAACGCACTGATTACTCACATCATTTTATGTTCACATCATTTTATATCCAAATTAGCTGGTTTATCCGGCTTTGTCCGACCCTGTCAAATCACTTTGATATAGGGGCCTGCAGGATCGCGAGAGTCGGACGTGCGTACGGCCATTGCGCCGCGCACGTCGCATGTCACTGGGTCGTACTCGATGGTGAGATTTTTTTGTTTTTCTTCTCATTTCTCGCCTTCTTTTTTTTTCAGGCGGCGAACATATGTTGGTGCAGAGGAGTTTATGATCTAGATTAAGGTGAGGTGCAGGATTATGCTCAATACGGGCCAATATTGTGGACTTTTCACCCCTGCTTTGAAGAATGTTGAGTTTTCTGTTCTGGCTGTCCGATTATGTTCGATTTTTCGTCCTGCCTGCCCGGTTACGAAACTCCGTTTTATTTGCAACGTCTGTTCTACCTCATCTTGCATCATGCGCGTCATCACAATCATAATCATTGTCATCATCATCATCATCATCACAAGCAATATGCAAGATAAGGTAGAATAGACGGTAGAAATAGAACAGTTTGCTGTAACAGGGCAGCCAGGACAGAAAATCCAACATTTCAACCAGCAGGCATGGAAGGTCTGCAATATTGAGTCCGTATTGAGCATAATCCTGCACCTCACCTTAATTCAGATCTTAAACTCCTCCGCACCAACATGTGCTCACCGTCTGAAAAGAAAAGAAGGCGTGAAATGTAAAGAAAAACAAAAAAATCTCACCTATCTAGCCTTAATCGACTACGACCCAGCGATATCAGGCGTGCGCGGCGCAAAGGCCGTACGCGCGTCCGACTCTCGCGATCCTGCAGGCCCCTATAACAATCCCATCCCTAACCTTGTAGAACCTTTCCTTGTGCCCACTTCTACATGCCAATTCTCTATTCCCGCTGTGTTATAAACAGTATGCTCACTTACCCCTGTGCCAACTTCCAGCCCTGTAGCTCTAACTTTGCAAAAATCGATAAAATCGATAAAAGCAGTGGAAATTCCAAAAATTAATGTTGTATTCGTAATAAGCATGCTTACTTATCCCTCCCCCTTTGCCAGTTCCCAGCCCCGTAGGTCATCCTGCAAAAAATCGATTAAAGTCAGAGAAATCGACATCGATCATGACGAAAAGTAGCCTATGACACCCGCCCCGCCCCGATCTCGAACGGTTTGGTTTTAAAATTTTTCATTTGGAACATACGTGCATACATACAGGCATACAGACATAGAAGCAGAGATTTAGCTTCATAAAGTTGAATCAATTCATATCATCATGTGTGTCATTGCATATACACTATCCACCTTTGGCGTCCCCATCCTGGATTGCAGGAGCAGGTACCCTTTCAAATAAGTGTTTTTGGTGTTTTTCTTATCTTCCACTCTAGGCATCCACAAACTGATGCGAGGGATAACAATTATTCAGTTTCTTGCGTTTTTGCGATTGCAAATTCGGGATGAGGACGCCAAAGATGAATATTATGTGCAATACACACATGATCATATGAATTGTTCGACTGTATTTGATGTATATATTTTACAAGGGAACGATACTTAAAGTCAGTGGCCTTTTGAGATGAAGTGTATACCATTACACTCGCCTTCAAACGCTGACTCCAAATCTGACTTCCTTTTCTGTTAATTTTCTTTGAAAGAGGTTACATTTTTATAGGACCTTTTGGAATAATTGTAGGAAACACTCAAATAAAAATGACTCCTCGTTAAATTTCCAAAGAGTAAAGGACATGCGTTTGCCTCGAACGTGCATCAGCTTGTGAGGCTATCTAACTAGCCACCACAGCTACCAGCTATTGGTGCTCCTATCCTATCTCGGGCGGCTAAATTTGGCGCGAAAAACCTTCATAACTCCCTTCAGAGAAACGATTACAGAAACAGAGACATATTCGGAATCAGCATTCGAAGACAAGTGTAGTGGCCACGGACACTGTCGTTCCCTTGTTCGATGTACATAATTAGAAGAATAATAAACTTCAAAATCTAAATTGTGTATGTTGCAAAGGTTTCAATAAAATAGGTGGAGAACACATTATTCCAGTATATGAGGAAAGGGGAGCCTTGAGCGTGAGGAACGAGTCGTGACAATAGTGGGACAGAAGTTCCAGCTAAGAGAGGGAGTTCCGACGGCACTGCATTGCGAGATTATTATAAGCTCCTGCAAGACGAAGGCGGTCGGTTCGATGTGCAAAGTGGGTGCGACATGGTTGCGTCACAGCCGCGTCACAGCCACGTCGCACATCGAACCGACCGCCTTCGTCTTGCAAGAGCTTATAATTCTCCAGCAGAAGCCCCACTTTTGTCAGTAAACAACATTACAACAGCCGTGTGTCTCTGCAGCGTTATCCCGATCAAAATGCGGGGATTTTCTCGCCAACACATTTACTTGTGTACATTAAGTCGGGACACGCGACACTTACGTACTCATCGGCGGGAGTTACAGGCAAAGTCCAAGCAAATTTGGACACGTGAATCGCAGGTGAAATATGGTGTTGGGATCTCACTAAGATACTGCCCAAGCGGCAGCAGAGATAGTACACTCGCGACAGATTTTTATCTTCAAAGCAGACCTTTCCATATATAGCGGATGAATTGCATTGGTTGGCCCTATGTTGCTTGGGGAATCACCGCCTTCGTAGTGGGCTTCGCGCGAAATCTTGCAAATCTATGCAAATCTATGCAAGTCGTCCACAAATAGGGAGCGGGACAGATTCGAACTTCGAATATCATAACTTATAATAACGGGATAAGGGTTGTTTACGTTTGTGTGTGTGTGTGTGTGTGTGTGTGTGTGTGTGTGTGTGTGTGTGTGTGTGTGTGTGTGTGTGTGTGTGTGTGTGTGTGTGTGTGTGTGTGTGTGTGTGTGTGTGTGTGTGTGTGTGTGTGTGTGTGTGTGTGTGTGTGTGTGTGTGTGTGTGTGTGTGTGTGTGTGTGTGTGTGTGTGTGTGTGTGTGTGTGTGTGTGTGTGTGTGTGTGTGTGTGTGTGTGTGTGTGTGTGTGTGTGTGTGTGTGTGTGTGTGTGTGTGTGTGTGTGTGTGTGTGTGTGTGTGTGTGTGTGTGTGTGTGTGTGTGTGTGTGTGTGTGTGTGTGTGTGTGTGTGTGTGTGTGTGTGTGTGTGTGTGTGTGTGTGTGTGTGTGTGTGTGTGTGTGTGTGTGTGTGTGTGTGTGTGTGTGTGTGTGTGTGTGTGTGTGTGTGTGTGTGTGTGTGTGTGTGTGTGTGTGTGTGTGTGTGTCTGAATCTCTGTCTGTCACGAAATTCGTAGAGCGAGTTCCAGCCAACCTCCTGAGCCCAAATTTTGCACAGCGCATACTACCAACATAAAAGTCCAACATACCAAAGCATGAGCAGATCCGTTGCGTGGATCCCTCAAAAATGCGCGTCAATCGGATCCACTTTGCATTTGGGCCGCATAATTGGGTCCGTAATTCCACTTTTTGCAAAGTAGTGGATGTTTATGCCAAGTAAAAGTGCAAATCATGAAATTAGACCCAAAAAAGTTCTCAAAAGTCCATTACTTTAGAAAAACGGTGCCAAAAAGTATTAATTGCGTAAATGGTCAATTTGCCAAGGTTTTACCAGACCATTTGACAAGATTTTTGCACAAAGATGTAGCTCACGGTGACTGCTATTCTTACTGCAACTGTATAGACCATGGAAAAATCAAAAACCCTTAGAAATTTGCGTTTGTTCTTTTGTAAAAAGTCTCATCTACACGAAATCACCGATTTCACATAAAAAAGCGCGAGAATGAGTAGGGCATGGATAGTAGAGCCAGTGCGAGCCTCTGCGAAGCAGAGGTGACGCACTGGTCTGTGGAAAACAGCGTAGCATAAAAGGTGATAATGTCGCTATTACAGGTAGCATGATGGATTCTCATGATGCAGTGTTTTGATATCCTTGCAGTTGTTTATCAGCGTCAGCGCTGCAATGAGGATGATGTTTTATTTCTAGTGTTCTTCTCTCCACTACAGTCGTCTTCTTCATAATGTATAATGAACCTTATAACGATTTAATAATTGAGACAAGGCACGGCGAACTGTGAGTACTTATTAGATATCCAGTCAGGTAGAGTTCAGCCTGGAGGGCCAAGCCAACAATGTCCACAATAATTTTGTTTGGTGAAGTGAGCTCAGCAGTACAGCAAGCAACTTCATACGATACCAGCGCGTCAGCTCTCTTCGCAGTAATCGCGCTGGCACTATTAAAAGTGCAAGCAAAACAGACTTTGTCTGGTTCACATCTCGCAAAGATATAAGAGAACGATCTCTGATACAGTCGATGCCAACCAATTGCTCCCTTTTCCGTAGCGGTTACGCGCCTGCAACGCAAGAGGCTAGCGTGGCGACCCCGATCGATGGTCTGCGTATGCTATATGCGCGCGAACGCAGCGCGAGGCTGCGGGGTTGCGACTTGCTAGGTGGAGCGAGCACAAGTTTGACACGAATCGTACGTTTGCAAGAGCGAAGGAATTCAACGTTTAACGTTTAAAGAAAACTCCCTTCTCTTCATACAGAGGTTGTTGGTCATAGGCCCCGGACAGACTTCACGCGATTTGATCGTCGCGACTCAATCGCCGACATTTCCATTCATTTTCATTTCATATTCAAAAATTTCGGGCTGGAAAAGTATCACAACCGAAATGCAAGTTGACCGGCATGAAATGATGTTGTAACAGTTGTCTCGTCGCGACTCAGTCGCGACGATCAAATCGCGTGAAGTCTGTCCGGGGCCATAAACGTACTGATTCGCTAGGGATGTCTTACAGAAATAAATCCCTCGACAGAGACACTCGCCATTGGCTCCTGCCGGATAAAGTGAGGCGAAAGCTTGTAACCTGCGGGATCTACACGACTGGAGTCGAGAGGAAACCAGGACACTTGTTTCGTGTAGGGCAAAAGTGCTGGAGAAGAACTTCTTGCTGCGCATTCTCCCATTTGAATTCTGTGCACCCAATACCGCTGCAAGCATCTCTCATTGACGATGCATAGGGCTACCTTAAACTGTTCCAACTTCAATATCGCATTATTTATATATTTATTTATTTATTGATACGTGCAAAAACACGTTAGTAGAAATAGTAACAGGACAGTCTTGCAATGGTATAAAGGTACCATAGTATCAGTGCATGAAAAAGACATCAGCAAAGGATATACATATAATAACAATTACAGCACAAGACAATGAATTGGTTTCACGATTAGGAAATAGGACGATTTGTAGTAAAAAATTTAGCTAATGTTTTTTGAAGAGCATCTTGTGCCAGTAGTCTGTTAAAATCGGAAATTATCCTCACAGAGAATAAATGGGACGTGACATGCGATTTTGTTTTGGGAGCTCTTAGTTTCAGTGAACCTCCTCTAGTTTTAGAGCTGTAAACGTTGAAAAATTTTGAAAAATCAATTTTGCATCTTCCTGTTAATATCTTGAGAGCCATGGAAAGGTCAAATTTTTTCCTTCTGAGGGCTAAACTAGGAAGAGACAACACTTTATTGCGTTCATCACTCCTAGGTACAAGAGAGTAGTTGGGACCTGAAAGTCTTAGAAATAACTTTCTGGTAAAGTTGTTTTGCACTCTCTCGATATTAGCGACATCTCGAATCTCATATGGAGAAGTAACTGTAGTACCAAATTCAACAATAGGACGAATGTACATCTTGTAGGCATTGATCAAGACTTTAGCGTCTGTGGTTCTGAGGGCCTTGAATAGATTGTAAGTTTAAGGGCTTTAGAGACAGTGCTGTTGTAGTGAGAAGTAAATTGAAGCTTTTCGAAAAATGTAAAACCTAAATCTTTTACTTCCGTAACCTGAGTCAAATTGTTTCCATTCAGGGTATAAGATGACTCAACTTTTTTGACACGCGAAGACATTACATGAGTTTTTTGGGGGGATAGAGGCAATTCAGATTTAACTGACCACTGATTAACAGCTTCAAGGCAGGATTGTAAGAGTTTCATAACATCTTGATCACGAATAACCTTAAACAACTTGATATCATCTGCATACATCACGCGTCTGATATCTTGCTGAGATTCAATGATATTGGGCAAGTCAAAAGTGTAAAGAAGAAAGAGTATAGGAGAGAACTCCACCCTGCGGTACTCCGCTAGAGATGGTATAGGCTCTTGAAAATTCATTACCGACACGAACTTGGAAGGTAAGGTTGCTCAAAAATATCTACCTTGATCCTGAGATTGAAATGAGCTTTGCAACTCCGCGTAACTAGTGGGTAACATCTTAATAGGCCAACAAGTCAAAAAACGACGAAAAGGCCCAGCGAATTTTTGAAAAAAGCCTAAGAAAAGAAAAGAAAAGTAGCCTTTGAGAACTTCAGTGTATATGTTCTGTGAACTACAGGTTTCTTGTAGTAATATACTTCATTGCCTTACGTTTCGGCTACACGCCGTCGTCAGAGGCGTAGAGGGTGTCAGTCGCAACAATGTCCGCTCTTAACTGCCAAACACTTCCTCCAACTTGCATACTCGCTTCATCTAGTGTGAAAAAAGACCCGGCCATGACTTGTATGCACCGGCGTGTTACCAATATTGCGTGTTCAACTGCTTTAGACGAGCTCGTTTGACTTTGATGACACAAGAATGAGCAGTTGTTTGTCATAGACTGCTTATATACGTACAAATAATCTATAGCTCGCAAACGGAGAGATACGGCAAAATAGATGACTGTTCGTTTTTGCTGTTCATTTTGGGATACGCGCAAAAATGTAAGATGCCTCCAAAGCTTCTCGCGCAAATGATCGACTTTCGTAGGCAAATACTGTGCACCTTGGCAGTCCGTACCGTAGTGCTTTACATTCCTATGTTTGCCTAGTGGGCTCATCATGCTATGTTTCCTTTTACCAGTCAGATGTTCATTCAAACGTACGCTCGATGGTCGGCCTGTCTTTTGTAATTTTCGGAGCATTCTAAACATGACTCGTAAACAGCACCACATTTTCGTACAATTTCCGGTTTTTCCGTACGTATGAGCAGACCGCTTAATCTCATTTACAAGCTCTATAGTATAGTCTACTACGGATTAGTTGCTTTATATTGTATCGAAAATATTCACTAAAATAACATCAAATTTGTTAGAATCCTTAAAATTCGCTTGTATCAGGCATTGCTTGATCGCGACAGTGACTTTCTCAGGAATAAAGGGCAGGCATAAAGGTAACTTGCTGGGACATGATTTTTTAGGATGGGACCCAGACCTCGTGGTGTACGCGCGTACGCACACATGCATAAATATATGGAGCGTACGCTGCGTATGTCGCGCGCACGCCATGTGCGCCGCGCAGTCTGGCCCAGCACTTAGTTGCGCTCCTTCCTCTTCCGTCTGCTGGGGTCATGTTGTATAATCATTGAATACCATCATATCAGCTGTCATTTAGTAGTTCTTGCTTTTCAATCTCACCGCTACTGCTTTTTGCTGTCGATTCAGAAACATTGCGAATTATGGCACGCATGATCGCTATTGGATGAGCAGATTGAGCGCGCAGGATTGCATTTTTGCAACTTTCTTAGCGATAATACCATATGGTGCGTACTAAGTTATTTAAACGCTGCATACTCAAGTTGGCTAACCAACCCTTTCAAGGCCCCTTTTTGTCAAACTTATGTATTAGAATATTGATTGAGAATACCTTTCCATCTTGGCGCTGTAACAATACAACAGTTGTCTATGTAAGAACAATACATAATCGGGTCTCTGAGTAACAGAGGGTGTTCCTATACATATTAGGTTGTCACGAAAGTTTCTGTCTGTTTTTTCATCGCTCACTAAAACTCACAACACACCAATCCATGGGCGATCTAGGCATCATCTGATTCAAATTTTTATCCTCTTTCTCACAATTTTATTTGCTCTTTGATCTACCCTGTCTTTGCGGTGTTGTCGTCACTTTTTAAGCAGCTCAGCAGTAACTCCAAATCTTTCCTAAATTTTGAAAATTTTTATCCTGACGTTTTCAAAGACCGCTTACTGTTATGTAGAGCAAACCTTTGGCTATTTTACTCATTTTAAATTGCATGGACCACGTTTACAATCCGTTATAATTATTTATTTAATAGAAACCGCAGCTTTTTGATTACGATTACCACGTCAAAGTACCAAAAATTCCAAAAAGCTGCTCTTTTGAAGCAAATCAAACGTGAATAGTTGCATAAATGATTTTCTATAACAAACAAATTTCGATTCGCAAAAACTCATAAGGTTTTCATGTTTTTGCCGCATTTGCGTGTTTCATGACTTTGCCAAAAATCGAGACCATTGAAAAAATAATTTTTAGAGCTTTAACAGATCAGGAGAATCTAAAAATATTGCCATATAGCCCGAGAATGGCTCTATTTGGGCCATGCTTAATCCTTTCAAAAACTTTAGAGTGAAATTTTTAAAAATTAGCTGAACTTTGAGCAGATAAAAATGAAGGCTGAAGAATTTTAGCATTTATCAATAAATCATTCAGGACTGTGGCTCGCAAATATAACCATAAGAAAGCTGCATTGAACGCATGTTGAAACTCGTTCAGGTCTTCATTGTGCGTGGTCTTATAGTGGTTTGAAAAAACCGACAAGACTTTCGGGACAACCTAATATATAAAACTGAGTGTTGGTAAATTGTTAGTTAGTGCATTCTTTATAGAAACTTTTGTTCTGAACCGATCACCGCCAAACTTTGCATGCATGTTTTTTCGACACCGATGCACCCCGTAGGCTACTTTTCATAGCGAAATTCCCATTCGTTCTATCGATTTAGCGATCTTGAGGAAAATGCTCTTATCATTTATTATTAAAGCGCTTTCAATCGTGTAAACCATAAAACTTGGTGGAACTTATTTTCACTTCACGATGAAGAAGATGCGGTAAATCAAAACGATGCGGTCAGGAAGCATCTGTTCTGTACTAGAAGAATAACAGAAAAAGGCCAGAACGCAGATAAGTTGACTTCAAGATTGCGCACCATTGTTGCTCTTTGTTGAGCCTATTAAACACGCGGTGAGGGCGAAGCCGGGCATGCCAGCTAGTTTTGCTCATGAAGCAATTGGCTGGATGATAAGTACTAATCGTTGACCTATCGGCAAGGCTCGTACTTGTGCGTAATACCGTCCTAAGCATCTGAAAATATACAGCACCAATCCTTGACTAGTGTCATAATGCGTACCTTGCTAAGACCATACGTCGATCGTTGTCCCAGCATTCAGGCCTCGGACGACGGCGTGTAGCCGAAACTTAAGACGATATAATGTGTTACTATTGAAAAAAAACCTGTGCGATACAGAACAAACACTGGGGTTGTCTATCGCATGCCCAAGTTTAAAGATGGAAGGACTTTCAGAATAGTAGCCTACGATTCCAGACAGTGCCTTAAGGGCCAGACATACATCACGCAACAGAACAACTGCTACAAGTTCATTGCATGCCGATCATCTTGCATTTCTTTTGTGATAGTTATCCGACACGAATGATCGCGACCAACTATCACAACCGAAATGCAAGATGATCGGCATACAATGGACTTGTAGCAGTTGTCTTGTTGGGATCGCAAGGCGATGAAATCGCGTGATATATGTTCGGCTCTTTAATCATAGCATAGCAAATTTCAGCTGAAACGGTGAACCTACAAAGAAGTCCTTAGGTAGCGTACTAATTAAAGAACATTTACAGTATGTTGTACAGGGTGTCCCAAAAAGAAGTATACACTGTTTGATGACCTTGCTTCACCGCCGTTGCCGACTTTTTGGTACCAATAGAGCGGAATTCAAAAATCACAGGTGGAGCGAGATTCTGATCTCTCTTCGTTACTGTGAGATTACGTTATGAACTTTGAGCGTATAGAACCATGAGATACCCCATTTGGCATTTTTTTTTTCAGAAATCTGCATTGTGTACTGGGTTTTCACGCATACTTCTACGCAACCTTTCGGGAGTCTAGCTTTTTGACGTATAATCACATTTCTAACAAATGTTGGAAAAACATTTGCTATGGTTTACCTGGGATAAACTAGTAACCTGTTAAAGAAGCATTACAGTAAAGTAGAAATTTCATATTCAAAATCAGCGCTCCGATTAGCCTAGTAGAAAAGCTTTGACTTGTTTGCTTTTGATTCTGAGGCAAAGTAGCCCTTAATGGCCTGTAATCCGTGAAAAAGTTCTCACCGTAATTCACCGTATTGAAAAGAGATCTGCGATTTGTTCCATACTATACTAAGTTGAAGCCCGCTCTTCAGATTAGTGCCAAAAGATCGACAGAAGACCTTGAAGCAAGAAAGTTATTAGCGATCAGACAGTGTGCACATCTTTTTGGGAGACCCTGTATATGTATGAAAGGCATAATTAAAGCACTAACGTTTTGACTCGACCGAATACCCTGCGGTTTCGTCACTCCTTTCAGCTTGCAATTACGTTCGCTGTACAGACTCCGTAGGCAGGTCTCGCCTGCACGAATCACTGGCATGCGCAAAATGTGTGATTATAGGGACCTCATGTGCGTAATTAGGTCCCCGTCGCTACCAAAAGCCCAAAAATAAGTGACACGTTGCCTTCGCTTTTTTTCAAATTTTGCCACGAGGAACTGCACTGCGTGTCCTAAGACCTTAGTCATTGTGCGACAGTTTGCTAAAACTCAATGTTTAGAATACCGTGGCACTACTCTCAGATGCAACGTATGTGCCCGTTTTTGGAAAAGAAAGCTATCTCGAAGAAGTACGAAGAATTAAAAATGTTTTTGCAACTGCCGTATACCAAAGAATTAGTACTTGAACACGCGCTGTCATTCCTCACTAAAAATTTAATCCATTTGTAGATTAATTTGCTGATCAAGCCAGACAAACCTCTATCCGAATACAAATGGCTTGATTTGGAAAGAGTTATGGAGGATATGAAAAACGACGAAGATTTTGACCATTTAAAGGTAATTTGGGAGAAAACTTCTCATTTGAGATTGCAGCGAGTTGAGGGTTCTTTACCTTCTTTCCTTGATAGAAAACAAAATAAAGAATGCCGGCTTTTTTGGGTAGAACGCTTTGAGTAGCATCAATGGCAAACGATTACTCAAAAATTCCCATTGGAACCACTTTGTTATCTTATATATAAAGCTGAATGTCTGTTTGTATGTATGTACGTATGTTCCAAATAGAATCTAATTTTTGAACCGACCTGGACCAAACTTTGCATATATACATTTGGGGCCGGGCGGTGTCGTGGGCTATCTTTCGTTATCGATCGATATCGATTTTATCTATTTTTTTGCTAAGTTTGAGCTACGGGACTGGGTGCTTATTACGAATACATCACTGACAGGGCCGGGCGGAGCCGGGTTTGCCAGCTAGTATACTGATAAGACGCAGTAGTTCTGGGAAGATTTTTGAATATTACACCTTGAATCAACGGATCTATTCACTGCGGTACAAATTTTTCCAAATTTCTTCGACCTTTATCCATTAGCAATATAATTCATTATTGGACTGGGTTTTCGGCTTCGTCACCCTCATCAAAGCATGACGAGAGCAAGAAAATATTGCAACCCATTTTCTCTCAGCACTCAGTTCCCCACAAAAAATAGTTCACCACAAATTTGATCATGAGGATGTGGTAACAGAGGCGAGATGGGACGTACTTCGATGTTTGTTCCGAAATGTTCCGCTTACAACTCAAAGGATACAATAGCACTGGTTCAGGCAAAGGTTTTTCTATACATACTGAAGCATATCAGCATAAGAAATTGCATCGGTATCTGGTTGAAACTCGAAATCATGAATACGACTTTAGCAGAGAAGGTACTGCCATAAAAATCATTGTTTCTTGTGTGAAGAATATTTTAAGGCTTTGCGTTTTATTCTTTACAATATGAGCAGAGGAGTGCGTGAAAGGAAAATCTGCTTACAGTTCTACAGGTAACGATTCAAATAAAGTCACTGTGTCTTACTGAACCTCGTTTGAACTTTTTGGAATTTACTCCAATAGGCGGTATTAAATGCAAAAAAAGACGAAATATGATTGTCGCCTTTCTATAGTTTGGTATAAGCCGTCCACGCTGTGCTCGGATGTTGCATCCATCAAAAATAGTTTTTGACTGGAAGGGGGCAGGGAAGAAAAGCGGCGAGAGTGCACGAGGAAAGAGGAGAGATACGCAGTGCAATACCGCGCTCTGCGCGGACAGCCTACACGCCCTCTTGTACTTTTCGAAGGTTGTCTTCGTGATTTGAAATGAGGTGTCTGCTGAAAAAACTTTAACATCTACTTCTTTCTCGTATTCCTCATTTCAAACGATAACCAATAATTCATAAGTATGTTTCGACTTGAAGCACAATACTCACCTTCTTTACAAAAGCAGTGCCTAGATATGGATAGAAAGCCGATTACTTTGCAAAAAGGATATCAATGATGTATTTGAGACTAACAATGGAGCAGCTGCGAAGACTTCTAGACGATGACAGACTGAACGTGCGAAGCGAAGATGAAGTATTAAACATAATGGAAGCATGGATAGGTTAGAAAATAACGCTTATCTAAAATATTAGTGTGATTCACGAGTTTTACAGATGTTTGCGATGGGCGTCGAGACAGTCGCGACAAATTACTTGGAGTTGTTAGAGTTGATGGTCTATCAGCCGAGGTGAATAGCTTAAAATTAGGGTAAAAGATTAGGCGACTTACAAAGGTTTAGAAAAAGAGCAGTTTTATGGCAGAAAATCGTTTACAGTTGCTTTGTCAGAAATCCGTACGTCCACCACGAGATCAGGTAATTCAGCGACAAACATGAACACGGACATTCGAGTTGTTCAGCTGGTTATGTTCGGTGGATGGTATGGCGGACGAACTCATTCACGAATAGATATCTACGATGAGGTGGATGTTGAGATGTACCACCTCTATGCTTAGGTCTTCGGTTCAGATGAGAAAGGAATGGAAACCGCTCTGTGACCTTAGTCTCATACACCCTATTGCTTATCATGGCGCCGTGGTTTTGAACGATGTAAGTGACTAGATCTAATGTGACCTTGGATATTTTCTCACACATACATTTGAAAGTAATTCAGAGAGCCCAACTTACTTTAGGAACTTTATGTCATTGGCGGCACTGATGGTGAAAACCACTACAGCACTGTGATGAAAATGAACATGTTTGGCGAATGGACAGAGGTGGCGCCGATGTACGAAACAAGGTAAATGAAATGTAATAGTACAGATAATTACATTATCAAGGTTACTTTTGAAGGCGCAGAATCAGTATTTGTGCAGGCGCGAAGGCAGCGCGCGTCTCTTCACCGTTTTGAGTTGGCGTCTCATGCGTCTCTACGGCTAATAAAACCGCGTCCGCCCAAAGAATTGCGCCCTTGTCGTGCGTTAGCTTATACAACACATTTGCCCTCTGCTGGCAAAACCAACGTCAATAATTAACTCTGTTGGCAGAGTTTGAAAGAATCAATGTTTTGACTTCTGTGAAGGCGAAATAAAGTGAAAGTTTTTGTGTGAACTCTCGAATTTGCTTCATCAAAGTGAGTTGCAAGACGGAAAGCTGTTGAATATCTCCATTTGATGCTGGTAGTGTTTTGGCGCATGGTAGAAGTGCACCATTGAAAGTATTATAGCCGTATTGTTGGTCAAAACGCCGGTTTGAGGATTTCGCTCATTTGGGCTGACCTTCTGTTGATTCCGAAAATGCAGCTGGAGAGCGTGGAGGCGTCGAAAACGAGCTTTCCAAAGCTTTTTTTGATGTATGAACGTAGAAACGGCTAGAGTTGAGGCGCAGAGTAGTGTAGGGTTCTGTGTTTTCTCACCTCAGAAGCAAAATGATGCAATCCTGGAAAAGAGGCTTGTAAGTATGGGCGTCATCGCCGTTTACCTCTTATCATCTTCGTACTTGCCAAGAAGTACCTTTCGCGCCTGTCACAGGTGAATCAATAACAAACATCAATCACTGGAACAAAATAGCAGCCTATGCTAATCGTTCGTATACAGGGACACTCATGAAAAAATTGAAGTTTTAACGTTAGTAAGCAGGATGCTCAAGTTTGAGCGCTGGCGTGCCGTGCCGAGTTCGCAGATTGGGAAAGCCCAGCGGTGAATGTAAAAAGGGAGGAGACGAAAAGGTAACGAGCGAACGGAAGTAAACAAAAAGCAAATTTCATCCTTACAAGCATAGTATGTTTTCCCTCTCAATCGCTGGCCAAATCATCTGATCTACAAGCAAGCTAACATCGTTGTGTTGAACCCGGCCCTGCGGAGCCTACCGAAAACCTTCTATTTGCTGAATTGACTCTGTAGCGCGCCTGAAAATCCTTCGTTGCATCTTGATGTCGCTTACACTAGCAGATCCCGAAGATGAGTATGGGTGCGACCAAGTTAAGGGTCGAATGACGAATAAGTGTGAGCAATTTTTATTATACATTTATACGGAACTTGAACGAAGCAAAGCTGCTCAGCAGAACCGGCGTCGCAGAAACCATCATGCAAGGTCGGCCAACTCCCGAAGTCACGCTATCCACAAACAAATCAGTCGGCACTGAGGTTTTTTGTTCATCCGATTTGTGGGCCGCATTAGTCTTTCGCTCTAAAAATTAGGCAAATCAATTACATTGCCATTTTGGGCCTGCTCTCATAATCCCACTGCGGCGAAGCAAGCTTTTCGGTGAGCAAAAATTTCGCGCATTCCACCAAAAAAGATGTAGATTATGACTACCTCCATTGAGCTTGAATTGTTGTTGAATGAATTACATAGTTCCATTTTGTGTCTAGGACATACATAAGCAATAGCTGCTGCGTGATGGATGGAATGATCTATGTCTGCGGAGGTTTTGACGTACGTTCTATGAGTCACAGGAGACGTCATGTATGTATTTTACTTGTGCAATTTTTTCGTTTTTATGAATGTTTCAAGTTTCTCCGATGCTGCTTTATTTCATGCATTAGAATTCTATTTGAAAAAGCACACTTTCATTTTTGGATTTTCAGGATCGCCTAAAGTGTGTTGAACGCTATGATCCCGCACTGAACAGATGGGAGAGAATACCGTGAGAACTTTTCCAAGCACTTCGTTCTTCGAAAATTCATCAAATCCACTGGTGATGCGCTTCATGTTTATCTCTATGTGCGGCACTAAAAACTCCAAAACAACACGACAGAAAGAAAACCGGTCAAAAAACAAAATTGTCCTGTCTTACGTACACTCTTTATGTTAAGTGTTATGGCTGCAGCGTAAGTACAATGAACCGCAGATGAAGGTCTTCTGAAACAAGGTCTCCTTAGTTGCACATGTTCACCCAATTTGAGTGGTAAATACTGTTTTAACAGTGTCTTGAGTTTTCTGCCGTCCAACAAATTAATTCTATTAATCAAATCGATGTCTCAACAGTTACAGTATCTGACATATTTCATCTCTTTCTATCCATACTGCAAAAATCCAAATGCCTAAAAAGTGTTGCAGAAGAAAAAGAGTTGCACGCTGTTGGGAAAAAAAGTCATAGAAAAATACTATTGCAAAACCTTTGAGAAATTTGTTGTCAGACTTTTACCGGTTGCGCAGAGAAATGTTCCGTAGTGCTTTTGTTTTCAAAGCAGTCTCACGAACCGACCACGATTACTATACCGCTCATATACTGCAACTCAGCCCGAGCCTAATGATTGCTGAAATGGTATCTCGGCATTATTCGCAGCATGAGAGTAGTTTGAGAATAATTCATGGAAGATAGCCTTTTACACTATGTCTTTTCAGAGACATGAACCAAATGCGCTCAGATGCTGCAGCAGCAAGTGCCGGAGGAAAGTTGTATGTTTCGGGTGGATTTAATGGTAATGAGGTGCGACATTAACACCGCATTTGGCATGATATGAACTCCCTTTAGCAACGTGCAAATAGGTAAATTGTTGTTCTTATGGTTCAGGTTCTGCAAACAGTAGAGGTGTACTCATTAGCAACCAATGCATGGACAGAGATTGCTAGTTTGCCATCACCTCGCTCAGGTCTGCTATCAACATCCCCAAACAGACATCTTAAAATTTCGTCAAATTTTGAGGGCATTGCATGCTACTTTTTGATCCATATACAATGATTGTACTTGGCGGATTCAATGGAGACGATCGCTTAACCAGCGTTTGCACATGGAAGATCGGACATTTATCGTGGTCAGAAGATGCTCCTCCAATGAAGAACAAAAGGCTAGATTATTGTCTGTGAACTTTCGACCTCAATTATCATTTTTAGGTCCAATTTTTCGGCTTGCTTTTTTGATGGCAAACTTGTCGTCGCTGGCGGATATTCAGTCTCGTCTACAATAGCAGGGGTCGAAAAGTAAGCTTTCAATGTTTGGAGGACAGGAGTGGCTAGATTGCCCAAGGAAGATTGTTTAGCGCCTTGAGCAATGGTTGAAAAGTTTCTAAGGAGGAAATTTTGCGTCTTTTTTGTAGTGCAACGAGAAAAAAGTGTCTTTAGAGGAGGCTGGCGGAAAGACAATAGTCCTTGTCTTTCACCAACTTTCAAGCCTTTGAATTTAAGTAGAAGGCATACAGCTAAGACTAAAAAGAAAGAGAAAAGGAAAAAGTAACCAGAAATAAAGAAAAACTGACAGTTTATTAAGTTGATATTATGATGAATGTAGTCACCTGATAATGTAACAAACACAATACTATAATCTCCATTAACTTTAAAGATTCGATGGGGAAGAATGGAGTGATATGCCGGATTTACCAACGAATCGCAGCGCAATGAAAATTATTGTGCTCCCTGACTTCCGTGATTTTGCTATGACAAAGCTCGGTACAGATGAAACTCGAAAAAAATGGTTGGAGCAAGAGCGGGGAATCACTTTGGAAAAAAGCGGGTAAGCGGAAAGAAGACTGACAATCATTCGAGAGGAATTCTTTTGCAGAGCACTTCAGCGGCATCGTAACGGTGATGAACAACGACATATGCCTTAGATGGTGTCCGCACAATTTTGTGGGAGCATGAAAATAAAAAATTCTGAGCAAAAGTAGTAGCAAATTTGTACGTGTGCAGCTTCATCAACTCGAAGAAGTGTGTGATGAGTGAACGGCTTTGTAAGAATTATCGATCGGGCTCCGGAAGACTTCTTTCCTCATGGACCGCGAAACTTGTCGGTCAGCTTCAGCACCTGTGGCCATCACCCGTCCATTATTACACCCTTTGCGTTCCCAATGCAGATGTATGATTAAGTGGTTGTGCTACCAATTTAGGAGACGATTGTGTGTTCTGTGGTCATGCTCTTACCCCGATCATATTAACTTTTTTCGCTAAGCACATTTTTAACTCGTGAATTCTACCAAAACTAAATTAGAATGCAAAGCAAGAAAGTAGTTATGTGCAGCAATAAATCGTAGTGAGTTAATATGTGAGATTTAAACCGTTTGGTCATCTTTGACGACATTGATAGCCTCTTTTGCAAACTAAAGCAAGGCAAGCATGTTTTGAATTCTCAAAAGAAGATCACTGTCTGATCCACTTTCCATCCATCCATTTATAGTGCCAATTTTTGCGCACATATGCTCTCGGTACTGGTCGACTCCATAAATTCTTTTCTCGCGAAGACTCATTGGACCCTCCTGTCGATTTGTTGTATTATTCACTTACATCCACCTATCATTATCGAATCATCTCTTCATAACATGCAAGGTGCATTGAAGCTCAATTCAATCTCAAGTCAAGAGCAAACCTTCGACAGTTCAGAGATAGAGCCGCAAGAGTGGAGGCTGTTTGAGGGTTACCCCCTCCTTTCAGTTCTAGAATCTAGGGAAGAGGAAGAGCTAAAACTGATTTTTTTAGGCTCTGCTGCACATTTTCGCCGGGATCCTCCGGTTCACAGCTCGGGGTGGGACGAAGAGACGCGATTTTTTTTTGCAATTCTCTCATAACCAATGACATTTCGGTACCGGTGTTTGCCAAGAAGAAGATAAACAGGAAAATTGATTAGACAAAAAGTTTCGTTTTATGAAAGTCAAGATTCATATCAAAGCCAAGTTTTTGATGCGTCCTTTTAATTTTTACCCCTTTTTTTTATGTTTTCGGCGACGTTGCAGCATTGTGCTGCTTATCATGCTGAGAAAGCAACCTTTAAGCATGAAAAAAATGGTGTACTCACTTTAAAAAGAACTACGAAAGATGCTCTTTTCGCCGTAAGATTCGCTACAGTAGAGAAAGTAAGTTCGACGACTTCGCCTATTTTGTAGACAAAATCGAGCGTTACCGATTTCATAAAAAATCGCATGAAAAAAAGCTAAAATCATGTGAATGTGGAAACTGTTCAAACCAGGCCTTCTTCTAAGTGTCTGGTAAAAAAATAGAGGTTAGTGACTTTGTCAGCGCATAAGTAGACGTCAAGACCTATAACTACAATTTGCCAGAGTTGAATTTGAAACAACGCGAAAAAGGGTACCAGATCCAATTGCCCCAAAAGATGCATGGGAGTAGCGAGGTAGCGCAAAAAGGGGACGAACAGAGGAGAAGCAGCAAAGTAGACCGAGTATTTGTCTGGTCCTCAATTTCGCGCAGTCTTAACAAACCTTGCAGTATCAAAAATCGTTTCGTCATCATGACGTGACTAGGAACGCTGACAACGTCGCCGACATTAAAAGACACCTTTTAAAGGCAGTGGTTCGGCAAATCCTCGAACTAAATTTTTTTCGCTTACCTAGGGTAACCCGACGCGCTGAGTTCGAAAATACACTTTAAGAGCACAAAAATGTCAAAAACCAGCATTTTTTAAGGGTTCTCATTTTGGATTTGGACGAATGGGCCATTCCCCGCCATCGTTAAAGACGTAGAGTCGTGGCGGGACCCACGTTAATAGCATTGCGACATGCCGCCTCTGACGGTGGAAGGCAGACTCGTCCGAATGCGTGTAAGAATGGGAGCGCACGGGTTTAGGGGCTGTTTTCTGGGCAGGGGCAGCATGTTGTGCGCTCGGACCTGCTCTGTTCTGATGTTTGGGACGCAAGCAACCTTCCATACCAAATCTTCGGAATGTTTGGTTTTGCCGAAGCACTGCCTTCAACCAGAAATCAGCATTTTCGTGTCCAACTCTCTGCGCATGCTTTGGATGCAGTTCCCCGATTCCAACAAAGTACCCCGTCTTCGTGAATTTCAAAAACTTGCTCACACTTCAAAATGAGATTATCCGAGAAGCGTCGTTGTCATTTTAGGAAACTTGTTCTTAGCACAGAAAACTCAATAAAAACGCAATTCTTCCCAGTTGCCGGAATATTGTCAAGTTATTACTCGCTTCCCTTCGCTCACAACGACCATTCTGACAATTTTGTAGGCTTAGGATCCGAAAGTCCTTGCTGTTTTCCATTTTTCTTGGCTGATGGTTGTGTTACGTCGCTAAGAGTGAAGGCTGCAGAGTACATAGCCCATCGAGTGTATGGTTCACAAGGCTTTCGCGGGTAAGGGGCTCCCTCAAGCATAGAATGGAAAGACGTGGTCCTCACGTGAAATCATTCTGGGGGTGAGAATAAGTAGAAGGTTGTAAACTGACCTGAGCCATGAAATATGGCAAAAGGAGACCCCGAAAAAATTCCGCCATAGTGGATGATCTTTTAGCAAACTAATTGACTCTCGGTTGAGGACCGCCAACCATCTGTCAATATTTTTATTAGGCGTGACTAAAATTAATATAGTCTTTGTAGTCAGCTTATTTGTTGGGTCATCTTTCTTTTGAGCTGAACAACGTTAAACTTCTAGTTTGCACGTTTACTACCAGAACTTCAGCCCGAATAAGCAGAGACAACACCTGTTTCGGCTCGAACTCAAGAGTGAAGAGCACACAAATTGCAGATTGTTATCAAAACCAGTTTATACAACTTTAGGACATTATAGAAGATCCGCTGTCATCCCAACAAAGCTAATAAGGTCAAAAATGAAAAAAAAGGAAAAGATTATTTATATAGCAAGCATCCTGTTGTACCCTCAATAAGCCCCCGGTTTTCTTTCCGCTTAGATAAAATCAATTCCTCTATTCTGACCGCCTTATGCAGTTTTGGCTGGAATGACAATTAACGCTCAAATAGGTGCTAGGTATTTTGTTCAGGACATAAAGTTAACTTTATAACGAGTTTGACAACTTTTTGGGAATTCACTTTTGATTATGTGAATGTCTTAGTACCTAAAGTGATGTTAATGAATTCTGTGCATTCCTTCGCAGTAACTATTATTTCCTTCGACTATATAATTTACCAGCTCTCCCAACAAATAATTCCTAACTGATCACGGAGAAATGCTGCACTAACACTACAAAGCAATACCATACGTATACCTCAAAATAGCCTTTTCCAAAAAGTTCTGCTCGCTGAATATAGCAAGTTTTCCTCGAGACTCAGACGACTTTCTTCCTCCCATTCACAACTCGCTGCTTACGCTATAGTGCATATCAATTAAAGAAATGTACCTAGCTGGCTTTTCCGTCCTTATTTCGACTATAGGCAATTAGACTAAATAAAATAGCATCTGTGCGTCGCTCAGTTATTCTGGGAACAGGATAAAGGAACACTTCTATACGGCTACCCAAATCAGATATTATCAGCTAAATGCTCGAATGACGCACAGTACTTAGACTCTTGTTTTTAAGAATTGGGTTGACAAGTAATTTCCGGTAGACTTTTATTTATTTTTTTCTTAATAAAAGCTATCAAAAACCGTATTCAAGGCATGTTGACGTGATGCAAGCTCTAACCATCGGGACTGTCAAATCTGCGATCCGTGCACAAAACACCTCTTCATGAATGGGGAACGTTTCATGGACATTTCTGTCAGTGGCTGACATGGCAGATAAGCCGGAGCAGGGTATATAGTCCATCGTTTTTGCTGAATAGAAAGGAACAGCTAATTATGTCTGCACACGCATCTGGAATGGTGGTGGCCCATGTTGGTGCACGTTCGCAATTATTGAACATTTTCATGAACATGGAGAAAATTTGCAAAAAATCTAGAAGCTATTTCTAATCTCTCTGTACCTCCTTCGATGATGCATCCAAAATGAATTTATCGACGAATTTCGGATTTTTTGATACATTTCACCCTTCGTTCTTTACAATGGTTCTTTACAATTTACCACGGTGCTGCCGAAAAGAGACAATACAAAAATAATTCAAAATAATAATAAGAGGTCAAGACAATTAAACACAAAAGAAAAACTGAAAAGTTACCAGTATTTTTACAAAACTCTCGTAAACTTGCTGGCTATTTGTGCACTTGCCGCATCAACCATGCACATAGGTGGGTCCTCTTCCCTCCTAAATGTGAAGTACTTGGATATTTAAGGAACTCCGGGTTTTTCTAGATTCAAAGAGAAAAGTTGACAAATTATCGAAAATGATGATATACAGGGTGTCCCAAAATAATGTGCACACTGTTTGATTTTGAATAACTCTCTAATTATGAGGTCTTTCGAGAAGCGGTAAGCGCCATTTTGTAGAGCTGGCTTCAACTTAGATTTACAGTGTAGAGCGAATCACCGAACGTTCTTCATTAGTGTAGGATTACGGTAGAAACTTGAAACATATGGTGTCGTTGTGGAAAAAGGTGCCGTTTTAAAAATTTTTTAAAAAGTGTGAAAACTTGTGTAATAGGGTTTTTAGGGACGCTGAGTTCAATACTCAACTATTCTCAAGATTGCGAAGCTTTCTAAACGGTGTAATCGCACTTTTTAGGAACATTGAGAAAATGGCCGCTACTACTTACCTCGCATAACTCTTCAGTGAAGCATCATAATAAGTTGGAAACTTTACAGATAGAATCAGCAACTCTAATTGGCCTAGTGTAAAAGTTTTCAGGCTGTTTTGATTCCTTTTTGAGGCAAAATATCCTTTCATGGCCCAAAACCCTCTTTCAACTTTCTACCTTAATCCTACAGTAATGAAGAGCGTTCGGTGATTCGCTCTATACTGCAAATCTAAGTTGAAGCCAGATCTATAAAATGGCGCTTACCGCTTC